TTGATAGATTTGTTTGAACTTGGAATATCCAAACTTCTGACTGGCTTAGCAGAGACTAATTTAGTTAGGTTAGTGTTAGGCTGCTCCTTATCATCATTGTCAACAGATAAGTACCTCAAATCTATTACCACACACAACCTTATGGACTACCTCAGACTGTTCATTTTGAGACGATTTCATCTGGTTGTTTTTGTTTTTTATATTTCTCTTCACAAGTTTTCATTTACTATGTTCAACAGACTTTACTAATTTCACAGGAGTCACAGTAATGGTATCTCTTGAAACTGTCTGATCCATATTATAGTCCGCAACAAAGGTATATGGCATACGGCTTGGTCTCCAATTGGGCATGGCCTACTTGCAAAGGAAGGACGGTGGGAATTCTTTTCTTGGTTAGGATCACAACCTCTGTTTTTTCAGCCGCCAACGATAAGCCGTGGTCCCGCATCCACTCGTTGACATGGAGCATCACTATACCAAGTTTAAGCTCTGCTTCTTCAACGGTTCTGCCTACAACCAGAGCAGCGACGTCGTCGGCGTAGCCAACGAGGCGGGTCTCGTCTGGCATTTCGAGTCTAAGCAGACTGTCGTAAGACACGTTCCAGAGATCAGGTCCATGGATCGATCCCTGTGCAGCCCCAGAAGTGACAGAGATCCGACACTGACCTTCGGTGGTGTCAAAAAGCAGGACGCGGTCTGAAAGGTAGGACTCAATCATTCGCAACATGTAAGGATGGACGCGGAACGTGTGCTCGAGCGCCTGTAGCATGTCACTCCACCTATGGCGGCGTTGAACGCATTCTTCACGTCAAGAGTGACAAGGAGAACTAAGCGGCGCGACCAATGACTGTGGTTCTCCGCACTCCGCACTGCCTCAACTACCTCTTGGATGGCGTCAATGGTCGAGTGACCAGAACGAAAACCATGCTGCTGCGGGGACAAATCACCCGCAGAGACGATAGCCTCGGTCAGTCTGACACGAATTAACTTCTCCATCACTTTGCCAACAGTGTCAAGCATACACAGTGGGCGGTAAGAGGAGGGGGTTCCCGTTGCACTCTTCGCCTTGGGGATCAGGACAAGGCGAGCCACCTTACACGCCGTTGGGAAAACGCCGTCCGCCAAACAGGAGTTGAACATATCCAACATAAGCTTTGGATTGTACTCAACGATGAGCTTGAGGATTTCCGCAGGAATGCCATCAGGACCGGGTGCTCTTCGATTCCTGCGGGATCGGACAGTCAGTGGAGGTAAGTTCCTCTTCCTGAAAGGATGGGAACGTGCCAAGATTCCTGAATTCTCTAGTTGGTCGCACTGGGTGCTTTGGAAACAACGAGTCAACGACAGCAGCCATGGCTGTAGGATCCATGACCACAGGTGGTGAACGAGTCCCTAGCTTTTGGGTTACTATCTTGTAACCCGTCCCCCAGGGGTTGTTGTCAACGTCCTGACACAGTTGCTTCCAGCACCTGACCTTACTCCGGTTGATTGCACCGCGAAGATCTCGCCTGGCAGCCTTGTGCTCTCCCAATCTGGCATTGGCTTCAGGCCGGTTTCTGGCACGCTGCGCTGCTCGTCGGAGGCTAAGGCATCTTCGACGGAGTTCCGCAATCTCGGGTGTCCACCAGTAAACTGGCTTCTTCCCACGACGGGCAGAAATCCTGGGCATGGAACAGTCGCACGCCAATGAAATGAGACGCATTGTCGACGTGGCACGAAATTCGGCACTTTCGATGTTCCCAACAGTTTGATCCCCAATACATCCCCGAAAGGTGTCTCGGCAAAGACAACCGAGGTTCCAACGTCGAGGCGGGTTGGCCGAGTTGGCATATGGACGCCTACGCTCGGGAAGTACCCCGAAAACAATTGCCTGGTGATCACACTTGCAGAGTTGTCCTCGGAGACTCGCCAGTCAGAAATCCTATTGGCTAGGCCTTCAGATGCTAGTGAGATGTCAGGGATGGTCTCTACATATCCAGGGCGACGGAAAGTGAAGACATTGCCCACGTTCAGAACATGAAGACCCAGCCTGGCTGCCATCTCTAAAACATATCGTCCCCTTGTGTTTGTTTGGGGTGAACCCCATTCCACCGCCCTAGCGTTGAAATCTCCGCAAACAATCACCCCACCATCGACGTTCAGGATCCCGTCCTCTAGAGAGTCAACCATCTGGCGGTACTCTGCTATGAGCTGGTTAGGTGAAAGGTAGCAGGAGAAGAAAGTTAAACCTCTGCTTCGCACCCACACGAAACCGTTTCCCGCACCGGAATCTAAGATAGGTACCTTCCCGGGGTCAAGGACACAGATGGCCGCCGTCCCAGAAACATCAGGAAACCACTGAGGAGAGCATCGGTTCTGATATTGCTCACTCAGCAGCAAAATATCGGCGCCTTGCTCGGTTGCGAATTGGTACAGCAGACCGTCAGCTGTCCTGCTCCTTTGCATGTTAAGCTGAAGGGCACTTATCATTTCTGGGTGGATTGGCGGATCTTGTGCAGTGCTTGCTTGTAAGCAGCACAACGGCTTGATCCCGCAGCGTGCTTAATGGCATCGTTCTTCAAGCCGGCCTCTGTGCACAGGACGCAAGATTCTCGCTGAATCGGAGCTGCATACATTGGCCCTGTGATTCTGGCCGCCGCACTTGTAGCACATATTGCTTCTGACCTTTGCATATTTTACTTATTGATATTGCTTGGGACCTTTGCAGCGATTAGCTATGTGGTTAAACCCCAGGCATTTGAAACACCTTGGGGCTACGAGCTTCTAGCGGACCCGGCATCTCACCCATCCGACCTTTATGAGCCCTTCAGCTAGGAGTTTTCTCCCATCTGTAGCTCCCAACGTCAATATCGCCATCTTCTGCCGTCGAGAGTTGGCCTTTGAGACGAAGATCTTCATCTCACTGGGTTCCCCGAGAACAGACTTAACTGCAGTGGAGACCTCTTCCTCAGTCGTGAGTTCGTCGAGATCCCTCACTTCCAATGTCGACTTAGGCTCAAGAATTCGCACCGAGGCGTTTGCACTAAGGATGGATTGCAAATCGGCCCCAAATTCTGTCTTCGTCCCGGAGGAATGGCCAAGCTCTACAAGGAGATCACAAGCTCTGGTTTTTCTGAGCGATTTGATAACAGCTCCCTTCTCTTCGGGCTTCACCTTTTGACGTATCTCACCAAGCACGTCAGCGTATGTCTTTCCGCTTGTCGGCTTGATTAGAAGAGCGTCAGGGCGTTGTTTAGAGGCTCTCTTTTTCTTGGGCTTCTTTGTTGTTTCGTCACCAGGCTGGTTTTTGCAGGCTTAGCATTTACACCTGTTAGAGAATCAAAATGAAAAGCCCCATTACTGTCTCTATTATTGACAAATAATAAAGACCAGTGAGACCCTGAAGAACTACTTTTCGTGTCCTCACTATTGTTAACACAAACAAATGCATATTTACAAGAATAAAAAGGTGATTTGGACAATATATCGATTACCGTTTCCTGAGAAACAGCAAGCTTTAAACATTGAGTGGTAGCCGGCCCAAAAAAGAGTTTGTCTATATCTACACGCTCTGACATTGTGACAAAATATGAGTTTATGTCATCCTCTACCCACTTGTCATGAGACTTAGATTTAACAGGGATTTTAGAGAGACTGTTGGCAGTAGCTACATCTAGTTTACACCTTAAATCTCGAACAGTGTTACACATCTTTACATTGCTTGATTTTAAGCTGTTAACCTTGGTATTAATGGTTTTAAATTTATCCGATAGAACAATGTTTTCGTGAATCACGCTGGCTTTCTGGGCATCTCGTGGGATGAGCGTGGATTTCAAGGATTGAAGTTGAAGCTCGAGAGAAGGTTTTTGTTCCTCGAGGACGTCTTGCGTTGCGAGGCTGACTTTCATCTCCTTCTCCCTCTGCTGTTTGTATAGCTCAAGTTTGTTAGACAAAACATCAAGATCATGTTTTGAGATTTTCAGTGCTGAGACACTTTTGTCTAACTCTTCACTGATAGAGTCAAAATTACAAAGTAACTCTAAAACTATACTTGTCATTATGTCAAAATTGGTGTCAGGATAATTACATGTAAGTTTATTTAGTTCTTGTGTCAAATTAAAAATAAGTTCTTCTATGGCAGAATCCCGAGTCATGATTCAAAAATAGTTTCACATCCACTAATAAACATTTTGTAAAAAAAAAAATAAAAAATATAATCCTGCAAAGTAGGGACAAAAAACGTAATATCAATCAATCAGTAGGCATGCTGCAAACTCAACTGACAACTGCTCTACAATGAAAATATGCGTACCGCTGAAATACCGCGCAGCAAAAATAGAGCATGCAGCATTTTTGCGGTACAAAGGTAAATTGTAGCGCACCGGTGGCGGTATACCACGCCAGTGTGGGCGTTCCCATTAGCTCACATTGATCTAAAATACCTGGTGGCTTACCCATACCGCATACCGCGGCAGTTTGGGCGGGCCTTTTAGAAATACTTTTCAATTGGGTTTTTGCTGCTTTCCTTTGGCTCACATGGACTCGAATGCTTGGAAGTAAATCAATCTATAAATAAGTCTATTCTTTTGTCAACTGTATAATGGGGAAAGGGAAATTTTACTGCAGTTGGGGGCTTTTACAGCACAACAAGATATTTATTGACATTTGCCTGAGATCACTACCTATTTATAGAAGAGAGGGTTTATAAATTGAAACTCGCTTGGTATAGCTCATATAAACTTTAATATTATAGTAAACCTTGGAGTAAAAAGTATGTAATTACCATTTCTGTGAAACTGTGATTTTCATAAACACTTTTTGATTGAGACTTCACACTACTAAGCTTTTACTCTGTTACATATTTTCATTGTCTCTGGTTGCATTTCTATTGTGTAATTCTTCATAGAGGCCAAGCGAATCAAAGAGTTTTATTTTTAATTCTGGGTTAATGATTAGTTTCACTATAATAGATAATATTATTTTAAAATGGAAAAGGAAAACAAATAAGAGGAGACATATAATAAATAAATATTATTATATTTTATTATTCAAATTATCACATTTTTATAAACAAATTTATTTATAACTGTTATTGCTAAATTTAGATAGAAGTTATTAAAAAGGACTATAAACTTCACATTTATGTACTGGCAGTGGAAAAAGGAAATAGGCAAAGATGCATTGATTGCACCAAAAACTACGATTACGAACACCAACTAAACTAAAACGTCACATCAGAGCACATTTCCTTGTCCGCAACAGCTGCCATAAAATAAATTACTTTGATTTTTAAATTGCTAACAACATTAGAGCTATAAGCTACATTAAATATAAAACGCTTGGCAGTCTTATACTGTAACCGATTCAACGTTGTTTATAAATATAATTTACATAATAGGCAAACTAAACTTCCTTGTACAGTCTAGTTTAAAAAAAATCGATCACAGTATGTATATAAAATTAACAATTATTTTTATAACTATCAACACAGATGCACTCATCATTCATCTTGTATATTTGTAATTAGAACCGAAATAAAAAATAACAAATTCAATCCTAACTAAAAACATACCACATTCACTCGCATAATCATAAGACCGCGTGACTATATTACATGACATTAGGAATTATTTATTTATATTATTTATAAAACCATAACTATCTAAAACAAATCCTCCGAAGGCTCATGATTGTAAGAATTGTAAAGAAAGTCAATAATTAAAAATAAGTTACGTGAAGGAGAATCGCGTGAAACAAAATGTAAGTAAATTATCAAGCAACAGCTAAGTTCTATTTACAATAGCCTTCACCGAAAAAGAAATGAAAAACACCCCTTTGTAGTCTTTGTTAAAAGTTATTCAAGCCAACGGAGGAGATGTCAATCGGTAAAATGCATCTCAGATCGACTTAAGTCTAATTGTCGTTTGTTCGATTCAATCCGACACGCATTTTTGTTGGCCGCAGCATCAGTCGAGTTTTACTAACTAGAGAGATGAGGTGGCCACTCTTCCCTAAGGAAGTCGTCTTCGGCTACAATTTGGTTTCTTAAGAGAGGTAATCTGGTGAAGGCTCTGCGACTGGCTCTGGGGTAGTGAACAGAGGGTTGGGGAACTCTGGAGGATGCGGCAGTGGTCCGGACACTTTGGGTCGACGTCGGTACGCGATGAGCCAGCACGACACTGCGACTGCCACTGCCACTAAGGCCAGCAGCGCCGTCATGATCAGGGCAATGATGAACCCGATCATAGACACACAGATGGGCTCAACCTCTTGTATGTCTGGAGCTGCAACATGTTAGAAAACAGTATTAATCACTGAAAGTTAATATTTCTGCCTCACACGCAAAAATACATACGCAAAAACCATGAACACTTTACAAAATTTGGAAAAAATAGCAATTTCTCCAACAATTATCCCTTTTTATGTTAAATGACAAAAATATAAGGTATGGGCATGGAGACTAAATAATTAATAACATCAGTAACAATATCAATCATCTCTAACTATTGGATGATGATAGTTGTATACCAAATATAAAATTGCTTCACATAATGTATCCATACAAGACGTGTAAATTTTTTACTGACTGCTTAAAGAGTGAAGAGTTTTGGATTCACTGTATTTTAATGACTCTCAAACTAAAAAAAACCTACTCAAACAGAAACTAGATTAGAAGCAGTTTGTACAAATGTAACTCTGCCTGGACCAGTGGCCAGTGAGGTTCCCAACAAAGTGAATGAATATCAACAATCAACACACTTCAATTGACTACATCATGAACGTAAGGTTCTTGATTATATACATCTATTGGTCCCAATAATAGAGTATTGTGATCAAAACATTCCCAGCAACAACTTTTAGGCAGCCCCCATAGGCTATGAGTACTCACATAACAATAACAAGACTTGGTTTGATTCTGAGATAGGTCTTAAACATTTTTGATATAAGTTTCATACTTTATAATCATGCTGGTTTGTATAATTTATTTAGGTTTACCTTCTGTCGGGCTAGTGTATCGCTCCTCCCTCCTTTCAAAGGTGAGGATGGCATTGGATTGGATTGTGATTTCTTCTCTAAGTTGACCTTCACTGACAGCTTCAGCCACTTCCACGGACGTGTTGTTACGGCCATCAACTTCTCTCCTCCTTCTTTTGCCAAAGGCATTATAACCTCTACAGTTTACCTGTGAAAATTAAATATTTTAGATACTTAAATACAAAAAATTGAATACAGAGTATTGTTGTTGTAATAATAAATTTATATAAGCTCAAAAAAATTACAATTTGAATTGAAACAATGATAAACACTGGAACAGAATGGATACTGGTGCATATTTTATTGAAAATAGTTATGAAATCTAGTATTGATGTAAGACACATGTAAAATAAACAAAAAGTTTATGATATCCAAAACCTTAAAAAATATAGTTTGATTAGAATGTTTGACCAAGTACTCACAGGTTGACACTTTCCAAAGCAGACTCGGATATTACATTGGAAGCGGATGTTGTCACTGCTAGGGAACTTGAAGGCGTTGAAGCCAGCCAATAAAGACTGAGTCTCAGCGTTGTAGTCCCACTCACTGAATATACTCGGGTCTGTAGCGCATCCGTTCTCATCTGTCACAATGTACTCATTTTCTACGCTGTCTTCCATCGTTTTGGCCACGCAACTGCGTGCGAACCCTCCGTAAATACCTGCAATGAAAATGCATTATAAATATTGGGTGATTTATAAATTTGATAATGAATACTTATATGGACAATTTCCTTCAGTTTTAGCCTCCAGATTAAAATTGGTGTATGTAACTGTGTTAAAACAATTTCGCATAAGCAGTATTGTGAATTGCATTAATGTGAGTATGTCCTTGTACACCAATGTTCAACTCTAACCACAACTGTTCATGAGAATACCTACACAAACAGTTAGTATTCTAATATCATAGATGTATTTTAAAAGGTATTAATCAATGGGATGTATCTAAACAAACTTCAAAAATAAAAATAAAATAAAAAAATAAAAGAAAATGAAAAAGAATTATCCTTTCACTTACTAGTTGTTGTGCCCGTGCTTCCCCACGGACAAGAATGCGAACAATGTGGGTCTCTAAATCTACTGTAAAAACATGTTACACCCACATACCATGCAAATTCTGTAGATAAATCTGAATCGTACTTATTGCTTATAATTAAACTCCCTTGTATTTTTGCACTGTGTTAAACTGTGTGGTAGAATAGAAAGAAAAAATTATAAATAAAAAACTTTTTTAAAACAAAACGTTTTTATACACACTAAAAAGTAGAAAATAATTTAAAGTAAACAAACTATAAATAAAAACAAATCTAACAGCTGATCCATTTTTTCGTAAAAAAAGAAGTTGGCGGCTTCTTTTAACCTTGCATTTGCCCGTCCACATAGACAAAATACTGGCCTCTTTGTCTGTTTCTCCCCTTCTTTAATATTTAAATGTGAATAAATACAGCCCTTTAAATGAGGCTCGTGCCCTTAAGAGAGGGTTTATCGAAAAACTTATATTTTTCGGGTAAGTTTCACATCAAGGCCTTTCATTCAAGTATGAGGTTGATAAGCGTGCGGCTTACGGTTTTCCCAAAAGTTCAAATCCATCCTAGCTTTATGTATAGACTAGCTGTTACCCACGGGCTTCACTCTGTTTTACTTCATACGTATTAATATAATTATTGATTGGTTAAGTTAAGCTGAAATAAACAAAACAGAATACAGTAATACCGACAAATAATCACACTTGAGTTTAATAAGGTAATAAATTAAAAGAATAACAAACAAATAAGTACAGCTGAGGTATTTTTATCATTAGGTATATGGAAATTTCCCTTTAGAAAGGAATTACGACCTTAATGGGCAATTTATGAAATAATGGATAGTTTTGCACAAGGTTTCTCATCATGAAGAACATTTTATGTATATGGTTTATGGGGGTGTGTGTGACTTGTAGTTTTCTAAAAAATTCATGGGTACTTTGGGATTTATATATGGATGTCATAAAATTTAAAATTTTTAATCTGTTACAACTGTTAGAAACAACTACATTTGTTTATTTAATCAGGCAGAAAGTCCTGGACTTCCTTGACAACATTTTACGTTATACAATTTTAATTCTTTTGATAATAGGTCAAAATTATTGAATTCTGTATATATTTCATTTTATAGTTTATTTACAGAATAACAAGGAAAACAAAAAAAAAATTATTGAATAAAGCACTGTGAAATAACAAAAATTATAATAATTGATGCAGACATGCCATTGAGGGATTTTGTGGCTACATTGTATTAGTTTGTGAATTTGTATTTTTTGAAATAAATAAATTACTTTATTTTAACTAGTTGGTGAACAATTGAAGCATGAAAATCTTAACAATATAAATTCAATGTTGTCAAATGCAGCGTATTGTAAGATAACTTACTTGAAGGTTGCACATCAACTTGCAGCATAAGGTTGTCTCCTATCTCAGCAGAGTTGATCTCTTGTCCGGTATGAGTGACAATGCGCATGGAGCAGGTGGGGGGAGGGCCGGTGTTGGCGATGGTGCCAGCTGTTGTCAACATGGACACGTTGAAGCCCAGAGTAACGTTCTGCTCTCCCGTTGAGTAGACACACTTGATATGATATGCTTGCGCCTTGTACGTAACTAGCTTGGGGTGTTTCTGTATCACCAGTACAAAACTAGCTTGACCCTGCAATTAGACATTATTCCAATTATAAAATAAAAAATGTTAGTTATTCTAAATCAAGCAATGACAGTAGATAATATGATAGAAACATACATAAAACACACAGTACAACATACAGTAACATAAACACAAAGTAATACAGTAATTCATAAAAGAAAAGAGATTTAATCGAGGTATATTAAACTCGTTAAAATAAACCCCACCGCAGCAAACCTGCATATAATCAATGTGAATCTCTAATTGCCTAGTTGGATTTTTACTAACATAGTTCCTTAAAACAGTCAGATTTATTCACTGTTTAAATAACATTAAGTGTCATGAGTACTTATGTATGCTGCTGCAGGAAAGATGAAAAGAGGGATTTTATAGAAATGTTAATAGCTTGAAATAAATACATTTGCCAAATTTGACCAAAATATATCCATAAACAAGGAAATTGCAACATTCTATTTTTTTCATATAAGAATAACAAGGAAATTTCAAATTGACAGTCTTTTTATTTTTCTATGTAACCATTAGACCAGTAGCAAATGCTTTAAAGTGTACCAAATATTAGTTTTTTAAGCTCTACAAAATGGTTACAAAAGAAATTTCAAAAGTTATATTTTCGAGGTCAAAAATGAGGATAACCAATTTTTACCCAATAAAACCTTGTTCGCTTAGTACGATAAAAAAGCTTGTTATTAGTTTGCTTAGCCCTATGTCTCATAATAATAAAGGAACTATACAATTGCTAATAACCTGCAAAATATTGTAATGTTGTTAGTAAATTCAAAATCTTCAAACTATCTTGATAAATTTCTATAGAAAATCTTTGCTATCAAGTAACAGTCAAATATATAAAAAGGAAAATGGCCTTACATTGACATGTATGAGTCCACAAGTGCCAAAGGTGACTTTGAATATTTCTGTCCGAGGAGGTGAGTCCATGGGAAGTGTGACGACTCTACGACATTGCTCGTCCTTGCTGTGACCCTTGACATAGAGTACACCATTGAAGCCCTTCTCAGTGATGTGTATCTCCACTTGTACACCGTCGGACAAACAGCTGACCACCATGTCAGGGCGGGGGAAATCTGTCCTCAGATGAGATGTTGTGTCTGCAATAAAGGTGAAACAGTCAAAAGTTGAAGGCAAAGAAATTGTGCATATGACAAATTATTGTCAACTGTAATAAAAGGCTAAGATAGAAAAAAATATACTGAATGTTAAATTTAACAAAATTAAATAACACAATAACATTGTTCTCATGAAATTCTACTACAAATTTAGTTTTTTCCGAACCCAAACAAATACAGTAGGCCTATAGTACAGTCCAGCTAATCTGAACTAATTGGGACTAAACCCTGCTGTTCGGATCCCCGAATTAGCTAAAGTACTCAACAAGGAAGCAATTTAAAAGGTCCATAGTGCCGTAATATGAATGAACAATACATAAAAACCAGTATTAATGATCCATTTACTCTAACAAAAGTAAAAATAAACGTTTCACCAATGATCACATTGACCAATAGATGGAGTAAGTGAACCGCGACGTCAGGGCCACCACGAGTGAAGTTTTTTTTGGAAGGTAAAACATTTAACGTTATCAACAAACAATATTTTACGGGAAACTCGTAAATATGTAATCAATGAAAATGACTATTCTAAAATAACAATCTATAGCTTTTGTTTTCTTCATGAAATAAATACCGTTTTTTAATATACAACTCGCACTATTACTACTTTTACATCTGGCATGTGACTTATTGGCAATACTGCGAGTCCGAGACACACTCACTGCGTATTCACCCACACGCCCCACCTACACTTAATTGTTTCTAACCTCAAGGCTTAAACAATGCTCAAACTCTTACGTCAACTCATAGTCGTTTTGTGATGTCCGTTGTGAGTTGTAAACTCAATGTTTTTAATAATTTAGTTCAGTGTAGTTGTTACGTTTATAAAACATACTATGCAAATGTTCAATATCGATATATCGGATGTTGGATCTATTGACGGTTGACGGAAACCCACCAAATACTTATTTTGAGGAGTGGGCGAAAATTTATATCTCGCCCCCCCCCCCCCCGGGCGTCTATTACCCTTGGGGCGGCCCTGCGTGACGTGAAGCAAGGATATTTCACTCCTCTACAACAAGATGGTGGCTGCCAGCCGTGATGAGCCCTAGTGGCAAACGCTACTAATGAAATGTTATTGAGATAAAAAATATGCAAAACAATATGATTATTGATTAGCGATAATGAATATTCCAAAACCGATGACTAAGAAACCTTTACAAGCTTTTGAAATTTTTTCTAGCATTTGCTGTTTTTGAGAAAAGGTTAATTCCATAATTAACAACAAAAACATTTTTTGGGTTAAGCAAAATTCTGAAAAAAAACCAAAATTTTCATAATGTTTCTATCCATGTTGTTTTAAGTTTAATAAAGCTCTGAAGTTTGGTTTACATTGTACGCATTTTAAAAGTTCTGAGAGATGTCTTGACACTAATAACAATGTAATACTACATTCCGACCGTCATATTCATTTTTATCAATGAGCTATAAAATATTTATTCTTATAGGAATACATAGAAGAAATTGATAAAAAAATCATACTCAGTGTTTTTAGTGAATTTCCCACATAGGGAATAATTAGGGAATTTCCCACATAGGTAATAAGCTATTACCCTAGTTCTCATGGTAAGACCTAGACCCGGGACCAATTAACTTTTTTGTTTCGAGGTCCCCAGAGGCCAAAAACACCATCCGTTTAAATTTATATATATATGTGTCCCTTAGCGCGATAACTCGAGCAAATATGATCCGATTTTTATGAAATTTGGTACAAACGTGTAAACTTACATCAACACCATCGCGAACCAGCATAATCGAACCATGGGAACAGGGGCTTATGGGGGGGTTTTACGGGGTAAAAATGGGGTTTTCTCATTTTTGACCCTTAAAACAAAAAATTTAACCTTTGTGTAGAGCTTAAAAAAATAAATAATTTAGTATATTGAAGCGCTGTTGTATGGCTAATGGTCACGGAGAAAATAAAAAAAGTAATATAAAATTCCCATGTTATTCTTATGGAGGAAATGAAAACTGTTGTAATTTACTTGTTTATGGATGTATGTTGATAAAATTTGGCAAATTTTTTTATTTGATCCTATACTATTGACGTATGGTCATAAACACTTTTTACCTTCCTCGTAGCAGCAAATCTAAGCACTCGTTAAATCTAATGTTATTAAAATTGTGAATAAATATGTCTTACCGTATTTAAGGAAATAATTTAGTAAAAATGTAATCAGACAACTTGAAATACGCTTAGTCTGCAGGTTTTCTGCCGCGGGGGTATTTAATTTCTCTCACTATACATACATAAGTATATGGAGAAAGTCTTGTTTTTTCTTAACATTTTAGAATTGGAGTTTTGGCTGGATATATCGGTTTTGGATCCTCCTGAACAAAAAAGGGGTTTTCAAAGTGATGTGTGTGAATGTGGATGTGCACATTTCATTGAAGAGTATTAAGTACACAGCTACAGAACACACTTTTAGTACGATTTTGATGAAATTTGGTAATTGGGTACTAACTTTTGGAATCTCCAAGCGTTTTCTTTTAATTTTTTTTTTTTTAAATCTTGTTTTTAATGGTGATTTATTTATAAAACTTATAATCTAAATACCAGAAAATCTGATCTAAAAACTAGAGGCCAAAACAATTTTGATTAAATTTAGTATGTTATGCTCCTTGTTACTCTAAACAAAATTGTACAACCCCCATTGCTGTAAAAATTACAATTAATTCAAAAGCTAAGCTATTACAGCTTTTGTTATTTTTCCCATAAAATATCATAGTTTTAATCTCACCACTTGCCCATAATAAGGGTTGTTGACAAGCCATTAATGGGAGAAAGTATGAATCAGATTGCTGATACGGTTTATTTAAGTAGTTCAGTTACCGTACTTTTCTGTATAGGATCTTATATCCAATTGTGATAACGAGGTTTTATTTTTATATGAATGTTATTTTTGGTTTTGTGCACCATCCCATTCATTTCAATTTGTACTGTATTAATTGACAGCATACTATGCAATTTTTTTATGGATGTTAATATTTGCTTACCGGTACTTTATCTGTATCGATATAATCATCATTAATTAAAATCATTTTCATAAACAATTTTAGTAATTTAATTCCTGACTGGAGTATTTTTGTAAGTGTTTATTGGGGGGGGGGGGGCTGACAATATCCCACTCCAGGTGCCAAAAACCCACACGACAGCTTTACAACCAACTACTACTTCTCCAACAGATAGATATGTGGCTGTTGAGTTGTTTCTTGGCATTATGTATTAACAACAGGGAGTGGATGTTACTTACTGCACATGACCTCTGGGTCTCCCACATAGTCATAGATACACTGACACACAGCCTGATGTCTGGTGGCGTTACACAGAGCGTTGACTCCACAGCGTTTGGTCAGACAAGGGTCCTCACACTTCTTTGTCTCCTGGTTACAGTAGCGGTGGTCTGGGCAGTCTGAGTTGGTCTCACATTCAGGAGTTGGTGGTGCTGCAACGGTACATACATATTGGTACCAGTTATACTTTGTGTCAAAATGAAACTTGGGTGAAAAAAAATAATTAGGGAGTAATCCATTTAATATTTTTTAAATTGTGTGTTGTGTAAACTAAATGCTAACAATATTTTGAGAAATGAAATCACATATTGAAAAATAAATCATCAACTAATCTATGGTGAATTGAATTTCAATCGTGAAAACTTACGTGGGACACAGTTTCCATTTTGCAATCTGTACCCAAACTCTGTGGGACAGACACAGTTTCCACGCTCGTCTATGATCATTCCTCGCTCAAGAGCACATACACAGCGTCCCCTCTCGTCCACTCTCTGTCCTCGTTCCTCCAAGCACCTTATACACTCGTCGTTGTTGTTGAGTCCAGTGCCTGGAGGGCAGACACAGTTGCCTGCCTCGTCTACCACGTAGCCTTTGTCTGCTGCACACTGTGGCACTGTATAACGAGAAAATAAAATTGGTAAAAGCAGTTATCTAATTTAACACTACCAAATACTTTCCTTCTCCTACAATTAACAGAAAATGTAAAACCTAAGGTTCATATACAGAAATTAGGAGTGACTTGGATTTTCCAGAACTGAATATAAATTAATCATCATTGTTGACTTGCAGCTAATGTATTAATGCCTTTATAGTACCGGTATGTATATTATCCATATGAGAAGTAGGTACCAAGGGTAGAGTTGTTACTAACCAAGGTCGCAGCGTACGGCGGCATTGCCCTGATAGCCGGGCAGACACTCGCACACCATAGTGCGCCACACCGGAGTGTCGTACACCTGGCAGCGAGTGTTGAGGCCGCACGGCTCAGTGGCGTTGCAGGGGTTCACACAGTCAGAGTTGATACAAGCTGTCTGCGAGGGACAGTCACTGTCACTTACACAGGTCACTTCCACTGCAAGACAGAAACATACCATCACTTAGCTAATTGACTACTGATTAAATTATACCTTTTAAAAACATTGTAGATGGGTGGTAAGATTTAACACTAATCATGATTTTTTAAATACATTTTTAAAATTCAACATAAAGTTTGAAATATTTAACCACGATCAAAACATTATTTATATTCAAACAATGCTTCCTAAATGTACCAAAGTACAACTTTTCTAGATAAAAATTTCAATATTAGGATAATAAATCAATATAAATATCAAAATACCTTTCTCACAGCCGATGCCAAGATCTCCGACATATCCTGGTGGGCAGGAACAATCGACTTTGTGATCATAAACTACACACTCAGCCGGCTTCTGGCAAGGGTTGCTCTCTGCACAAGGAGACACACACAAAGCGTTGATACAGGCTCTGTCACTAGGACAGTCAGAGTCTGCGCGACAACCGATGACAACACAAGCGATGTTGGCGTCACCTGTCAGTCCAGGTTGACACTGGCACACTGCGCGATGGTGAACACCGTAGCAGATGGCTCCAGTGCCACAAGAGCTGCCATCGGACGCACAAGCAGGCACACACTGCCGGTTGACACAGGTGTGGGTACCGGCACAGTCACTATCACTATGGCATTCAGCTGCACAAACATTAAACAACAGTTATAACTTTTGATGATGTATTCATGCAAGGAATAATAAAAAAAAAACAACGTAAAGTTAAACTCAAGTTATTTGGATAAGGTCTCTAAATAACAAAAACAGTGGTTTTATAGTTTTTAGTTTGGTTTGCAAATAATTATTACAATCAAAATTTTTTACAAATAACAGTAACATGTTTAGTTTTGTTTTACAAACTTGGTTGTAAATATTTCACCATGATACAAGATTTTGCTTAATTATTTAGATTTTATACTTGAATCAGAGTAAAAATACCTTTGCTACAACAAACCTAAAGAAAAGAATAAAGGAATTTCCATTTAACCTGGTTGGTTTTTCATTAAAATGTTCTCTTAAAATTGATAGATTTATTTCCTATTTAAATAGCATTAATTTTAACAAGTACTCCCTGCTACAGAGAAGGCCAAAAGTGTCTGCTTTTTAGCAAACTGTTGATAGCTTTTTATTATGAAATTTAAAAAAAAACTTGCAAAATTTGATCTTATTGTATTCCTAAACAAGCAAACTACATCAGTTTACTTATTCTGCATAAAAATATCATGGGAATTTTAAATTTACAATTTTTAAAATTTTCTTTGTAATATTTAGGTGCTCAACAACACTTCAATAAACTAAATTACTTGTTTTTAAGCTCTAAATAAATATTTGTATGTTTTGCAGGACAGTTCATTTCGGAAGGAATTGTGTTTGTGGCGGGTGACCAGCTACAGAGCTGCAACTAGTGTCATTCTGTTCACAAATGATGCCAGTAAGTGGGGAGGAGCCTCGTTGAGGTGTAAAAGCAAACTGATTTATATGCAAAAACAGTCCTTACTTAAAAGCTGCCCTCGTAGAATCTATATAATTAATACGCTACATGAAACTTTGTCGGTTGAACTCCTCCGCCATTTCTTAACCGATTTTATCCGTTTATTTATTTATTTATTTATTTATTTATCGTTTCAACGGCTGACGCCAATACATAGATGATTAGATTGAGATACAATTTAAGGAACTAACAAGAAGCAAATGTTATGCAATTCAGAACAGTAACAAGCTACGAGATAACAATAAATACAACAATAAAAACAAAAACAACAATAAATAGCAACAATAAATACAAGTTGACAAACAGGCGAAATTCACAATATGATTTACTAATTTGAGAAAATTATGTGATATAACATTTGAGTGCAAAAACAGAACAATAATAATGCATGAACAACCAAGCAAAGAACAACCCAAACATATCAGAAAATGTGAGAAGAATACTGCCATACAATTAAACAAAACAAGAAAGGGCAGTAGAAGAATTTGCATAAACAGAGAGGCACAGGCACAAAACACAGAAAGATCTTCACTTCACCACTTCGAAATCACCACACATTTCTTGAAGGTAGCCAGCGACATATTAAAGAGGTCAATATCGTCAGGTAGAGCATTTACGAGACGTTGGGCTCTAGGCAGTGGGCTGAAGAGATGGTAGTTGGTGCTGAGATGCTCACGAGAGAAGAGATCCTTGGATCTTGAAGATCTACCTGCCCTGAAGTTCAGAAGTTTGAGAAGTCCGGGACAGTCGATGAAGCCATTGACCAGTTTGTAAATGAGCAAGATGTCCTGGATCTCACGTCTGGACTCCAATGGAAGGATTTGAAGGGCCTTGGAGATTTCTTGGATGGGTACCTCTCTGTAGTTGTAGCCCAACCTCACACCGACCACTCTCAAGAAGTGATTAACAACCATTTGAAGTTCGGTCTTGAGATAGTCCTGGTGAGGTGACCAAACACAACAGCCAAACTCTAGGTGTGGCAATACGAAGGCCAGGAACAGGGTTTTGAGTAGAGTAACGTCTTGGAAATATTTGGAGCTTCGAAGAACAAAACCCAGGGCTTGAAGGGCTTTTCTGCAACTAGAGGTAATGTGACGTTCCCATGACAGGGAGGAGGTTAAGGTCACACCTAAATCCCTCACTTCATTAACCCTTGCAAGATTAGATTGACCCAGGCTATATACGAACTGAGACTGAGACTTCTTCTTACTAAACGATATGGCTACACACTTTTTAATGTTTAGATCCATGTGGTTTGAGAGACACCAGTTCTGGACGGCATCGAGACTACGTTGGAGGAGAAGGCAGTCTTCGTGGCTTCTAATGGTACGGTATATCTTCAGGTCATCAGCAAATAGAAGGCAATGGTTACCTACGTGGGTCACAAGGTCATTTATGAAGATGTTGAAAAGTGGTGGACCGAGGTGTGAGCCCTGGGGAACACCAGATGTGGGGAAAAATTCGTGAGATAAAGAACCAAGAAACTTAACTTGGACGGGGCGGTTTGCAAGGTAGGACCGGAACCAAGATAGCATTTTCCCAGTTACACCAGCAGCTTGGAGCTTGGTGAGGAGGAGCGGATGGTTTACCCTGTCGAACGCCTTAGCAAAGTCAAGATAAATTGCATCCACTTGCAAGCGATCTTGAAAGGCATCAAGGATGTCAGCTTGCATTACCAAAAGATTGGTGGTAATTGAGCGTCCGGTAGAAAATCCATGCTGCAGTGGAGAGAGATACGGCTTGATGGCAAAATTCAGTCTTTTGAGGATCAACTTTTCAAAGATTTTGGAGAGTGTATTCAAGATAGCTATAGGTCTGTAGTTGCGGACGTCTAGAGTAGGACCAGATTTGTGAATGGGTAAGATGTAAGCACTCTTCAGGGCATCAGGAAACACACCCGAGGCTAAAGAGTGGTTAAACAGAACTAAAATAACAGGAGCTAGTACATCAGCACTTGATTTGAGAACATTAGGCGGTATGTTGTCAGGGCCGCAACCCTTAGATCCATCCAGGTTCCTGAGGCAGTCGACAACTTCCCCAAGCTGAAGCGAGCAGGAAGAGAGGACATCTGAAGCTCCCACATCAAGTGGAGGATTATAGGCATGATCGTTGGTGTAGACCGACGAGAAGAAGTCAGCGAAGAAGTTGGATATTATATCAGGATGCTCCGATGAATGATCATCATACTTGAAGGTTCTAGGCTGATCATCAGAAGATTTAAGGTTCCTCACAAAACCCCAGAAAGACTTAGGATTGCCCATTATATTGGCTTGAATAAACTGCAAGTAGTTTTTGTAGCAGATTCCAGAGAGTTGTTTGCATTCAGCTCTGACACGTGCAAACTTGACGTAATCATTATCCTTTAGGGACGTCTTAAAAGCCCTGTGAAGGATTTTCTTCTCGATCACCAGCTCACGCAACTGGGGTGTGAACCAGACGGGAAAGGGAGACTTGGCAATATTTTTCATGGGAGTATGACGCAAAACTATGGTACTGACTGTACTGCAGAAGCTATTAAACAAAGCATTGGTATCTGACTCAGGGTCAAACCAACTAAAATCATGTGACTGAAGTTCCAAATGAATAGCAGGTAGATCGCTTTGACTGAAGTTTGGTCGGAAAATAGGAGCTCTGTCAGAGATTTTTTGAGGCAAAGGTACATCTATTGATAAAGCAGGATGATGAGACTCCGCTGGAACCAGAGGATCAGTGTCTTTTGATACCATGATGTTGTTGAGGGAACACATAATAAGGTCTAGACACACTCCACGGTCATTTAGGACATCGTTGAACTGACTTAAATTCAAAAAGGACATAGAGTTCATAACCACGTTGGACTGAGCTGACTGGGGGTAGGGGGGGTCGGCAGTTTGGCACCAGTTCACTTCAGGTAGATTAAAATCGCCAATCAGGAGGGACTCAGTGGGATTAGTGGTAACAACAGCTTCTTCAATAATGGAAAAATACTCCTGGTAGAGATCTCTGTGGGATTTAGGGGGAAGGTAGACGCCACTTAGAAGAAAGTTCGATAGAGCGCCACACGACAGTGATACCACCAGACACTCAACATCATCGCTCTGGATATCAACCCTCCTTGAGCAATACTTCTTGTCAACAGCCATCATCACACCACCACCCGAAGACTTGGCACTATTATCCTTAGATCGGTCTTGCCTGTATATATCAAAGGTGCTAGGGAAACCAAGTTCAGAGCTAGAAATATTAGGTAACAAGTTAGTTTCCGTAAGAACAATAATATCATAGACACATGTCGAGAGTGACTTCCTTAGATCCAAAAGTTTCGTTCTCAGTCCATTCACATTTTGATAGAACATGTGAATTGTGTGAAGGACTGGGGAGTCTAACCGTTTTTTGGCTTTTTCACAATAGCGGGTGTACCATTGACAAACTTGATAGTGAGATCGGTTTCGCCTGTTTTTGTGCGCTCTTCCAGCTCTTTCCGTAGTTTGCTTAAAAGCTTACGTTCGTTTGGAGTTCTATCTCTAGAAAGCTCTATTTCGGAGAAAGAAGCGTGAATCGAGGCAATCTTATCAACAGAAAACGTTGTAAAGAACGAACGAACATCATCAGAAGATGGAAGAGTAACCTTCAGGGGACGAGGAGCTCGACCCTTACTACGGCCGATTCTAAAGAAACTGAAAGAGGAGAAGCTTACCCCCAGGCTCTGAAAGATTTTATTAAGAGTATCCAGATCATGGGCCTTAATCAGGTCAGCGTTGTTGGAGTTGCTTTCAGGGAGCTTGTACAGGATAATGTTCTTAGCCCGACGTATCCGGTCATTGAATTCCTCAAAAATATGTTCAGTTGTAGATTGGTCCAGGGAGGTAGATTTCAGTTCAGAGATGACGCCTTTCAAGTCGGAGATGTCATTTTCAGCAACGGCAAGTCGAGGTTCGATGTCAGAGACCTTAGAGGAGAGGTCATTCAGTTGAGCCTTAAGATCGGAAATCCCGCTCGCTAATTTGCTAAAATCTTCTTTAGTAGGAAGCTGGGCAAAGTTGTCTAGGAGCTTATTCAATTTGGCAGATACAGTAACATCAGGATTTGCATTACAGTCAAAACGGTTACACTTCCAAACTTGTTTGTTGTTGGCAGCCAGCTTACGGGTATTATACTCAGAGGACGATAAGCCGACACAAGTACAGTGAAACCATCTGTCACATTCATCACATTCAGCTTTTTTATCAGTAGGTAAGACCTTAATAAAGCAGACCACACATATATCCTTGGGGGGATTCATAATGCAACAATCTGGAGAAAAATTATTGCACAGAACGTTTGGGTGATGTGATACACCACTATCGAACACTAGTTATAGTATTTTACTCGCAGTGCAGATATTCTAAAGGCTGTGACTGGAGGGAGACTAGCGTAGACTGGATTGAGTCCGGGTCGAACTGGATGGAGCGGACTAGCGGAATTGGACTGTCAAAACTAATGCAGTTAGTGAGGTTAAATGCATATTACTGTTGCCGCCAAAACGACAGACATGAATAAACAAAGTTATTGACAAGTTCAGATGTAGATTCGTTTAAAAATTAATGCAAATGTGTGAGTTTTTACTCGACTGATAATTGAATCATATAGCTTACGTAGATCGGCAACCTCGAAACGTCCAACAATAATCGCTTTCTAGGCTTGGTAGTAGGGTAAGTACACTTATTTACACAAAAAATCGCAGCACTCAAAACAAAACTTCAAGTCAATTATAGTAGCAGACGACGTTGATGTCTCATTGGAAAGAGCGTGTCGCGTAGATTTGCAAACTGGCCTTACATTTCTGAAAAATCCCTTGGACTCTGCCCCAGTGGCTTTGAAAGTTCCCATGTTATCTTTATGAAGAACATAATTGTTTACATTTGATCAGCTGTATAATTTAATTGCTGTTATTTATTTTTCAATTCAATATTTACTATTTGAGTTTGTGTAAACATAACCCCCAAGACGGATCGTGTTAGTATGGTTGTATCTTAAATTTGTGTATTTATCGTCGTTTTGTGCCGCTACGAAGGATCGTGTTAGCACGATTGTAACTTAAATTTCTGCATTTATTGTTGTTTTGTGTAGCTATAATTTGTTTATTTGTTGTTTTTTTTTCTTTTAAATGCCTCTGACGCGACAACAACGAAACGTAGACAGGAGGCGTAATCGTGATAACGACCGCAGCTACAGAACAGTGGCGCGTAGGCTTAACTCATCACAGTCAGCACCTGACCCTGGACAATCTCAACTATTAGGTTACAAATGCACCCTAACACTAATCCAAAACGACTTTTCGTTTTCAATTGGCCATCTATCAATGACCTGTGTTGCCTGTACATCGAGGCATTTTGAGAAGGAGAAAACCGGCCGGAATTCTTTAGGTTTATCAATAACGAAGATAATCGTGTTCTGAGTTACACGCCGGTACCTAATCTTTGAGTTGACTCTTTTAAACTCATTGTAAATATGACTGTTATTCGTTTTGAAATAACTCCTGTAATACTTTGGAATTGCTCGAATTCGAGCAACATGTACACTAGTATTGGATTAAGATTAAACCTATTTTAAATAAATGTATATATGAATTTAAATAGATTGTGTTTTTAGCTTCTGGGACATTAAAACAAAAAACTAAAAAAGTAATTGGTCACCAAGGTCTTACTATGAGACATACGGTAATAGCTTATTCTCTTTGGGGAGTTAAAATTGTTATAATTAGACCATATATATATTATCCTTACCTATACCATAACTTTATTTGTAATGTACAAATAAATAAATAAACCAGAATGTTCTGATCATTTCATTTCACTATTACATTAAATGTAAAAGGATACTTACTCTTGATGCAGTTGAGTTGAGCATTTCCATCGTACCCTGGCAAGCAAGAGCAGACAGGCTTGTGGTCTCTTACTCTGCACTCCGCATTTGGTCCACATTTACAGGGATCTCTACACAGACCCTTGAGGCAAGCTTTGTCAGATGGACACTCAGAATCAGCCGAACATCCCCCGATGTCAGTGCGCTGGACTGGCATACAACTGCCTGAGCCACTGGAGATGAATCCCTCGGGGCACATACAAATCATGGTGCGTACAGGCAGAGAATTAGTAGCTTGACAAATGGAGGGCCTGCTACAAGGCTCCAACACACCACATGGATCTTTACACTTTCCATTGAAACAGGCCAAAACTGAGGGGCAATCTCCGTCTACTCTGCACTCTGAGACGACTTCTGGTCTACAGGTTGTGTATGGATTACCGACCATTCCTGACGGGCAGCGACATAGAGCCAGATGGTTGTGTACTAGACATTCTGCCTGACTTGCACAAGGATGTTCGTACACGCATGGGTTGATACACTGGGCGTTGATGCAAGCTCGGTCGTCAGGACAGTCACTGTTGCTACGGCACCCCACAACAACACACCGTTCGTATGGGTTGCCACGGTAACCTGAGAAACAGCGACATTCGGCACGGCTTCCAACTGGGTAGCACTCAGCGTTGATGCCACAAGGATCGCTGACCACACACGGGTTGATACAGATTCCGTTGACACAAGCCTTGTTGGATCCACACTCAGAGTCTGATCTGCAGCCCACTGCAACAGCCACCCACAGTTGAGATTAGTAATTACTTACCAATTAATTAGCAACTACTTAGTCTGTTAGTAGTTGTTGTTATTACCATTTTTCAATTAACTACCTACCTAATTAAATTAATTGTCTGGGTTTTCAAAGTTTACATAAAGTCAATATATTACTATTTTTATTCAGTTCAATATAACAAAAAACAGTTTGTAAATTTCTTAATTTAAAAGTAATAAAAAGATCTAAAAAAAACTTTACCTGTCCTACAGGCGATGTTAGGATTTCCTTCAAAGCCATTCAGACATGAGCAAATTGGACGATGGTTTTGGACTACACAATTGGTATTTGTTCCGCAGTTGCACGGATTGCGACACATGCGGTTGATACAAGTCTCATTGCTGGAACAGTCTGTGTCAGCTGTGCAGCCTGGCGGGATGGGCACAACCACTGTAACATTGATACAAGTTTTAATCTGATGAAGCTGTTTGTCCAACAAGTGAGGAAACAACTGAGGTCAGTTTAAAGTAAAATTGAAAAAAGTGAATAACTACAAAAAGAGACTCGTAGTTATCCAAAACAATTGGGTATTAAGGTGTTCAGATAACTGATATTTTCAGATATCAGTCATTGAAAGTAAAAATTAGGTAATTTTTTTTAACTTTGATTAATACAATTGAAATACAGTTTTACCGATTTACATATATTTTTACTGGTTTTGATTGCCCTCTGCGATTGTAGCAACAACAATTCGCATTTAAAATGAGGTATCAGGGTGACATTTCAATTTTCAGAGATTGTACGCGCTTAGACAATATATATTCCTATATTTTTTCTTTATGGCTCTATATAAAAATATTTAAGACTCTGTTACTCACCAGGTCGACACTCTCCCTCGTTGTTAGGTACCCAGCCATCAGGACAGGTACAGATCATGGTCCTGACTGGCATTGTGTCCAGGACACTGCATCTAGATGACGTTGCACAAGGTGATAGTGCAATGCAAGGATTGACACAAACGTTGCGTATGCAGGCCAGTTGACTTGGACACTCAGGGTCGTGTCTACACTCGGGCTCGGCCATGACTGGAGGTCGCCGCTCACAGTACGCCATCGGGTTGCCCATGGGTAGATGGTCTGGACAGCGACAAGCTGCATAGTGGTTCCTTACATAGCACAGCGCATTGGCCGCACAAGGAGGGTTGATGGGATTGTCACACGGGTCTACACAATGTTGGTTGACACAAGCTCGGTTTTGGGGACAATCTGCGTCCACACGACACTCAATGCGAGCGCAGCGGACAAGCGGGTTACCCTCGTAGCCGGTTCGACACCTGCATGACGCACGATGTTCAGAGCCATAGCATTCCGCATTGGCAGCGCAAGGGTCTCCAAGGATACACGGGTTGATGCATTCTCCATTATAGCACATCTTGTCTGAACTGCACTGTTCGTCTGACTCGCATCCAACTGTAACATTTAAATTCATAAAATTATTAAATATTTTAACATGTTATTCACTAATACTGTAGGGTAGACACTTAGCGAAGAGTCCATGATTGAGAAACCATTCTTAACTTCTGCATCTGTCCTTTTACTTTCTCCCCCTAACCATACATAATATATGGAGGAAGTATAGTTTTGTAAGTGATGTCTCTGTGTGTGTCTGTATGTGAGGATGTGTATAAAGTTACAGACCACACATGTGGTCAAATTTTAATGAAATTTGTTATGTTGGTACTAATCCATCGTATCTCTAAGCGTTTTTTTTAATGACATTTTGGTTTTTAATGGTGATTTTCCCATAAAATAACGGAAAAATCGAATTCCCTCAAAATGAAATTTCCTTGATCGTGGGAGTCAATGATGATGTCTACACGGCCGCGGGAGATGATCAGAATGTGGCCGCGATCGTGCAAGAAAACGATGACGTTTCTGTGACCGCAGGAGTCGATGATGGTGACTAAATGACCGCAGGCGATTATTAGAATTTGCCACGATCGCGGGAGGTGATATGATGATGTGTACACAACCGCTGGAGTTGATCAATTGTTATTATGTTTACAGATTTTATTTTAGATCATTGACATGTAAATTGTTAATTTATTTATTTTAGAGTTAATTATGTTAACAGTTATATTTTAAAGAGTGGTTGCTACTCACTTGGTGCATTCTTGCTGTTAGGCCTACTCTAACAGGAAATTAACTGTATGTAGCTTATTATTTAAAAAAAAAAAAAAAACTTTGACGATGTCTATTGTAATACTTGTATTGCTTAATGACAAATAAAGATCTTGAATCTTGAATCATTATATTAACCTCAAGTTTAGCTTGACTAAAAAATTAGGCTTGCACATCTTTAGTTAAAATTAAATTTTCTTTTAGATTTTTTTCTTAGAACTTCATTTGCTTATTATTAGAATATAGTAGTTCTTTAATGTGTTTAGAGATTTAACTTAAATTAAACATAAAGACAGGGATTGTGTAATATAACCAATCAGTTCAGAAAACTTGGTAAAACTATAAAAAAATGGTATCTGTATCGAGAATTGATTTTTCAGGTACGGTATCAGCATTGGTATCGAGAATCGATAAATGTTGGTATTGACACATCCCTAATCTTGATTGAACAAAAATGCAATTGACTTTTAAAATATGAAGTGAAATACTGACGTTTTGTGCAGCCAATCTGTGGATTGCCAGAGTAGCCAGGCTTGCAGAAGCAGATTGCATAGTGGTTGGTCACTCTGCACTCTGCGTTGGGTCCACAGTTGCAGGGACTGATACAGAGACGATTGACACACGACTCCTTCAGGCTACAGTCCGAGTTAGAGCTGCAACCCACAGTGATTGCATCCGCTGTGGACAAATAGTTCAAAAACATCAGTTATATCTTGGTAACCAATAGAGGGAGGTTGGGAAGAATAGAAATGTAACATACTGGATTATAACAGACTTGTAAAGATTTTTTGAATGATGGTTTAAAATGTGTGAACAACCCCCCATCGCTTTTTATAATTCCTAAAAAAATAAAATATCAACATATTTTTACAAGAGTTAACATGCATGGAGACACATATACACAAAACAGTTTTTTGAAAACAGTACTTAGACCTCGATCTAAGCCATACCACAATCCTATAGAAATTAATTAAAATTATATAAAATGTTCAATTACATAGCTATGGTCTTGTGATACTTACGAGGTCTACATTCGATGCGAGGATCTCCCAAAAAGCCTGCAGGACAGCGACACACTGGCTGGTGACTCTCAACGTGGCAGAAAGCTCCTCGAGCACAGTGGTCGGCAACACATGGGTTAGCACAGCGTTGGTTGACACACGATCGGTCCCAGGGACACTCGTCATCTCTGACACACTCCGGGACAATCACCAGTGGAGTTTGTGATGGTGCTGGTGACAAAATTAAGAGTGTTGAAAAGATATTGAAAATTGTGCATTTTCTAAAAACAAACTATTTTTCAGAGTCTATTTTATATTCAATAAGCATAGATTGAGACACACAGAGGAATGGTCAAAGGAAATTTTCTTAGGATATCCTGGATAAGTCTACATATATAATACGTATTATCTCACACACAAGGGCCAATACATACTTGAGAGTAATTGTGAGATTCTCTTTTTTGATTGTCAGATAACTGCAAACTTACAGAAAGTACACTCCAAATGTGGGTTGCCGACAAAGCCAGGTGGGCAGGAGCACACAGCTGTGTGGGACTGAGACATACAGATGGCGTTGAGGCCGCATGGGTCGACTCTACAAGCCTCCATACAGCTGCCTCGCACACAACGCTCTGGGTCCGAGCAGTCTGTATCCACACGGCACTGTGGCACCGGTCGGGCTGGCAAACAAAACAATCAATGTCAACCACAACCCAGCAAAGTTTTACTTCAGTGATAGTCAAACGTTTTCGTGGAAGATAAAAAGTAGCCTACTCTTAGTTGAATTGAGTTTTCGATCTAACTCTACAAGTGAAGGATAATTATACAGAGCAAAGTAAAACTAATTTACATTCTTTAATACTTTAATACTTTAATACTTTTAATACTTTTCAATGAAATGGCGACCATACAAAGTAGGTATTTTAAGCCAGGTATGAAAAATGAATGGAGATGAGTGGCACGAGCTTGTAGTCTTGTTAGTGACTAAGGCCGACTTATTCCTTAGACCCAGCTGTTAATTAATAGCCCATTCAGCTAATGGCAACTTAAGGGACCTACAGTTTATAGTGGAATCCGAACCACATTTTTGCCTTTGGTATATACAAATTGGTCTAATTATCAGGATAGTACTGCAGATGGTATTTTACATCAGTAGAGCATATACATTTTCCACTCCATCTTTTATTTTACTAACAATTTGATTTTTTTATATCAGAGATCTGAAATAGAAGCTTGACAATTTATGTTAAATTTGAAGGTGTGTAAAAAAATGGCTTTTGAAAGAATTTTAATGAAAATTTGAAATTTTGGTTGATTTATTAGTTTTTTTAGCAGTAGGCCTGACATATCTATACCAGGGATATATTTTGATTTATTGAACAAAGAATGAATACATCCCCACTGGGTAAGATAAACTTACCGATGGCTTTGCACCTTCCGTCATAGTCTGGCACTGTGTCTGATGGACATTGGCAGTAGACAGTTCGCAGTGGTAGTGTGTCTTGAACTCTACACTCTTGGTCTGGCGAGCACATAGACGCTGAACGACAAGGGTCGCCACAACGATCATTGATGCAAGCCAAACGTGACGGGCAGTCTGCATCTGTCTCACATTCTGCCTTGATTGGTCTTCGAATTTCATCCTCTCCTGGACATAAAAAGAAATAAAAAACTGAAATTGTTTTCATTTTTTTTATTCTTACAAAAGTTTTGATTAGTCATAACTCTCTTTACATATTAATATATTCAGATTCAGTTAAATTGAAATACATTAACTTTATACAAATCATTAGAGCTTTTTTATTATTTCAGATTTTTCTGTAAATTGGTTATACGACGATAACAGCACCTAAAATTTAAGGTTCTTAGGGTTTTATGTTTTCTTCTTTCACACTATGTTTCATGAAAATTGGACAAAGTGTACAAATATACAAACAACACTATACAACTATATATACAAGAAGCTATTGTTGTACAGTTAATGTTGAACACAACTTTTTAGGTCAATTTGTTTTTTTTAATCCCAGTTTTAAGAACTTGAATTATATTAAATTAACTATTGTTGTTGTTGATTGACTTCTTCTAAGTAAGATGTTTGTACAAAAACTCAGGCAACAAAAACCAAGGTAAATCTAATATGTTTAGGTATGGGAACATCAAACCAAGAAGAGAGTCTTTATAAAGTTTAAAATAGATACTCTCATTGTGTAAATATTTTTGTAAAACTGGTTCCTAAAAATAAAAAGAACTTACGTTCACAAGCGATGTAAGCGTTGCCTCGAGTGCCCGGAGGACAGGTGCAGGTGGGCTGATGATTCTTGGAAGAGCATATAGCAGTATCGGCACAGGTGTCACTCTCACATACAGGGCGACACACACGGTTAAGACGATCACACGCCTCGTGGTCCGCACAGTCTTCGTTGTACTGACATACGACACTCACACACGACAACATGGGGTTACCCTGTGTACCTGCCGGACAAACGCAAGTGCCTCGATGTGGCGACGTCACCTGAAAATTTTTAATAAAATATTTGTTGTAATCACTTTAAATTTGAGTGTAATTAATATGATATATAAAAATATAACTATCAATTTAAATAAGTCATTAAATTCTTTTGCAGTTTTAATAATTCCTGCTGTAGGTAGAGTAAAATTTTTATTTTTTATATTTTTAAAACATTGTATAATAAACTAAATGGTACAGAGGAAAATGATATGTTATCTTACCTTGCACTCTGCTCCTCGACCACAGGACATTGATAAACAAGGAGACGCACAGCTTCCTCCAACACATGCCTTGTCATACAGACAATCGGAGTCTACCTTGCACTCAGCTGTGTACAGACAACACAGTAACTAAATTATACATTTACTTGTAGCTCAAATATTTTAATTGATTGTTGAATAGTTATAATTTATTGTAACAGTGAAAACATGAGCACTACCTATGCAAGACAGAAACTGAATTTACTTAAGGCTTTCAAATTTCGGAAAAATATGTACAACCAAAGTTTTGGTGCAAGTTAAAAAATTCTTAAATGGAAAAAGGTTTACAACGTGGTACCGGTACCTTGATAACTTGTTCATTAGATGTTTCTAAAGCAAATTGTTTTAATTTTTATTGTTTAGTTTACTGGCAAGGGTACCAAAACATTTTATAGTGTGATTTTGATTTACAAGAATAATCTTTGGGAAAACGTATAGATAAAAAAAAATTATTAAACACATTTATTTTCAAGGCAAAATACATAAATAAGGAAGAGGAAAATATATTATTAGATGGGTTTGCAATATTACTCAATATTATTTAGATTCAGGTAGGTAGTTAAAAAAAAAAACTAAACTTACGTTTATAGCATTGGACTTGTGGGTTGCCGGCCCATCCGTTGGGACAGTTGCAGACAGCGCGGTGGCTGCTGACGGCACACTCAGCGTTGAGACCACAGGGGTCAGCAACAACACAAGGGTTCTGGCAGCGTTGGTTGACACAAGCCAGGTGACTGGCACATTCAGAGTCTGCAGTACACTCAGGCGATGCCACCGGCTCTGCACATCACAACTTACAAGTTACAACTACTGCCAAAGTTTAATATTAGGAGCTAATGATTAAAGCTACTGTGCTCTGATTCTCTCAGATTTCTATGGAACTCAACTCATCAGGGGTGCCTGCTGCTTTGGGGGTATGACGCAGAGTGTGTCATACAAATATTTTTTGGAAGGGATTTTTTTAGGTAAGTAGGAATATTTTTGGTAGGTTTTAAAAGGTTTTTTTTGGGGGGGGGAGGGAGAGCAATTACATACAAATTGAGTGTGATGAACTAAAAATTTATTTGCACTTTCCTGCATTATTTTCAGGCCTACCATACTATTTCATATTTACTGAAATGGGACGTGAACAGTAACAATTTTCACACGTAGTGTAGTTAAGTGATTCTATTTTTTTTGTGTTTCATACTACAGTCCTTGCGGCCAATACCTTAACTGTAGTTTGTTGTTGCACAAACACCGGCGTTTTGCAATTATTCGGTGAAGTAGGCAAGTATAGGTATAGTGGCCGGAATTATACGCGGTATTACAAAACTCTCTATGGTATTACCTTGCATTAAAGTTTAAAAAAAAAAAGATAACAGAATACATATTAAATAGCTGGCACATTCAATAAATGTATAATATGTTTTATATCCAATATCAATAGAGTGAAAAACTTCTTATATGAAACGTTGTGGGATTTTTTTATAAAAAATTCTGAATCAACCATTTGACAGATTTTCATGATTCTTCTTTTTAAAGAAAGATCTTTTTTAAGAAAGACTGAGTGGGGAATGTCGAAGCCATAATTTAAATTTGGGGTCTCAACTTTTTAAATTTGATTTTAATATTTAAAAAGTCTGGCAGACGACGCTATTGTTCTAGGTAGAACACCATTTGTTCAAGTTAAAAGCAGCAAATATTAAGCATGTGACACTAATTCAGCTCTTGGGTAAAGATAGCATATGGTTTTTTATTTGTACTATGTGTAATGTCATATACTTTTTTTGTCGGGTAACAGGATAACCGATTTGGGTGTGATAAAATGTGAATTTGTTGTACAACAATATTTTGTACAACTAAGTGATAGGTGTAAAAGATTCATTGATCATTAGGGAATAAGTAAGATTGCTTAACTATTTCTGCTATGTGCAAATAAATTATCATTATCATTATAATTCTAATAGATTTAAAGATCCCTCCCATTGCAAGGCACAGGAACTAATAGTTTGATAGCAATTTCGGTTGAACAAATTAGCTATTATAGTTTTCTAAGTGCTAAAACTGCTGAAGGTTTACAGTTTTTACAACTACTCTTGCGTCATAGGTAGATGTTGACCAGCCTTCCAATATTGGTGGTAAAATAAGTACCAAATATATAAATATGCATAGTAAACATTTTCATTTGTATACCATCAAAATTTACGCGGGCGGACAGTAGGATGGCCTTGAGGGGGATGGACACCCCTGCTATTCATTAAACAAATTCGGAAAAATATCAATATTTCAAAGAAATAATTGTAGATCAGTTCAGTTTAGTTGTAATGACGCCACTCTATGTATATCACATGCATTAATTTGTATGAATAAATAGATACATATTAACGTCTCTTAAGTCATAATAGTATTTGAAATTGTAATAAATCAACAAAATAAATCCCATTACACTATAAAATCTGACAACAATATGATTCTAGAACAAGAATAAAATGTGCCGTAAATGGTCCTAAAGTATGAAAATACTCGAGTATAAGTTGTTAGAAACATTGATGTAGTTTAGAAACATAATTCAAAATTTAGTGATGATTATATGAAGAAGCTTAAGTATAGTCATACCCTTGTAGCAGTTGACAAAAGCATTGCCAATCTGTCCTGGTGGACATTTGCAGTTGGCTCGATGGTTGGTGGCCTCACACAAGGCATTGGAAGCACAAGGGCTGGTAACAGCACAGGGGTTGACACATCTTCTGTTGAGACAAGTGTCTGTGATGGGACATTCGTCATCAGACTTGCAGCCCGGCTGATCTGTTGGGGCTAAGCAACAAGAACATTGTCAACAAAATATTACTTATCAGGGATATAGTTCATACACCGTCTTAACAAATTTTCAGGTAATCTATTTATCTATTGATCAGATGAACACAAATTTCAAATTATTTTCTGTTGTACACAAAAAATACTCTGATAAAAAAGTATTGATTAGTAAATTATGGTGTGTGCTGACATTAGTGGATGGAGTTAGGAGTGAGGAGGGAAAGAGTAAATGTTAGTGAAGATGCCAACTGTGATCCTGAAAACATAAAACAAAACATGTTAGTAAATGTTGTATTATGTTCCACAACCAACAGTGTCTTAACCAAATTACAATATCATAAGAATAATTGACGTTTGAAATCTACAAGCATTATTATAATTACTTCCAATAAAAATAAATCATAAAAATATTTACGTTGTGTTCAGTTTTGTTAAGTACTGATTGTTTGCCACCTAAAACAAATAATTGGCAGATAGGTTTAGTGTAAAAAAGATTTAGATTTTATGGTTTGATAATCTAAAAAACTGTATTCTATTAAAATTTAAAATAAATTTCTACATTATGTTTTACCTCATTTTTAACTTACCCAGTTTGCACTCTACGTCGGCGTCGCCTACATATCCCGGCAGACACATGCAGCTCATGGTTCGAAGAGGCAGAGAGTCGACTACCATACACTCGGCATTGGCACCACAAGGATGAGTCTCGGCGCAAGGGTTACGGCATGATCCGCTGAAACAGGCCAGCTTGCTGGCACAGTCAGCGTCCATGCGACACTGTGGCGGGATGTCCATAGGTGCTAGAAACATTAAAAATTCCAATAGAAAACATAAGCTCATTTTATAGAAAACATATATGTTTTACTGTTATGATTAACATGATCAGTTTTGAAATTTTTGTTCAGCAACAGTATATTTCAATACTAGGCCTAGTTGGGACCCATTTTAAGGCAAAATAGTGGTTTACAAGCGAGGCGAAGCTGAGCACGGAAACAACTATCGATCCCCGGAATGGATCTTTCATGACGAGTTGTAAGCGATAGGTTTCATCACGATGCAAACTATCACACAAAGCTTCTAGTTTTAAAGAGTAAAATATTTGTCTACAGTTTCTTTAAAATTCTCTTTTTATAGTGGTCTTAGTATAGTTTTACAGTTGCTTTAAAAGTCAGCTGTCAAATTTCTCATAGTAAAAGAATACAAACACCACTGCTCCTGTTGAGCGATAAAGTAACTCAGTTTTTTTTTGGAAAAGGCAAAAGTTTGGGAAAGGCAAAAGCTTTTTTGGGAAAAACAAAAGTCTTTAAATAATTACATATTCTCTGTCAGCTTAAACTGTTGGTTAATTTCCTATTTCATGGATGAGAGGTTTAAATGGTTGTATTTTTTTACAACTAAAGTAAAAATTCAAAATGAACATGGGTTCTGTATGTTTGTAACGTTTCTCACCTATTGCACAGTTGGCATGAGGATCACCAACATATCCTGGAGGACATCTGCATGTTGCTCGGTGGTTGATCACGTTGCATTGAGCACTAGGGGCACAGTCGCATGGGTCCTGACATCTCTGGTCTCGACAGGTGAGGTGTGACGGACACTCGGCATCAGTCAGACACTGGGGTCGGTCGCAGCGGACCTGCGGGTCACCGTAGTACTGCGGCAGGCATTGACAGCGAGCACGAGCCCCAGCATCCACATGACACTCGGCGTTGACTCCACATTGCGTGTAGGCACAAGGGTTCACACACTCTCGGTTGACACAAGCCTGTGTCGGTGGACACTCTGAGTCACTTCGACACCCAACTGTTACATAACAGAAAAATATTGTTGGATTAGCAGATAAAATCTTGGGTATTAATTAATTACAGTACCTGATTACTGTAATAAATTACAGTTACATAATTAATTAGGTACTGCTGATGTAATATACATTATTTGGTTCTGCTAAAGAAACAAACTAGAACTGAAGAATAAAACAAATTGATAAAATAATTCAATAGCAATATTAGTTCCACTTTGAAAGCTACCAGTGGATGAGAAATCTTTTTAAGACTGAATTGTTGTTTGAGGTAGTTTTTTTTTTAGGTCATTGGGTGCAAAAACAAAATAATATTGTTTACATTAACCACAGAAAAAGTAAGGTATAGGAATGAACCCTCATCAAGGTATCAAAAGTAATGCTGTAAATGAAAAGTGTTTGAAAAGAATTAATAACAATTTGAGGTAAAACTGATACTGTAATACACATTTTAAACAAGAAAAATACAGTGGCTGCCAGTTAATTTTTCTTAAAATACCTTGGGATTTATCTATTGTCTTATTGCTTTTCAGTTTTTGTATGATATTGACATTTGAGTTCACATTATATGAAATACCACACCCAGTGCACTTACTCTCATAGCACTGCAGCTGGGCATTGCCAGTGAGCCCGTCCCTGCACACACACAGAGGTCGATGTAGCTGTACATGACACTGTGCGTTAGCAGCACAAACATTTGACTCAGCGCAAGGGTTGCGGCACATCTCGTTGATACAGGCCTTGTCATTGGTGCACTCCGAGTCTGAGAGACATTCTGGCTTGGGGGCTGTAACAAGATATTACGGTATACACATTTGGGACTAAAGAATTACTTAACTAATCGGTAAATTTGTAAATATTCATTGTTGGATCATGGAGGAGTATAAGCTGCTTTACCTTTAAATAGCAGTAAGGAAAAAACAATCTGAACAGGGGGAAATGTGTGGAAATGTTAAAAACCACTTCTTATTACTGGGTATTGTAAGTTAAATGACGTAATACTTAACCCTACAACTGATAACCGTCGATGTCATCGACGATAATGACGTATGTACAGTGATACCCTCGATAGCGTCGACGGTATGTTTCATTTCGTGTTGCTCGGCAACAGCTGTAGATATTTAGTTCGTTCTTGCGAGGAACCATTGTAGACAATGTTGGCCATCCTGCAGTAAACGCCTTCAGTGATTTCATTGTTTGTTCGTCTTTGAATTAGTTTGCCTTTTGTCTGTCACTAGTTTGGTTGCCGATGCTCCAGCTGTAAGCTGTCAGTCAGTGATCAGTGAATGTTTCTTCGGCTATGTGTTGCGTAATAGTTACTGTTTGTTACAATTCTTTATTATAATAATAGTGTATTTTGGTGCCGTAATTAGTAGTTATAATTGTTTCTACGATGTATGACAATCTAAGAGATATTGAGTGATATTATGTCAATGGACTAGAGTGATCCCTCCAGAACCTGACCGGAACATTGAAAATGAATTCAAGGTAAGAAATAGTGGCATAAGAAATTGCCGCCAATTTTTTTTTACAATTAATTGTTTCTATAGTGAAAATACAGTGAATAGGTAGTAAAAAAAATATTTATTTTTTATTTTCTTCGTTCTACAACCAGAGACAAAAGAAAAACTTGGCAAGTCCATATAAATTATATTTTTTTGGGTAGAGTTTCTTTTGCTGAAAATAATAATGTGTAAATGTTTGCACTAGCTCAATATTTGTATTTTCTACGATTTTTACAAAAAACCTTTACATGGGCTAAAAAGAGTGTATCACTTCACAGCCGACAGCTTATCAGTTGTGGGGTTAATACTGAATATTAATCTGACCAGGGTTATATAATAATTATTAAAATACATGCTAGGGTACAGTAAAAATGAAAAATTAAGTTTTATTTGATACTATGAAAAACTATGATCATTCAAAGTGTTTCCCCAATATTATACCCCTAGCAGTTTACGGTTACTTTTAAACGAAATAGTAAATCTTTTGGATTTAAAACTACCTTATGCAATCTATAAGTTAGTAAACATTAATAGATATTAAAAAAAACTTTTTCCAACCAAGCACAGCTAGGTAAAAATTAAGAAGTCTGTCGTAGCTTTAGGAACAAACAGTTTTTTTTCTGCATGCAATTTAAACATAAAGTAAGTAATTTTGTTGTTGATTTCATCGACATTATCGTCATTATCTTCATTATCGTCATTATCGTCATTATCGTCATCATCGTCATCATCGTCATCATTAAATAATTCAAAAATGAATAATTTCCATGTCATGTAACTGGTTGGGCATGATGATGACCAATAAGACAGGCCGAAATTGATCACCATTGTGATGTATTTGATGTATATTCTATTCACCATCTTCTATAGAAGTGATATTGTATACAGTGTATACTATATGTATAGTATATCTATTTAATTATATCCGTAGAATATGTTATTCATAAACAGTTTTGTACAGATAAAAAATATTTAACACAGACAGGTTTTACTCATTTCATAATTAATTAAATTTTGTCAAAGAAAATCAGACATAAATAACATTAACTTACCTTGTTCGACCACTCTGACAGTGCACTGCAGTCTCGGCTCGCCCACATACCCAGGCGGACATGAACACACGGCGTTATGGTTGACTACCTGGCAGATAGCATTGAGACCGCAAGCATCCACACATGGATCACGACATCGCTGGTTGAAACAAGCCTTGTCCCGAGGACAGTCTTGGTTAATGATGCATTCTGGGTAAATACAGCTCGCGGCACCATTCACAACTCGGCACTGGCCGTTATAACCACATGGTGAAGGGTTGCAAGGATCTGACGGTGGTGCTATGAAAGAGAACAATAAAACAGTTCTATTGGTTTCGGTTTTCTAAAACATATGGAAGTTTATCACTTAGTGTACAATCATTCTTCCCAGGAAAAACGAAGATAGTAAATAGAGTAAACATTTGACTTTATAGGCTTATCAGTCAGTAGTCCAAAATTGTATCCAACTTAAATTATTATTCAAAGCTGACATGTTTTGGTGCAATGGAACATCATCGGAGCTTGCAACACGTCAAAAACATCAAAATTTACACATAATACAGTACATATACACAACACGGGACACAGGTAATTTAAATACGAAACAACACGATATCGCTATCTTGACACGGCGGCGGTTGTAGATAGACTGGACACGGTTTGCGCAACTTCATCTCGTCCTTCTCCAATCTCCGTTATCAGCTCCGTGGTCAGCTGTTCCAGATGAGATAATAGTGTTGAAGAGGGAGGGATGCATTCTTTGTCTTTCTTTATTTTATATATCTCATACTCCTTGAGTGTGTCCAATTTATTACATGTCCTGCACTAATGTAGAATTTCCAAGTTGGTCTTAATATCACTCATTGAGTGATTACAATCTACAAGGTGTTGAGCGAACGTACATTTTTGTTTGTAGTGTTTAGGATCTGGTCGGTGTTCTTTGTATCGTGTTTGGAAAGCATGACCTGTTTGCCCTATATATTTACTTGGGTAATCAGGACAAGATATCCTATAAATGCCGGTTTATATCTATTTTGTCACCTATCTCTATTTTATTTGTCAACAGGTTTCTGGTACGGTTTGTAGTTCTGAAGGTTAGTTCAATGCCTTGTTTTGCTAGTTCTTTCTTTAATGTGTGTTGGATAGTGTGACTATATTCTACACAAACATATTATTTATTTTCTGATGAGCTGTCAATCTTCACACCTTGTTGCACCTTGTTTTATGTTTTGTGATGAGCCTATCTACTAAACCGCTTTTATAACCATTGATTCTTGCTATATGTTTTATGATTTTATATTCAAGGTGACGATGTTACATTGCAACGAAACGTGCGTCAGCTTTGAATAATAATTGAAGCTAGACAGCATTTTGGACTACTGATGGAGGTAAGTCTATAAAGTCATATATACATAGTCCAGGGACTATCAGAATGAATACTATGTAAACATTTGATATTCTAAAAAATAAATAAAACTTATAAAAATTAGTTATTTTTTGCAAGGGCACTAAGTAGTGAATAATTATAGTTGTTATTTGAATAATAAATTGGATGAGCTTAAACTAACCCTATTAAACGCCCTAGATGATAGCTCAAGCAGGTTCAAAGTAGGTTTAAGTGGTTGGAAGATGACTTTTAGATCTAAATTAATAAATGCTACTTACGTGGTAGATTTTTACACTCGGTAAACGGATCTCCGACGAGAGGTGGTGGACAGCTACAAACGGGACTGTGGTTGATAACGTGACACGTAGCTCTGAAGCCACACACACCTGGACACGGGTCTACACACTTGTTGTTGACACACGCGAGGTTACGAGCACAGTCTGCGTTGATCACACACTCTGGACGACAGCCTGATGTACTAGGCGAGCCGAAGAACCCAGGGATACACTCACACACAGCCACACCATTTGCATTGCGGCACACCGTATTGGGGCCACACGGCGATGGAACACAAGGGTCGGTTGGTGATGCTTCTGCAAGGAAATAGCTAATTAATTATTGGGTTTAAAATTGGTCATATATATATTTATTGGTAATCAAATTTTGAATTGCGTGGTTGCAAAAATAATAATTGTATGGTTTACAGAGATATTATCACAGTTTTCTCTATAAAAATACTTATTCATCAGACAAAGAAACTTTGATAGGTGTATATCTAATCCAATCTTAACTATCCAATTAATGGATATTTTTCGTGGTTATATGGGACTAGTTTCCAACCAATTCAAAGAAATATTTGTTTACAGGTTTGCTCGTTAGCAAGATATCCACCATTTTACTTGCTAATAAGTTGTTTTTCAGAAAACAAGCGTTCTTTGATTTTTTAATTATTTTGACCCATAAAACCTATTCCTACATTTTGTCCTACATTGGCTTTAATTTGGGTGATGATGATGATGGCCAATAAATGCTTCAAGAACAATTCCTTATTGTCTGAGCCCAGTGAAATTATACATTTTAAATGAACCCTAGACACACCCAGTGGTTGTTTGTAAATCATTAGGCCATATCAGCTACATCCTTTACATCCTTTAGGGGAACCCAATTAATTCAAAATAAGAAAACTAGATTATTTGAACAAATAGTATTAAGGAATGTGTATTAACTGATGATTAAAACCCACAAGAAAATTTACCAACATTATTAAAAATTGTGAAGAAACACTGTTGTTTTACAACATTGCAAAGTTCATAGCTTGGGTTTCATCATGAGATATGTATTGTGAAACATAAATTGAGGAAGGACATCACTTATTATGCCTGGGAGAGGTCACATAGCTGTCAAAATGACTGGATTGGTACATTTTTGAGTAAATATTGTATTTATTGGGCGAATGACAATACTTCCCACACCACATTCCAGCAATACAGTGACCTACTTTCAACCATCCCCCATCCCTCACTTCAATTTAGGGGTAGCTTTTGTAAAACACTGGTCAATTCCACACTGTGTGTCTCCTGGTGTTAAAGAAGTACATGTCAATTAGGCAGTGCGGTTCTCCTCATGTTTTTAAACAATTGTTTATTTTTTGATTAGCTGTTGAGTGAATATAGTTTTGATTTATCATTATCATCATACAATTATTTGCTAAAATGGAATCCAACAGAGGATTGATAAACTATTATTGCATGTCGAGAGAGAGAGAGTAGGATGTTTAATGTGTAGTGAGTTCTGTAGAATATTTTCCAGGGCATCTCTTAAATGAACTGTCCACTGAGACAGACGCAAATACAGTATAAAGAACGAAGATGGAATTGAAGACTTACAAAGAATTTTACAGTACAATGACAACAATAAGGCTAATACGAACTGAACGTCCAGTTATAGGTAGTATAATAAACTAGGATGCCTTTTTATAAAATAGTTTAAAGTATTTTTTCAAATGTATTTATTTTACAAACTTTAGTTGTATAAAAATTTCAGAATGAGAAGTAGTTGATTAAAAATTGACCCTACGTCATTGTTTTTATTTGCTCCATAACATGGGAATCTTAAATGTACAGTATTTATTTTATTTTATCCATAGCCTTTAATTTGACAACAAAGCTTCAGTACAGAAAATGATTATTCTTTTAACCCTTCACGGACGGGTGATTGATATATCCGCTTATGGTTTTTGATGTTCCGGACGGGAAGCGGTTATATCCGCCTTCTCTTCAGACAGACTGGCAGGTGCTTGAGCAGTAACCAGATGTTTCGCGGTACCAAGGCGCCACTTTACGCCACTCTACGCTAGCGGGGCATTAAATCAAATGGGAGCGATTAGACTAGGGATGCCAGCATCGGATGCTAAACTTAAACAAGCCACCGGACACTCGATTTTGTGCATCCTAGCTGGGACGCTAAAATTTGAGCGTCCGGTGACTTTTTGCCTCCCTGGATGCACAAAATCGGTTGTGGGAGATTGGTTCAAATGTGGCGCATTATACTAGGCTGCTAGCATCCGAGACACTGCCTTTCGACATGTGCGCGAATATAGGGAATACGCTATTACCGTAGGTCTCATGGTAAGACCTGGACCGGGGACCGATTTACTTTTTCGATTTGATGTCCTCAGAGGCCAAAAACACCATCCGTTCACAATGTTATATATGTACTGTATATATAGATTTATATATGTGTCCGTAAATGCGATAACTTGAGTAATTTTTGTCCTATTTTCCTTGAACCAACATGATCGAACCATGGGAACGGGTTTTTTGGGTTGTAAAAAGGGTTTTTATAATTTTTGACACACAAAACACACCATTTCTCAATTTCTCTCTAGAAAGAGCTTAAAAAAAGTATTTAGCATATTAACCCTAAGTCTTTGGCGATAAAGGACGGGTGGCGGATATATCTGCTTATGGTTTTTGATGTTCCGGACGGGAAGCAGATATATCAGCCTTCTCTTCAGACAGACTGGCAAGTGCTTGAGCAGTAACCAGATGTTTCGTGGTACCAAGGCGCCACTTTCCTGCTCTCTCCATGGCTGCGCTCTCTCCCACACTCTCTTCTCTCTCCCGCGCCTACCCCTCTTCCACGCCTCCCCTTCTCCCGTGCACCCCCCACAACTCCTACGCTCCCCCCTTGATGTTTCGCGCTCAACACTACGTTATCTTTTCAATTATTGTTTACATATTGTTCTTTATTAATTGTCTAACATTGTCATGGTCATATCTTCAAAGACGGTTGGCGGATATATCCACTGCTTTTCTACTCATCCGCGGACGGGTAGCAGATATATCCGCATAGTTAAAAACGAGTAAAAAATTATTTTGACAGTATGAAGTGTTCCATTGTGTTTATTTTATGTATGCTTGTGTAAAAAAAAACACAAATAAGGAAAATTCATTTTTATTTTTTCCTATAATTTTTTCCCGTTCTATGTCACAATTTTGCCCGTTCGGGAAGGGTTAAAATGTTTTTGTACGGTTATTAGTTACAGAGAAAATTAAGAAAAATGTAAATTTTAAATTCCCATGTTATTCTTAAGGAGAATATTGTATAACTATTGTAATTTCCTAGTTTATGGATACATTTTGATCAAACTTGGCAATTTTATTTTATACTAGCTATAATAATATACTAAAAACACACTTTATTAGCCTCCCTGAAGCAGCAAACCTAATTACTTGTTAAACTTAATGCAATTTAAATAGATATACTGTATACAAAAAGTTACAAATCATTGAAATAAATAGCAGTCCGAGAGGCTAGCATCCCAACACAAATCGCGTCATTTTTGGCTCGAAGCGTCCCGGGCGCCAGCGTCCTAGTATAATCGTAGCCTAAGCTGTATTAGGAGGGGATGCGAGATAAAATGAGATTTTCAGCCTGTTTATAATTTTTAGACTGTTTCCCAGATTAAAAAAGACTAAACTAACCCCAATTAATTGAATTATTATTTTAGCGTAGAATTATACCAAGGGATAAAGAGCTATTTAATCATGATATGTCAAAAGATAACTCAGAGTACAGTAGAATGGAAAAGTTTATGCAGGATAAAACAAGATTTTCTCAACCTCTTAAGCGGGATTTTAGTTTTGGTCATGGGGAAACACTGTACACAACATAATGGCTACAGAGTTAGAAAACGAGAACCATATGATTACTATATAGAGTATGGATATAAGTAGATGAGCCACTTACCTTTGAGCGGTACTGGTGTGCACACTCTGAAAGCGTCTCCTGTGAACCCGTTGGGACATGAGCAGATGGGGATGTGGTTGGAGACAGTACAGATAGCGGAGACTCCGCAAGTACCAGGACAAGGGTCCCGACACTTGGTGTTGATACAGGCTTTGTTCATAGGACAGTCTGAGCTCACCAGACACTCTGGACGACAGCCTTCGTAAGGGTTGCCTTGGAACTCGGGTAGACATTCACACACTGCGTAGTTGTTCTCTACCCGGCAGCGGGCGTTGATGCCACAGGGGGAGGGGTAACAAGGATCAGTGGGAGTTGCAGCAGTGGGGGGTTCAGCTGCAACACAAAACATATAAGTACATGGTTGGAGATGACAAAAACAATTGCATGCATAATCCAAGCAATTAAATGCACAACACAAATCATGCAAACATGCAAAGTGTACAAAAGCATGCAAATATATATGTAGACTGAAGAAAATAAACTGAACTCACAGACATACTGAACAGTTCAATCACTGGTATTGCAGAATACAGTAAGAGTAAGTTGACAAAACCCCTGAGAGTCTTCCACAATGATGTCTCTCATGGCTTCTTGTATTACATAATGTTTTGGAAATTCATTTTCTATTTGACTAAGAGGGAATATTAAATGAATGAATAAATGAAATGTGCAGTCTGACAACAAGAGAAATTGAGCACAGGAGATAAGACGGATCACATTATTTTAAGGAACTGATGAACTCCGATGGAAGCTTATTGAACTCCTTCTCACAACCAAAACTCTTCAGATAGCAGCAATAGTTTATGAGAAAATATGTTGTATAAATTTTGACCAAACGTAAATAAGTATTTTTTTAACAGCTTCAGTTGAATCCTGGTCGGAATTATAGCTGGTAAAATATACAAAACAACATAAGACTGAATAAATTATCTGGTGAACAACTAGCTACTATACCTACATCACTTGATTATCGAAAGTATATAACAACACATATATCCATACTCTTCCCAAACCATCAAATTTTGGTTACCTTAAAAACAAAATGTTACTTTAATACATTAGAGTTATACAACCAATATTTAGTTAAACTACAGCAGTTAACCAATCATACTACATAAGGATATTGTTAAAATAGCACTATAATAAAATAAGCTTTACCATGTTGAGCAAACCTTTCATATTTTTAGTACTTTTAGTGAGAACTACCAAACAAGTTTGACTAAAAACAATAAACTTATTGAACTTTCCAATAAATTAAAAGAAAAGTAAACAAGTTTTAAATATTATTATTATTTCAATAAAACATATGTAGTGTCACTGGAAGTATGAAGACATTTCTTAATACGAATAAATGTTTTTAGGTTTTGGGACTTTAGGATCATGTTGTGTCTTTTATCCAATGCAAAAAAAATTCAAACTTGTTGGATAACACTACTGTGGTAAAAAAGATTCAATAATACTAAACCTTACAATACAAATGCTAAAATTTCAGCATATTTTATAAATTAAAGCATCTTATACCAACCAGTCTTCTTTTATTTACATATTACCATGTTTGAAAGGATATAACAAACATAGTTTCATAAAGGAAGACTGTTTTACACCGTTTAAAGAAGCAAAAATGCAATGTTCACCATTAAATCCATTCCTTAGCATAATTTAGCTAAAACCCGTACCTGTAACCCAAAACTATTAGGAGCAACTTAGTTTTGTCCTAAAACTGTTATAATACAGCTATATTTAGTTCCATAGAATAAAAGTTAATTGATATTTTAAAACGAGTGAATACAGACTAGACCTTCACTACAAGCATACAACCTAATAAACATAAATATACTGAGTATTACAAGGTATAAATGTAAATTGCCCACTACAATGTCCCTCTTAACATTATATCTGTAATATAGGCGCTGATGACCAGTAGTGAGGGGTGATAGGAGTCGCTTACATGGTCGTGGGTTGCAGATCGTGAAGGGATCACCGACATAATCTCTCACACAGACACAGTTGGGTGTGTGCATGACGACGCGACACTCGGCATTGACGCCACAGGAGCCCGGACAAGGATCGCGACACTTCTGGTTGATGCAAGCGAGCTGTGAAGAGCAATCACTGTTGGCAACACACTCAGGGCGACAGTTGGGCGGAGAGTTGATGTATCCGGGGAGACAACTACAGGAGGGGGAGCCCGCAGAGGTGGCGACACACGTGCTGAACGGTCCACAGGGTGAGGGGAAGCAGGGATCGGATGGAGCAGCCGGTGATGTGGGAATGGGATCTGCCGCTGCAACAAATGTGAAGCAATTGTTCATCTTGGGAATGAAAACAATAATTCATGTTCTTAAATATTACTTCGCACACTACTGTGGCAAAATAAAAAACTAAAGTGAGTCGTCTCACAACAATTATCTAGGTACAAAACTACAACTAGTAATTCATCTTCATTAGTAAAGGTAAATTTGAAAAAAAAAAAAAATAGAAAGTTTGGATTATTACATCTTCAGATTCTTTAAATGCTGTTAGATCAGTAAAATTATTAAATGCAACAGTTGATGACAAAATAATTACAACACAATAGTCAAAAGTTGCTCTTACGTCTAGGATAGCATCTGGAAAATGGGTTGCCAATGAGTGGTGCAGGGCAGCTGCATATAGGGTTATGGTTGATGACCTGACACTGGGCAGCCAGACCACAAGTGCCGGGACAAGGGTCGGTGCAGTGTTGATTGATACAAGCCTCATTGAGAGCACACTCAGAACTGCCGACACACTCGGGCCTGCACATGGGTGGAGTGCTGATGAAGCCTGGTAGACAAGAGCATACTGCTTGGCCGTTGATCTCCCGACACTGACTGTTGGGGCCGCACGGTGACGGGACACAAGGTTGAGTTACCACTGGAGCTGATCAAGCAAACAATCCATTAGTCAGATTCTTCAAATGTGATAATAGAAATATATAATTCATTTGGTTAGGAACATGATGTATGATGTATTTTAAGAAATATTTACTTGTTGTGTAATGGGGAAAAATACATTGCCATTACTTTCTATAATATTATAGTTCCAACTGATTTAAATTTTTCAGGAATCAAGCAGTTTTGCTACCATTGAAAATGTTAAATACAAACTATATATTTGTTGGATAAACTTTTAACCAAAATATAATAATTTACTCAAATAAAAAATTAAGGATTAGCCAAAGTATAATTTCTTATATTAGTAAATAAGGATTTTTTTTGGTATAGGCTATTTGAGAAAACCAGTGATTGTTGGATAGTGTTAGGTAACAAACAATCTCACTGTAGTAAAAATAAGAGATAATCACTGATTGCATGACATATAATAAGGACAAATACTTCAAATTACCTTGCATTGGTCGACAATCAATAAAAGGATTGCCTTGCATGCCATCAGGACAAGTGCACATTGGAATGTGGTTTATCACTTGACACACAGCATTCTGGCCACAAGTTCCAGGACAAGGATCTTGACACTTGTTGCGGATGCAGGCTCGATCTCTTGGACAATCAGAGTTGAGGACACATTCTGGTCTACAACCAGAGTATGGGTCTCCTTGGAATTCAGGCAGACAGGTACAGATTCCATCAGCACACTGAGCATTTGGACCACATGGAGATGGATTGCATGGATCACTGGCTTGAGTTGGAGGTGGTTCAGGAGGTTTGGGGAAGCAATTGGTAAACGGATCTCCTGTGAATCCCTCAGGACAAGTGCAGATCGGAGTGTGGTTGATGACACTACACTGGGCTCCAGCTCCACAAGACCCTGGACACGGGTCTCGGCACTTCTCTCTCATACAGGCTTGGTTGCTGGGACAGTCTTGGTTGATGGTACACTCTGGTCTACAGTTTGGTGGAGATCCAATGTATGTAGGCAGGCAAGAGCAGGATGGTGTTCCTCCAATATCTCTGCACTGAGAGAATGGACCACAAGGTGATGGTACACACGGATCTCTGATAATTGGATCAGCTGGTAGAGGTGGAGCTGCAATAAAATAAAAACGGTTGTAAATCAAAACAAAAACAATTATAAACAAACTTTGTATGAGGAAATTATATGTTCTGTAGTTAATTGAATAGTACATAAAGTGCATTTCAGGTGCTCTAATATTTCACTTACGTGGTGGAATCGGGAAACATCTTGAGAAAGGATCTCCAGTGAAGCCAGAGTTGCAGCTGCAGATGGGACTGTGGTTGATGACTTGACACCTGGCGTTCTGTCCACAAGTGCCAGGACAAGGGTCCACACATTTCTGGTTGACACAGGCTCTGTTGGCCGGACACTCACTGCTCACAACACACTCTGGTCTGCAGCCTGGAGGCTGGCCTATGTATGTTGGCAGACACGAGCACACAGCTTGTCCATTCACTTCCCTGCATTGACTGTTGGGTCCACATGGTGAAGGCACACAAGGGTTCACTGGCTCTGCTTGGACAGCTGCAAGAAAACACGATACTTAGAGCTTAATACGCATTTTCCATTTTTTTTTCATAAAGAGGTTATCTTTTAACTTTTTCAAGTTATTTCTTAAATTTATCTAAAAAAATTAAAAAACAAAAATAGGCTAGTGAACTTTTCCAGAATGAATGAGATTTTCATATTACTGTTTATCTTAGTACAGCAAAGCAAAAGTTATGAGTTAAACAGGTAACATTTCTCAAGGAAACATAATGTATAAGTATAATTTAAAACATTTTATACATCGACATCGTATTGACACCTTCAGAGGGTGCAAGTTAATTTTATAAAATTAATTTAAATGAAAAAAAACTTCCATTAAAAGAATCATTACAATTTCAAAGCTTAAAAAAGTTAAAACCCAAATATTTTTCACAGTTCAACATTAGAACAATGTAAGATATCATTTTATTTGAATATTTTAGTTTTTCAAATCCATGACTTACCAGCTTGAGGTGGAATGACATTGCAGAAGCGGAACGGATCCCCAGTGAAACCAGGACGACAGGTGCACAATGGCAAGTGGTTGACAACCTGACAGTCGGCGTTCTGGCCACAAGTTCCAGGGCAAGGGTCCTGACATTTGTTGCGGATACAAGCTCTGTTGGAGGCACAGTCAGTGTTCAAGGTACACTCAGGTCGACAGCCTTCGTAAGGGTTGCCGATGTAATCTGGCAGACAAGTGCAGGCTCCAGCACCGTTCTGTTCTCTGCATTGAGCGTTTGATCCACAAGGTGAAGGAGTACAAGGTGTTATGACTTCATTTACAGGCTCAGCTGGAAAAGTAAAAAAATATTGAGAATAAATATGGTTTTGACATAAATATTGTATGAAAATACAAAAATATATACTAAAGTACTAATACCATTAGCCCGTTCTGTCAACCATCATGCCAGTACACAGTGGCGTAATTTCACCAAATCCTTGGGGGGCAAACACCGGGGGGTATGGAATACCCCCCAGCAAACAAGGGGGGTCCGGGGGTCCCCCCCCCGTAAAATTTGGCAGTTTTGAAACAAAAAAGAGGGGTTTAAGCTTATTTTAATTGTCTAAAGCACTTCAAATAAAAAAAATTATAAGTAAAATTTATTTTAATTTAGGCAGAAAGTTAATTAAACTAAGAATTATTGAAAACAGACAGAAACACAATAATTTTATGTTGGTAAGTTAGTCATCTAAGAAACGTGATCAATAGTTCCATGATGTATTAATATTATGTTTGTTATTAGATTCATGACCAATTTCTTTTGTACAACATTTAGCAATGAATACGGTTGTTCATAGCCTATAGTTTATAAAATTTTTTTTGTTGGATTTTAAATAAAATACAAGTATTTAAAAACTTAAAAGTAAATCAAATTTTATCACCGATAAAATAATTTGACACAAAAGTACAAAAGGTTCTATTTAACTATATTAAATTGGTAGTCTACAATGTTCAAAATAAATTAGGCTACGTAAAATTTATACACATGTATAATTTTAATGCTTTAATAATTCATAAAAGTAAATGAAAACGCAATGCTTCTACAAAATCTGAATTTTTATGTATATATATAAACTAGAAGTAAGTGGTTTATCGTACAGCACCAAACAGAAAAAGTAAATGAATAACAAAACTACTAATTTATGTAAACTCAAAATGTGCTATATAAGACAATAAAACAATAATAATTTTTGTTTCAAATTACTATACAAGAATATACAGATTTTTGCCTGCTGTGCTTTTTAGGATTTGACAGGAGAAAATATTTGTATAATGGCTAGTACAGCATATTTTTTTCTCTAGCCCAGGATCCAGGGGGGGGGGCAAATGCCCCCCCCCCCAAATGACGCCCCTGCCAGTACAATATTTTAAAATACCAAACATATTTGATGAAGTTGTTTGGAATATAACGTACAATAAATTATTATTATTTTTTTATAACACTTCAAACAAACCTTGAATTCATTACATTAAATTGATCCTTTCCAACCTCCTGATTCCTTTAATGATTTTACAACCATTTCTGTACCAATCACAAAAGTCAAATATATTGTCCATGACAAGTTTTAGTTCAATAAGGTTGACATGATACAGCATAATTTGATTTCATATTACAGATATTGAATTTAACGTGCAGTTTATTCTTTTACATTTATCTTTCAAACCCTTAGAAAATATTTCTTAGAAATTTAAATACTTATTTGAGTCCCTTGTAAATATTAAAATAAATAAATATTAAAATAAATAAAATAAGTTTCAGCATTGACTATAAACAAAATACCAAGAATCAGATATACTGTATTTGCATGTCAAAATTGTTGTTACTTTTAGAATAAAAAATCATCTACTAAAGAGTTAACCGAAACATTTCCATAAATTAATACAGGGCTCAAATATATAAGTACAACAATACTTAAGGTAACACAGTAGTCAAAAATAAAAAAAAATAAATATTTTTTTTATAATTAATTTTAGTTAATTTTATCCTAAATCCATAGATACCAAATATGTTATATAATGAAATTTATTTGATAGATTTTTTGTCATTTATTATAAATCTTGCACAGCTGTTTCAGTGATCGCATGACAGCGCCTAAGGCTTTATATGCAAAAAAAAAAAATAAAAAAAAAAATTTTATAATTAATTCTAGTTTAAAATTTTATCCTGAATCCATAGATACCAAATATGTTATATAATAAAATTTAGTTGATAGATTTTTTGTCATTTATTATAAATCTTGCACAGCTGTTTCAGTGATCGCATGACAGTGACTAAGGCTTTATATGCGATTTACCGAAAATTTACTTTTTTCTTCGTCCGGTACATTTTTTTGACACATTTATGAACCGATTTTAATGAAATTTTTTACAGACCTTCTGTGTATATTAACAAATAAAAATAGGAAGTGAAATTACAAAATTATTGATACAACCCGAGTTTTAATTATTTTTTAATTAAAAAACATGATAAAATATTTATGTTTTTAAAAAAATTCATAAAAAAATTGTTTTTGACTTTAGAACAAAAGTGGTTACTATTATCGTTGAAAAAGGTGTGTAAGACAATGTATAAAAATTTCAGGATGCTAGGATACTTTTTAAGGAAGTTAAGTGTACCTAAAAATGGTGAAATTAACATGGACGGGATAGGGACTACTGTGTTACCTTAATGTATGTAAACAGCGAGGCATAGCACCGAGCCCCTCTCCCTAGAAAGGGGCTTTCCTAACACATTATAATACTTTTGTAGCTGAAATAAAACACTGTATTAGTGTATTGTATAGACATAGTTTTAAATTAATTTTCCTACACACCGTAGTATTACATAGGCTACTTTTAGCACATGATGGGTTAACCGAAAAATTGGTTAGCCGAAACGGCTCTCCCCCCTTTATTTTGGTTAACCGGGGTTCTACTGTATTTCAATTAAGCTCCTGAACGAGTAAGCTCCTGTAAAAAATACCCCCGCCGCAGCAAACCTGCAGACTAAGCGAATTTCAACTTGTCTGATTACATTTTTACAAAAATATTTCCATAAATAAGACATATTTATTCCCTATATAAATAACATTAGATTTAACCAGTGCTTAGGTTTGCTGCTACGGGGAAGGTAAAAAGTGTTTTATGACCATATGTCAATAGTGTAGAATGAAATAAATAAATTTGCCAAATTTTATCAACATATATCCATAAACAAGTAAACTACAACAGTTTTCATTTTCACCATAAGAATAACATGGGAATTTTAAATTTGCATTTTTTTTTTTTTTTCTCCGTGACCGTTAGGCATACAACAATGCTTCAATATACTAAATTATTTATTTTTTTAAGCTCTACAAAATGGTTGAGAAAGAAATTGCAAAAATTTTTATTTTTAGGGTTAAAAATGGGAAAAACCCATTTTTACCCCATAAAACCCCCCATAAACCCCTGTTCCTATGGTCTGATTATGCTGGTTCGCGAACTCGTTTGAATAAACGTAGGTTTACATGTTTGTACCAAATTTCATCAAAATCGGATCATTTGCTCAAAGTTATCGCGCTAACGGACACATATATATATGAATTTGACGGATGGTGTTTTTGGCCTCTGGAGACCTCAAAACGAAAAAGTAAATCGGTCCCGGGTCTAGGTCTTACCATGAGACCTACGGTAATAGCTTATTCCCTATATGGGAAATTCGCTAATATTCCCTACATTGGAAATTCGCTAATATTCCCTATATGGGAAATTCGCTAATAAACTTCTGTACCATTATCTATCTTACACTCAAAAACTTTTAACCATGCCAAAATGAAGAGGAAAATTATTGTAAACTAATATCAGTATCAAAAGCAATAGGAAATGATATTTGTACTTTACAGTAGCAATCTCCAAGAAAGGCTTCTTGAAAAACCAATTTTAAAAAACCAGCAACAATTTGTCAATGAATATAGGATTTATATTTAAGTACCACAAGGTAATTGTTTAGGTTTACCACGCCTACATAATCAGATTGTGAAGTATATAGATCTTTAACTTAAATAATAAATTCAACCAGAAGAACTTTAGTAAATTTTAGTTGAAGATTAATACTAAATGTACAATGCAGTTGTTTGCTTGCAATATTGTATTGAGCGGAGCTAGTATAATCCAATACTTTTCTAAAGTCAATGCTACATCTGATTCTCGTCAATGAGATGTTTACTTGTAGTATATTTGTTATATTTGGTTCACATAAATGGAATTGTCTATTTGCAGTATCAAAAGTCAATTTATAAGACGTCTGGTTCACGTTTAAATGAATAGCAGGAACCAAAGTCTATGTTTCATCTGGTTCTCATAAAATAAATGTCTACTTGCAGTATCCAATGTCAATTATATATCAATGGTAAGCCTGGTTCACTTAAATGGAATGTCTACAGGTTCTAAATCAATGGTACGTCTGGTTCACGTAAACAAATTGTTTCTTTGCAGTATCAAAACTCAATGGTTCACATACATGAATTCCTCTTTTGGCAGTACCTATTCAAAGTCTGTATTAATGGTACGTCTACTGCATGTAAATGGAAAGTCTACTACTTGCAGTATTCCAACTCAATGGTAGGCCTATATTTGTTTCACATAAATGGAATGGCTGTTTGGAGTATTTAAAGTCAATGGTGTATCAGCCTAATTCTGGCAACCCTAATCATTGGTTATTTATTTTGCAGTAAATTATGCTCAATGATATTAATCCGATTTTTTTTCCATTTTTCTCTGAACGTTATTTGTAATGAGCTATTTTGGGTGATTCGTTGACTAACATATGTTGCGACTCTTGTTTAACTTTTTATTGTTATCTAGCAAATAATGTCATGGCGACCAATTAACCCATAAGGTCCATATGTTAAATTTCACGTAAGTTAAATTAAGTTAAATTAAATAAAGTTTAAATTCACGTAGGGAAAAGCTCTGTGGTCCGATTTGTACCATATCAAATTTATACCTTGCCATAGTTGGTTACTATGACTGTGCTAAATTTTAAGCAGATCACTTCAGTCGTTCAGGAGGATTACTTGTAAACCAAAAGCAGGAGTGTAGTATAAGAGCTTCGCTTCGCTTTGCTCAACCAATATGAGTAAGTACAAAACCTGTACACAACTTCACTTGTTACACAAATTTTTTTAAAAGAAAATCTGATGTATATAAATGCAACATTTTAATAAAATTGAAAATACAGATAACAATATCTCTGTTAAAAGAAATCTACCTTGTTGGAGGTTGCATAAACGGAATGGGTCTCCAGTATAGCCAACTATGCAGACACATTGTGGAGTATGGCTGACAACTCTGCACATAGCATTGGCTCCACAAGTGCCAGGACAAGGATCTCTGCACTTCTGGTTGATACAGGCCAGGTTGGAGGCACATTCACTGTTGCTGACACACTCAGGGCGACAGTTGGGAGGTGTTCCGATGAACTCTGGCAGACATGAACATGACGGACTGTCTCCAGACACTCGGCACTGTGAGTTAGGACCACATGGTGAAGGTATACAAGGGTCTGTTGGTGGAGACTGCTGGGGTGGAGCTGGAAAGCAAACAATAGATTAACTTTATACTATTTATTTCTAAACAGAATTAGTATTATTTACTAAATTGTTATTTCTTGGATTCACTTTAAAATTAAATATTTTTTGGTTTGGATGAATTATGAATCTTTTTGATTAGATTCTATAAAATACTAACAATTTCCCTGTAGTATAAATAATATTAAAAATTCCATGAGAAAACATATACAAAAAAGTCAATAATCATTGATATTACTTACGAATAGGTTGGCATCTTAAGAACGGATCCCCAGTAAAGCCAGTGGGGCAGCTGCAGATGGGGTTGTGGTTAATGACTTGACATCTGGCACCAACCCCACAGGTTCCTGGACAAGGATCTCTACACTTCTGGTTGGAGCATGCTTGGTTGAGGTTACAATCAGTGTTCACCACACATTCTGGTCTACAAGCCGGAGGACTGCCTATGTACCCGGGCACACAGGAACACACAGCTTGTCCGTTCACTTCTCTGCACTGACTGAAAGGTCCACAAGGAGAAGGGTTGCATGGCTGAGTAACTGGAGGAGCTGAAAATAAAGGGGACGGTTATATTTTTTAATGTATAATCTTACTAATATTATAAATGTGAAAGTTTGTGTGTTTGTTTGTTTATTTGTTTGTTTGAAGTTCAATCACACATTAACTACTGGGCGGATTGGGCTGAAATTTGGCATGATGATAGCTCACATTCCCTATTAACATATAGGCATATTCTCATCTCAAATATCCTTTCGGGCTCCGCCCCAAAGGCTCTGTGGTTCCCCATGGTAACCTTATAAGTATTCATATTTAAAGGGAATTAAAGAGTTTTTTCAGCTGTTTCAACTAAAAAAGTTGGTTCTATGATATTCAAAAGCATTAAAAGTTATAAGATTTACCAACAGGGTGCAGCACTATTATTTTTTTTCATTTATGAAAACAGCTAATTTGAACTAAGCAGCAACAAAAAACTGTAATATGCAATGAGAACTGTCAAAGTAGGATTGTTTACAGTTATGTTTATGTTTTTTTATTTTTTTTATTTTATGAATAATTTGTGATTTTTTGCGAATTTACCAAAATATTGTTTAGGCTCTACTGTTAAGTTGCAGTGGTAGAAAATTATGGCTATGGTAGATGTGTAATACCATTAGTATACTGTCAATTTAAAGAAGCAAATTTTATCAAACTTTTTCCTCCCCCCATTGCAAATGCAAGGCTTGGGTATAACTGCAATGAGCATTTTAAACTTAACCCCGTAAGAAGGACGGGTACTCTGCTAGTGGTGTTATATATATATATATACCAATACAATTATGTAAGTATATTTGAACAAGAAAGGGTTACAGTAAAATTCTTAATCAATAATCAGATAGTGATATGATTTGCAAGACAAAATAACTTGCTAGAAACTGTCCTTAGTGCCTAAAAGTAGTATTTGAGACTAATGTACATATTTGTATTGCTTTATAATTTGTTTGGATGATACTTGATTTATCATAAAAAAGTTACAAATGTTAAAGTTTCAACTTGGTGTAATTCAAAACTTTGACCAATGCTCTATAACTAAATGTTACAATTAGTCAACCCAAAATGTTGAATAGTAGGAAGACAAAGTATAAATCAGTTCAGGGAAACCCCTCTTGAGATTATTGTTTTGATGTCACTGATTAGAATTTACAAATACTGTTTTAGTAATAAATTGATCATTAATATTTTTAGTTACCTTGCATGGTTTGACATTGGACAAAGGGATTTCCAGACATTCCTTGAGGGCAACTGCAGACAGGAATGTGGTTAATTACATCACATTGAGCTCCTTGCCCACAAGTTCCAGGACAGGGATCTTGGCACTTGTTGCGGATGCAGGCTCGATCTCTTGGACAATCAGTGTTGAGGACACATTCTGGTCTACAACCAGAGTATGGGTCTCCTTGGAATTCAGGCAGACAGGTACAGATTCCATTAGCACACTGAGCATTTGGACCACATGGAGATGGATTGCATGGATCACTGGCTTGAGTTGGAGGTGGTTCAGGAGGTTTGGGGAAGCAATTGGTAAACGGATCTCCTGTGAATCCCTCAGGACAAGTGCAGATCGGAGTGTGGTTGATGACACTACACTGGGCTCCAGCTCCACAAGACCCTGGACACGGGTCTCGGCACTTCTCTCTCATACAGGCTTGGTTGCTGGGACAGTCTTGGTTGATGGTACACTCTGGTCTACAGTTTGGTGGAGATCCAATGTATGTAGGCAGGCAAGAACAGGATGGTGTTCCTCCAATGTCTCTGCACTGAGAGAATGGACCACAAGGTGATGGTACACACGGATCTCTGATAATTGGATCAGCTGGTAGAGGTGGAGCTGCAATAAAATAAAAAGGTTGTAAATCAAAACAAAAACATTCAAAAATACCCCCGCCACAGCAAACCTACAGACTAAGCGAATTTCAACTTGTCTGATTACATTATTACTAAAATATTTCCATGAATAAGACATATTTATTCCCAATTTAAACCACATTAGATTTAACGAGTGCTTAGGTTTGCTGCTACGGGGAAGGTAAAAAGTGTTAAGTGTTTTTTGACCATACGTCAATAGTATAGGATGAAAAAAATAAATTTTCCAAATTTTATCAACATATGTCCGTAAACAAGTAAACTACAACAGTTTTCATTTTCTCCATAAGAATAGCATGGGAATTTAAATTACACTATTTTTTAATTTTCTCCGTGACCGTTAGGCATACAACAGCGCTTCAATATACTAAATTATTTCTTTTTTAAGCTCTACAAAACACTTAAAAAAAGAAATTGCAAAATTTTTTGCTTTTAGTACACCCATTTTTACCCCATAAACCCCCGTTCCCATAATCCGATTATGCTGGTTTGCGAACTCGTTCAAATTAATTTAGGTTTACACGTTTGTAGCAAATTTAATCAAAATCGGATCATTTTTGCTCGAGTTATTGCGCTAACGGACATATATATATATGAATTTGAACGGATGGTGTTTTTGGTCTCTAGGGACCTCAAAACGAAAAATTATATCGGTCCCGGGTCCAGGTCTCACCATGAGTACTACAGTAATAGCTTATTTCCTATATGGGAAATTCGGTAACAAACTTTGTATGAGGAAGTTATATTTTCCGTAGTTAATTGAATAGTACATAAAGTGCATTTCAGGTGCTCTAATTTTTCACTTACGTGGTGGAATCGGGAAACATCTTGAGAAAGGATCTCCAGTGAAGCCAGAGTTGCAGCTGCAGATGGGACTGTGGTTGATGACTTGACACCTGGCGTTCTGTCCACAAGTGCCAGGACAAGGGTCCACACATTTCTGGTTGACACAGGCTCTGTTGGCCGGACACTCACTGCTCACAACACACTCTGGTCTGCAGCCTGGAGGCTGGCCTATGTATGTTGGCAGACACGAGCACACAGCTTGTCCATTCACTTCCCTGCATTGACTGTTGGGTCCACATGGTGAAGGCACACAAGGGTTCACTGGCTCTGCTTGGACAGCTGCAAGAAAACACGATACTTAGAGCTTGAGATGCATTTTAAAGTGTTTCTGTGTATTTAAAAAAAGAGGTTATCTTTTATTTATTCCCAGTTATTTCTAAACCTTATCTATAAACAAAACTAACAATAGGCTAGTGAACTAATCCAGAATGATATTTGCAATTTACTGTTTATCTTAGTAAAGCAATGCAAAAGTTATTAAACAGGTAACATTTGTCAAGGAAACATAATGTATATAACTTAAAACATTTTATACTTTGACATTGTATTAACACCTTCAAAGGGTGCAAGTTTTTTATAAGTAAAATTTAAAATGAGAATAAATATTCATAAATACCCCCGCCGCAGCAAACCTGCAGACTAAGCGAATTTCCATTAGCCTGATTGGATTTACATTAAAATGCCTCCTTAAAAATATTACATTTATTCCCTATTTAAATAGAATTAGTTTAACGAGTACTTAGGTTTGCTGCAACAGAGAGGGTAAAAAAGTGTTTTTTTTTTTTATGTTGATAGTTTAGTAAGAAATGAATGTATTTTCCAAATTCGATCAAAATATGTTCATAAACAAGCAAACTACAACAGTTGACTTATTGTCCATAAGAATAACATGGGGATTTTAAATTAACAATTTTTTGGAATTTTCTCCGTAACTATTAGGCACACAATAATGCTTCAATATACTAAATAATTTTTTTTAAGCTCTACAAAATGGTTTGGAAATAAACTGTGAAATTTTGTGTTTTTAGGGTCAAAAATGGGAAAACCCTATTTTTACCCCATAAGACCCCCCCTAAACCCCCGTTCCCATAGTCCGATCATGCTGGTTCACGAACTCGTTAGACTAAATGTAGGTTTACACGTTTTCCGTATATGGGAAATTCGCTAAAAGAATCATTACAATGTTAAAGCTTAAAACCCAAATATTTTGCACAGTTAAACATTAGAACAATGTAAGATACATTTTCCTATAACTAGATTCATTTGATTTAAATATATTAGTTTTTCAAATCCATGACTTACGAGCTTGAGGTGGAATGACATTGCAGAAGCGGAACGGATCCCCAGTGAAACCAGGACGACAGGTGCACAATGGCAAGTGGTTGACAACCTGACAGTCGGCGTTCTGTCCACAAGTTCCAGGGCAAGGGTCCTGACATTTGTTGCGGATACAAGCTCTGTTGGAGGCACAGTCAGTGTTCAAGGTACACTCAGGTCGACAGCCTTCGTAAGGGTTGCCGATGTAATCTGGCAGACAAGTGCAGGCTCCAGCACCGTTCTGTTCTCTGCATTGAGCGTTTGATCCACAAGGCGAAGGAGTACAAGGTGTTGCTACCTCTTGGATTGGTTCAGCTGGAAATATGGAATACACAAACTTTTTTACACTGATTCACCGGGATATAAGTAATAATAAATCAAACTCATAAAAATATTTAAAAGATCAGTGACACAAAGTTATAATTTTTAATTGTAAAATACTCTTATCTAGAGTGTCAGAAGTTAAAAATAATACTTTTAGAGGTAACTGAGTAGCATACTACATAAATATTACTTTATAATTGTTATATGATGTGGATGTCTTATTGTGGAAGCAACATTCGCTTGAATAACAAAACAGTCATAGAATGTACCACGAATACTAGAACAGACTTGGTATGGATCATAAACATAAACAAAGTTTGTTATTATCCTGAAAGTAAACATTTCTTAAATGGAACTTTATAAAACACTAGCAGTTACCCGGCGCGCGTTGCTGCGCTTAACAACTATTATTGTAAATGGTAATTTGTTCTTTACGATGAATAATAAAAGTGTGTACCAAAAATAAAAATAGAATATTTTATTTAATTGCCAGTGAATAGGGCCTAAACAATTTTTTTTTGTTTTTTCTATAAGTTTTTAGACGTACCTACCACCACGTGAGCACGCAACATACAGCTGTCCGTGTGAAAAGCATGCATTTTCAAAATTTAAACCGACGATAGTCAGGGTTTGCCCTAGTGCCTTATAATGGTGATTGGGAAAGAAAGACAAAAAAAGGAAATTGTAGTTGCTTCAATTCAGAGGGTAATTTGGATGAAGTCATCAGTATTCTTGGGATTAAGACTATTTCTCCTTTTAAGTGGATTTAAGTTTCGCATTAGTATTAATGGAGTTCCTTCTTTTAATGCCAGTAATGGCATTTGAATACCTGAGATAGCACACACGATTATTATTCACTTAATAATTTATGTTAGATTGTGTGGGTATAGAGCAAAAGATAAAAATATTAAGGCATTACCATCCCTTTTATTGTTTATAATACTTTAATCAAGGTTTTTATGTTTACATATTCAACATTGGAGAATTTAAACGTTGTTGAGTGCACAGGTGTGCTGCGATTGGGGTTTAATATATTTGGACTTATTCAAAAGTTAAATAGTTTTCTGTGCTGCACTCTGTAGAAACATTGTGGCACTATTTCAAATCATGACTAATACAGAACGTTGTGATTATTCAAACCTACAAAACAGTTGGTGAAAGAAAACATCTGCTTTTAAATTATATTTATTTGTAAACATTGTAGTTCAAAAAGTCTGACATTGTCCCACTTAAAACCCTCTGGGGCGGAGCCCTTTTGACGGATCTGCACCAAACTTCACAAAAACCATCCTTGAAAGATGCTTAATAATTCCTGAAAGTTTCATTACAATCTGTCGAGCGGTTTCGGAGTCCATAACGTTCAAACATATATATATATATATATATATATATACATACAAACTTCCTCTTTTATAGATATAGATAGGTTAATGTTATTAGTACAGGATTCAAGCCAGTTACGTCATTTTTTTATGTTAATGATCCATACCAGTCTGTTCTAATATTTGTGGAATAAACTGAACATTTGTTATAAAGCCACATTAAATGTTGGCCCACACATAGACAATAAAAAAAAATACCCCCGTCGCAGCAAACCTGCATACTAAGCGAATTTCCATTTACCCGGCTTGATTTCTACTAAAATATTCCCTATAAATTTTTTAGATTTATTTCCTCTTATTTAAATAACATTAATTTTAGTTAGTAGTTAGGTTTGCTGCTACGGGGAAGATGTTGAGGTGTGTTTTTTCAATTGAAATATTGATAGCTTACTATAAAAATAAACCAAATTGCCAAATCTGATTAAAATATATCCATAAACAAGCAAACTAGAACAGTTTATTTATTCTCCATAAGAATAACATGGGAATTTTAAATTTACAATTTTTTTTTAATTTTCTCCGTAGTCAATGAACATTAAAAAACACTTCAATATACTAAATTATTTGTTTTTTTAAGCTCTTCAAAATGGTCTAGAGAGAAATTTAGAAATTTAAAGTTTTTAGGGTCAAAAATTAGAAAAACCCATTTTTACCCCATAAAACCCCCCATAAACCCCTGATGCCATGGTCCGATTATGCTGGTTCGCGAACTCGTTCGAATAAATGTAGGTTTACACGTTTGTACCAAATTTCATCAAAATCGGATCAATTTTGCTCGAGTTATCGCGCTAACGGACACATATATAAATATATATATATATAAATATATATATATATATATACCCCCGCCGCAGCAATCCTGCAGACTAAGCGAATTTCCATTTCCCTGAATGGATTTACACTAAAATGTCTCCTTAAAAATATCACATTTATTCCCTATTTAAATAGAATCAGTTTAAAACATACTTAGGTTTGCTGCAACAGGGAGGGTAAAAGTGTTTTTTATGTAAAATGTTAATAGTTAGTAAGAAATAAAAACATTTTCCAAATTTGGGCAAAATATGTTTATAAACAAGCAAACTACAACAGTTTACTTATTCTCCATAAGAATAACATGGGAATTTTAAATTTACAATTTTTTGGAATTTTCTCCGTAACCATTAGGCGCATTATAACGCTTCAATATACTAAATTATTTGTTTTTTTAAGCTCTACAAAATAGTTTCGAAAGAAATTGCAAAATTTTATGTTTTTTGGGTCAAAAATGGGAAAATCCTATTTTTACCCCATAAAAGCCCCCATAAACCCCCGTTCCCATGGTCCGATCATGCTGGTTCGCGAACTCGTTCGAATAAACGTAGGTTTACACGTTTGTACCAAATTTCATCAAAATCGGATAATTTTTGCTCGAGTTATCGCGCTAACGGACACATATATATATATATATATATAAATATATATATATATATATATATATAAATAAATAAATATATATATATATATATATATATATATATGAATTTGAACGGATGGTGTTTTTGACCTCTAGGGACCTCAAAACGAAAAAAAAAATCGGTCCCGGGTCTTACCGTGAGTACTACGGTAATAGCTTATTCCCTATATGGGAAATTCGCTAAAAAAAAACTGGGAAGGAAATAATGTCTCACTGTCAAACCTTCATAAAAGGCTGTAAAAAAAACAATATTGTGTTTTATAACAAAATAATCACCTTGCTGTAGGATACATTGCAAAAATGGATCACCGGTGTAGCCAACAATACAGACACACTGTGGAGTATGGCTGACAACTCTGCACATAGCATTGGCTCCACAAGTGCCAGGACAAGGATCTCTGCACTTCTGGTTGATACAGGCCAGGTTGGAGGCACATTCACTGTTGCTGACACACTCAGGGCGACAGTTGGGAGGTGTTCCGATGAACTCTGGCAGACATGAACATGACGGACTGTCTCCAGACACTCGACACTGTGAGTTTGGACCACATGGTGAAGGTATACAAGGGTCTGTTGGTGGAGACTGCTGGGGTGGAGCTAAACAAGACAAACAAATACAGAATATTTATTTCCTTTTTTTATACGAAATTGATATTATTGTCTAAATGTTCATTTTATGGTATCATACAAACTAAATTTTGTGGTTTGCATGAGAACTAAAACTTTCTAAGGCATTTTGAAAATCAAAACATTATATTAAATTCAAAATTTTATAAAAAAAACACATTTTATAAAATGTACGAGGAACATTTTAAAATCATTAATATCACTTACGAATAGGTTGGCATCTTAAGAACGGATCCCCAGTAAAGCCAGTGGGACAGCTGCAGATGGGGTTGTGGTTAATGACTTGACATCTGGCACCAACACCACAGGTTCCTGGACAAGGATCTCTACACTTCTGGTTGGAGCAGGCTTGGTTGAGAGGACAGTCTGAGTTGACCACACATTCAGGCCTGCAGGTGGGAGGACTACCTATGTAGCCGGGCACACAGGAACACACAGCTTGTCCGTTCACTTCTCTGCACTGACTGTTGGGTCCACAAGGTGATGGGTTGCATGGCTGTGTCACAACAGGAGCTGCAAAAATGCAAATTGGTTATAGTTTTGTACTAATTAAATTTATCAAAAAATTTAACAATGAATGAAAAACATTAAAGGATGTCCATGTGTGTGATATAAAAGGGTTTAGAGTCGGGACCACGTAAGTTTGCAGTTGGTGGCAGCCAATCACAAGACAAGGCTAGTGCAACGTTGCCACATCGCACTAATCTATAAGTATAAAAGAGAATGTTTGTATATATATATATTTGTTTGGCAGTGATAAACTCAGACACCGTTGAACCGATTGCCACGAAACTTGGTACATACGTGTAGAATTTCATGGAATAGGTTTATACACCATCAATTTTGTGATCCGTCCAATCGGCTCCGCCCCAGTGGCTCTGGAGTTTCCCATGTTAACCTAATGAGAAATGGAATTAATGAATCTTAACAGCTGTTTCAATTAAACAAGTTGGTTCTGTTCTATGATGTTCAATAGCATTAAAGTTACAAGGATTACCAACAGGGTGCAGCACTATTATTTCTTTTACATTTATGACAACAGCTAATTTGCAACCAAAAGGTGAGTGAGCATAGCGAACGAAATTCAACCTGGAGGCGAGTTAGCGTAGTGAACGAGCTAACCTGAAGGCAAGTGAGCGTAGCGAACGAGCTAACCTGAAGGCAAGTGAGCGCAGCGAACGAGCTCCAACCTAGTGAGCGTAGCGAACTAACTTCAACCAGGACGTGATTGAGCCGAATAGAAAGACCAAAAATATTGTCTACCCACTACTAGCATTAATATAAGAGCAATAATAAAGAATCGGTTATCCTTTGTACTATATGTGTTTCATTAGTTGTCGTACGTATTTTAATTTAGTTATAAGCACTTCATATACAATAAGACAATTAAACGTTACGGTACTTAAATTATAAATAGTAAAAGGCAAAACAACGTCTGCCGGGTTCAGCTAGTAAAATATACTAAGCAATATTTTTAAATCAGCTGGTATTATTAGATTTGGCAACACCACACAGTTCTCATTGGTTCATTCAAACCCATATGGTAAATAGGCTCCTCCCTCAACTGCAAACTTATGTGGTCCCGACTCTAATAAAAAACATATCTATATATTGTTTAGTTGCACAGTGATTAATTGAATACTTCTAGTTTGAGGATTAAGTCCTAGTAGTCCAGATATCGACTGTATGGCAAAATAATATTGACAGTAGGGTACTTTCTTTGCAAAAAATATTTCAAAACATGTAATTAACGTACATGTTTGTGTATACAGCTTTGAGTCTTTTAAGGTAATACCCTGTGTTGAGAATGATACAAGTTTAGTTAAACGTGTTTTCAATTTAAATGTGTTTGGGGCTCAATCCCGCATTAACTACTGTTCGGATTAGGCTGAATTTTGGCATGATGATAGCTCACGTTCCCGATTAACATACGTATAAGCCTATTCTTATCTCACAAAACCTTTCACGCTCCGCCCCAGTGGCTCTGGAGTTTACCATGTTAACCTTGTGAGTATTCATATTTAAAAGTAATTGATGAATCTTAACAGCTGTTTAAACTAATCAAGATTGTTCTATGATGTTCTATACAATAAAAAGTTATAATATTTACAAACAGGGTGCAGAACTATTAATTTTTTGTTTGAATTAATTAACAGCTAATTTGAACCAAGCAGCAACAAAAAGCTGTGAAACAATAACTGTCAATGTAGGATTGTTAGCAGTTATGTTTATATTTTAAATTTAATAAATAATTTGTGATATTGTGCACATAAGACGTTTTTATTTTTTATGTGCATAATTCATCAACTTATTGACCTCCTTATTTTAAAACTTTTTATGAAAATGTATTGTGTTTGTATGTTTGTTTTTAGCCATAATAATGTCTGGGACACAGAGTTGCCTGTTAATACTTTTACTGCATCACTGATCAAGATTGACTTGGATAAGATGACTTGGATGGAAGGAACTATGTGAATGTTTGGAGTATGTCAATAACGTGAAAACTACTGGACAAATTGAGCTGATTTTTACCATGAATAGAGCCACCATACCACAGGCTTCATGGACATAGTCATTTTTTAATTTTAATACTCTCCTAGGACTCTGCCCTGACGGCTTGCAAAGATGCAAAGTTTTATTCTCATGACATTGATATAAACCACGTGTTTGAAAATGATTTTGTTGGTGCTTTATCAATAGTGTAGACATTAATCAGTTAATAATTATTCCATACAGCAGATCTATAGAACATAATTATTCTCTGTAGCATACCCTTCCCAATGCGAAGCTCGGGTATGGTGACTAGTTTAAAATATAAACTGTAATCAATATAACCTACCTTGCATTGGCCGACAGTCTACAAATGGATTTCCACTCATGCCAGGAGGACAGCTGCACATTGGAATGTGGTTTATCACTTGACACACAGCATTCTGGCCACAAGTTCCAGGACAAGGATCTTGACATTTGTTGCGGATGCAGGCTCGATCTCTTGGACAATCAGTGTTGAGGACACATTCTGGTCTACAACCAGAGTATGGGTCTCCTTGGAATTCAGGCAGACAGGTACAGATTCCATCAGCACACTGAGCATTTGGACCACATGGAGATGGATTGCATGGATCACTGGCTTGAGTTGGAGGTGGTTCAGGAGGTTTGGGGAAGCAATTGGTAAACGGATCTCCTGTGAATCCCTCAGGACAAGTGCAGATCGGAGTGTGGTTGATGACACTACACTGGGCTCCAGCTCCACAAGACCCTGGACACGGGTCTCGGCACTTCTCTCTCATACAGGCTTGGTTGCTGGGACAGTCTTGGTTGATGGTACACTCTGGTCTACAGTTTGGTGGAGATCCAATGTATGTAGGCAGGCAAGAGCAGGATGGTGTTCCTCCAATATCTCTGCACTGAGAGAATGGACCACAAGGTGATGGGACACACGGGTCTCTGATAATTGGATCAGCTGGTGGAGGTGGAGCTGCAATAAAATAAAAAAGGTTGTAAATCAAAACAAAAACAATCATAAACAAACTTTGTATGAGGAAATTATATGTTCTGTAGTTAATTGAATAGTACAGTACACAAAGTTCATTTTCAGGCCCTCTAATATTTCACTTACGTGGTGGAATCGGGAAACATCTTGAGAAAGGATCTCCAGTGAAGCCAGAGTTGCAGCTGCAAATGGGACTGTGGTTGATGACTTGACACCTGGCGTTCTGTCCACAAGTGCCAGGACAAGGGTCCACACATTTCTGGTTAACACAGGCTCTGTTGGCCGGACACTCACTGCTCACAACACACTCTGGTCTGCAGCCTGGAGGCTGGCCTATGTATGTTGGCAGACACGAGCACACAGCTTGTCCATTCACTTCCCTGCATTGACTGTTGGGTCCACATGGTGAAGGCACACAAGGGTTCACTGGCTCTGCTTGGACAGCTGTAAGAAAAAATGATAGTTAGAGCTTAATACGCATTTCAAAGTATTCTCATGTTGTTTTGTCTAAAATAGGTGCACTATTAATTATTTATAGTTATTATTACTTTATGTAAACACAAAAACAGTTGTGAGACATAGTGAACTTCTCTAGAATTGATCAGTTATTTAATATTCTATAACACTGCTAATATAAGTACAGTAATGATAATAAAGTTACTGAAGATGTAAAATTTCTTAAAAAAAAAAGTATAAGATAAGTTAAAATATTTCATACTTTTACATTGTATTAAAGCGTTCAGAGGGTGCCTAGTTTTTGTACAAGAAAAATTTAAATGACACTAAACTGCCATATTAAAACATCATTACAAGGTTAAAACCCAAATACATTTAGCACTGTTTAATATTACAATAATGTAAGATAAATATTATTTCCAGGTCTAGATCAGTTTTATTTGGACATTCAATTTTTTCAAATTCGTAACTTTTACTGTATCTACTTTCAATAAACCTAATGATATATGCAATGCTGATCATGAAGTTATTAAGGTTCCTTTGTATGAGAAAAATTAAAATACCCCCACTGCAGCAAACCTGCAGACTAAGCAAATTTCCATTTACCTGGCTGGATTTCTGCAAACATATTCCATGAAAATGGTCAGATGATTTTTTTCCTATTTAAATAACATTAATTTTAATGAGTACCTAGGTTTCCTGCTACAGGAAAGGTAGGTGTGTTTTTTATTGAAATGTTGATAGCTTAGTATGAAATAAACAAAATTGTCAAATTTGATTAAAATATATCCATAAACAAGCAAACTACAACAGTTTATTTATTCTCCATAATATAACATGGGAATTTAAAATTTAAAGTTTTTTTATTATCTCTGTAACCATTAGGCATACAACAACACTTCAATCTACACAATTGTTTCTTTTTTTAAGCTCTGCAAAATGGTCTGGAAAGAAATTGTAAAATTTTATGTTCTTTAGCCGAAAATTGGAAACACCAATTTTTACCTCATAAAACCCCATTCCCATAGTCCGATCATGCTGGTTCGCAAAATTAACGTAGTTTTACATGTTTCTACCAAATTTTATCAAAATCGGATCATTTTTGCTCAAGCTATCGCGCTAACGGACATATAATATATATATATAAATGAATTTGAACGGAGGGTGTTTTCAGCATCTGGGCACCTCAATACGAAAAAGTAAATTGGTCCCGGTTTCAGATCTTACGGTTAGCGGGTGAGTACTATAGTATTATTCCCTATATGGGAAATTCGCTAAAAGGTGGAGTCTTAATATGTAATTATAAATGTCATTTCAATGTTGAAATCTCAGTTCAATATTCTAATTTGAATTTAATATTAAACCACTTATCATTATTGTTATTATCATTAAGTTTATCCATTTGATCTAAACATTATAATTCCTAAGTTCACAACTTACGAGCTTGAGGTGGAATGACATTGCAGAAGCGGAATGGATCCCCAGTGAAACCAGGACGACAGGTGCACAATGGCAAGTGGTTGACAACCTGACAGTCGGCGTTCTGGCCACAAGTTCCAGGGCAAGGGTCCTGACATTTGTTGCGGATACAAGCTCTGTTGGAGGCACAGTCAGTGTTCAAGGTACACTCAGGTCGACAGCCTTCGTAAGGGTTGCCGATGTAATCTGGCAGACAAGTGCAAGCTCCAGCACCGTTCTGTTCTCTGCATTGAGCGTTTGATCCACAAGGTGATGGAATGCAAGGTGTTGGCCTCTCTTGAAGGATTGGTTCAGCTGAAATTACAATACATGGTTCTATTATGTATCAAATGACATATTTATTTTATATTGTTCATGTGCTGTATATACAATTACTAGCAGAGTACCCGTCCATCGTACGGGGTGGCATATAAGTAAAAAATTGTTTATAGTAGTTATACTCAACTCAAGCTTTGAACTTGCAATGGGGGAGGACACATTTTGATAAAATTTGCCTCTTTAAATTTACCGTATACTATAGTAAAAACACATCTACCATAGCAATAATATTCCACCACTTCATCTAAACAATATAGAAAAATAAATTATTAAAAGTTCACAAAATATCAAAAATTATTCATGAAATTAAAAACATAAACACAACTGTAAACAATCCTACTTTGACAGTTAGTTCTCATTGCATATCACAGTTTGTTGTTGCTGCTTAGTTAAAATTAGCTGTTTTCATAAATGCAAAAAAAAATAGTGCTGCACCCTGTTGGTAAATCTTAAAACATTTAATGATTTTGCATATCATAGAACCAACTTTTTTAGTTGAAACAGCTGACTAAATTATTTAATTCCCTTTAAATATGAATACTCATAAGGTTAACATGAGAAACTACAGAGCCACTGGGGCGGAGCCTGAAAGGATTTTTGAGATAGGAATATGCCTATATGTTAATCGGGAACGTGAGCTACCATCATGTCAAATTTCAGCCCAATCTGTCCAGTAGTTAATGCGTGATTAAACTTCAAACAAACAAACAAACAAACAAACAAACAAACAAACAAACAAACAAACAAACACACAAACACACAAACTTTCACATTTTTTATAATATTAGTAAGATATATGTAGATAATCGGAATGATTAACTATGTAATAATGGCAAATAAACATAGATTAGTATTTTAACATTTCTTTACTGTGTTAACTTTTATATAGGCTTTTATATGGACAATAGAGTCCAGTAAATTGTATAAATCAAAACATTGATTTATATTTTATAAAATTCATTATGCGAGGTGAAATTAGGTGTAGGCCTACCTAAAAATTACAATGTACCTTGTTGGAGGTTGCATAAACGGAATGGGTCTCCAGTATAGCCAACTATGCAGACACATTGTGGCGAATGACTGACGATCCGGCATTCTGCGTTGGCTCCACAAGTGCCAGGACAAGGATCTCTGCACTTCTGGTTGATACAGGCCAGGTTGGAGGCACATTCACTGTTGCTGACACACTCAGGGCGACAGTTGGGAGGTGTTCCGATGAACTCTGGCAGACATGAACATGACGGACTGTCTCCAGACACTCGGCACTGTGAGTTAGGACCACATGGTGAAGGTATACAAGGGTCTGTTGGTGGAGACTGCTGGGGTGGAGCTGGAAAAGCAAACAATAGATTAACTTTATACTGTTTATTTATAAACAGAATTGGTATTATTTACTAAATTGTTATTTCTTGGAATCATAATAACTTTAAATTAAATATTTTTTGGTTTGGATGAATTTTGAATCTTTTTGATTAGATTCTATAAAATACTAACAATTTCCCTGTAGTATAAATAATATTAAAAATTCCATGAGAAAACATATACAAAAAAGTCAATAATCATTGATATTACTTACGAATAGGTTGGCATCTTAAGAACGGATCCCCAGTAAAGCCAGTGGGGCAGCTGCAGATGGGGTTGTGGTTAATGACTTGACATCTGGCACCAACCCCACAGGTTCCTGGACAAGGATCTCTACACTTCTGGTTGGAGCATGCTTGGTTGAGGTTACAATCAGTGTTCACCACACATTCTGGTCTACAAGCCGGAGGACTGCCTATGTACCCGGGCACACAGGAACACACAGCTTGTCCGTTCACTTCTCTGCACTGACTGAAAGGTCCACAAGGAGAAGGGTTGCATGGCTGAGTAACTGGAGGAGCTGAAAATAATGGGGACGGTTATATTTTGAAAAATAACACAGTGTTCAATCTATACATCCTTTATGCAAGTAGGCTTGAACAAGATTGTCTGACAGATTGAGGGTAACATAATGCTTTTCAAGACAACATTACTGACTAGAATCTGTCCTAAGTGAAGTGTCATGAAGAAGTACTAAAGGCATAGGTAAGTACATGTGTTTCTTGATTTACTTGTTAGTACTGATACTAAGAAAAGTCAAAAAGGTAAAGGTCCAATGCTGAACTTTATGCTTTTGAACAAAATGTTAACATCTGGTTGAACCATTGGTTTGAAAAAGAAATATCCTGTGGTTATTGTTTTGATGCTCCAAGGTATTATAACATTGTTTGAATAATAAGTTGGTTAATTACTTTGTTTTTAAAATTACCTTGCATAGGTTGACATTGGACAAAGGGATTTCCAGACATTCCTTGAGGGCAACTGCAGACAGGAATGTGGTTAATTACATCACATTGAGCTCCTTGGCCACAAGTTCCAGGACAAGGATCTTTACATTTGTTGCGGATGCAGGCTCGATCTCTTGGACAATCAGTGTTGAGGACACATTCTGGTCTACAACCAGAGTATGGGTCTCCTTGGAATTCAGGCAGACATGTACATATTCCATCAGCACACTGAGCATTTGGACCACATGGAGATGGATTGCATGGATCACTGGCTTGAGTTGGAGGTGGTTCAGGAGGTTTGGGGAAGCAATTGGTAAACGGATCTCCTGTGAATCCCTCAGGACAAGTGCAGATCGGAGTGTGGTTGATGACACTACACTGGGCTCCAGCTCCACAAGACCCTGGACACGGGTCTCGGCACTTCTCTCTCATACAGGCTTGGTTGCTGGGACAGTCTTGGTTGATGGTACACTCTGGTCTACAGTTTGGTGGAGATCCAATGTATGTAGGCAGGCAAGAACAGGATGGTGTTCCTCCAATGTCTCTGCACTGAGAGAACGGACCACAAGGTGATGGGACACACGGGTTGACATATACTGGAGGTGCCTGCTGGGGTGTCGGAGCTGCAAATTAAAATAAGTATTAACAGCACAGTACAATTATTGAGACGATTATTGAGGTAATGAAATCTATTTGTTGGTAAATCTGTGAATTGCTCTTCTTGAATAAGTTTAACGTACTTTTCAAAATGACATAAATTTTTCTTAAAACGTTTTAGTGACATAAGTTTGTTTTTACTATAAAAAATTTAAGAAATACAAACATAAATGAATTTGTAAATACAACAAATCTTTTTATCATAAAATTAAAGGGGGTTTCAAAGTTAAAAATCTTGCATATGAAACATAAATTTCTAAAATCTATAAAATTGCATAAAAAGATACTTAATAACATTAAGAGTTCAGTGTCAATATGCTATTTCATAAAAGTAAAGTTGAACAATCGACATAATTTTAATAACTTATGATTCAACAAATATTTACTAACATATAATTTTAAACATATTATTTAATAGAACAACGTTTCTTGCGCAATACTTTTGCCTTATTGCACTATCGAACAACTTATCAACTAAGTACAAAACATTGGACCTTAAAAGGTGTTTTTGTAGAGATTTCAAATTGTCTCAGTTTTCACTTTGTTAAACACCTACACAATACACAAAAGGTTGTTAAGAATTCTTATACCAAACTATGATGTAAAAGACTCAAACATCACACCATGATGTTGTAATCAGTAGCCTAGCCTAAAAGTTTACTTGCTTTTGTTAGATTGTTGGCTTGGCTGCTTTTCTTGTTATTTTTAAGCTTAGTTTGACAGGGCAAAAAGTAAAAAGTTGCATTGAAATGCCAGTTCTTTTAATGAGGTCCAATCTATATCTATAAAAGAGGAACTATGTATGTATGTATGTATGTGTGTGTGTGTGTGTGTGTATATACGTTATGGACTCCGAAACCGCTCGACAGATTGTAATGAAACTTTCAGGCATTATTAAGGCCCGTTCACACGGGGCGAGTTTACAAGCTACACGCCAGCGTGTAAGAAGCCGGCGAGTTGGCGAGTGTGCTTGTATTCGTTCACACGGAGCTTGTCCACTCGCCAACTCGCAGACGTGTAGAAAGACGCCGACGAGTCGGCGAGTGCGCTTGTAGTCGTTCACACGATGCTTTTTCCACTCGCTCAGTCGCTGGCTTGAACCAAATCCTCCAACATCTTTGAGTTACAAGCGCACAAGCACAAGCAACTGTGTTCACACTGGGCTACTTTACACGCCTACTCGCTCAAAAGCTGGCGAGTTGGCGTGTAAAGTAGCGGCAGCGTCAACTTTTTCCAGAGCTTTTTTACAAGCAGCTTTTGAGCGAGTACGTCGTTCACACTGAGCTATTTTACTAGCTGCGTGTAAAAAAGCGGGCGTGTAGCTTGTAAACTCGCCCCGTGTGAACGGGGCTTTAAGCATCTTTCAAGGATGGTTTGAGTGAAGTTTGGTGCAGATCCGTCAAAAGGGCTCTGCCCCAGAGGGTTTTAAGTGGGCCAATGTCAGACTTTTTGATCTACAATGTTTACAAATAAATATAATTTAAAAGCAGATGTTTACTTTCACCAACTGTTTTGTAGGTTTGAATAATCACAACATTCTGTATTAGCATTAGTCATGATTTGAAATAGTGCCACAGTGTTACTACAGAGTGCAGCACAGAGAACTATTTTACTTTTTAATAAGTCCAAATGTATTAAACCCCAATCGCAGCACACCTGTGCAGTCAACAACATTTAAATTCTCCAATGTTAAATATTAAAACATAAAAACCTTTAGCAAACAATTTATGACAACTGCTAATTTGCAACCAAAAGGTGAGTGAGCGTAGCGAACAAACATCAACCTGGAGGCGAGTAAGCGTAGCGAACGAGCTAACCTGAAAACATGTGAGCGCAGCGAACCATTTCCAACCTGAAGGTGAGTGAGCGTAGCGAACGAACTTCAACCAGGACGTGATTGAGCCATGCGAATACTTATGAAGTTAAGCGGGGCAAAGCCCGCGGGTACAGCTAGTATATATATATAGGTGTATTTAAACTACATCTTGTTTTTTTTTTTTAATTGATAATCACAATATTATCAATAATTATTACACAAGTAAAGGGTTGTTCCATAAATACTATTTGATAACCACCGACTTGTTATAGCAAAAGATAGTTGCTATTAGAAGTTACTATATAAACTTTAGTAAAAGCTCTTTTTTAGTAAATTCCTTGAATATATACAACTGTTTTATTTAGTTTTAAAGAATTATTTACTTATGTTTTTGTATTTACATAAGAGCATTGCATCTTAGAATTTTAAATTTAAGTAGGTATGTTTAGTTTATGAAACAACTGTTTTATGTGCTTCATAAGATTATAGAATTAAGCATGATGTCATATTATTCGTCTCCTGACTCCGGACGTAGTCTATTGTAATTTTATGTTGCAGAACGACAATAAAAGATTGTTATTATTATTATTATTATTATTATTATTATTAATATTATTATTATTACTACACGTGTAGTAATAATAACAATATATGTTTGTCCAGTACTGGAAAAACATATATTGCATGTACTATTATGTTATGAAGTTTCATATAATATTCCTTCAATTTGATACACAAAAATCAAATAAAATTTACTATTAGCATTATGGTTTAAAAATAACTTTACTCTCTGTAAATGTCTGCAATAAAATTATACATACGAGGTATTGGAAAACATCTTGAGAAAGGATCTCCAGTGAAGCCAGAGTTGCAGCTGCAGATGGGACTGTGGTTGATGACTTGACACCTGGCGTTCTGTCCACAAGTGCCAGGACAAGGGTCCACACATTTCTGGTTAACACAGGCTCTGTTGGCCGGACACTCACTGCTCACAACACACTCTGGTCTGCAGCCTGGAGGCTGGCCTATGTATGTTGGCAGACACGAGCACACAGCTTGTCCATTAACTTCCCTGCATTGACTGTTGGGTCCACATGGTGAAGGCACACAAGGGTTCACTGGCTCTGCTTGGACAGCTGTGAAAAATCATATTCATATATAGAGATGGGGTCGCTACCTATGTGCGTATTTTAACCCAAACATGAATGTAGGATTAGTGTAGAATGGAGTGTGATGCATTGTGTAGCTTTCTTACTGGCTAAGACCAGCTGTTTATTAGTCAGGGCCATTTATTGAAAGACCAATGATCAAGGACAGCTGGGTCCAGTTTTTGAACTATCAAAAAGCTACACACTTTTCTCAGGATCGAATCGGGGACCTTGAATTTAATAGGCGAGCACTATAACCACTGAGCTCTCCAGCTTGTTAACACGATACTTCAAACCATAAACTGCAGAAAATGTAAAGTACTCTACACACAATATATACACAAATATAGCGCACACATATCCTACTTTACAAAAACATTTTCATAGTTTCACTAGCTGGTTCTAAGAAATCCAAGTTCTTAATAAATTACTTTCTGTTGGCAATTATTTTACTTTATAATAATGGAAAAATCATCATGGGACATTGTTGAATTTGTGTGTGTGCGTTGTTACTTAAATGAGCGAGCTCAACTCTTTGATCAAGAGTAAGAGACATTAAAAACCTTTAAATGTTTACTGTTAAAGGATATTTATTGCATCCTGCACTTTCACTAATTATCCTAATCCAAGGTCTATTAATAAAGTTATCCAAACAAATTTATTTCATCGTTAGAAATAATGTTGCATTGAAATTTAAATATTTAATTTATTGACACTGTCGTAAAATTAGTAAAGCTTACAAGATTAAGTCTAATTTTAATGTTAAAATATCAATCACAAGAAGAGGTTAAGAGTGTAGCATAGAGCACAAGGGCCTAGATTTTTAGGATTTTTTGAGAGGATAGCATGCTTACCTGAATGGGAAAGAGTCCAAACTGGCACAGGAAACACAAAACTTTACACTATATACACAAAACATTAGAATATTTCACGCTCAGTGACAGCGAACTGTCAGTGACAGTGAAATATTCTAATGTTTTGTGTATATAGTGTAAAGTTTTGTGTTTCCTGTGCCAGTTTGGACTCTTTCCCATTCAGGTAAGCCTGCTATCCTCTCAAAAAATCCTAACAATCACAAGAAGAGTTTGACTAGGACCGGATTTCCCAATAGGTCAGAGCCTATGGGTGCAAGCTTACAGGGGTCACGCGGCCAAAGGGAAAATAGTATTTTAAATAGAAAGAACTTAAATTTTTTTTTATCTGGCTAATAAGTTATTATGATTTTGAAGTTCATTGGAACAAAATTTTGGCAATGTTAATCTATTTTTCAACACCATCAACTAATCAACATAATCAACTTTCCCGGGAGAAGGCTGTAGGGATGTTGTCGTGCGGTACGCATCGTATTGCCGCTGCCACTATGCTGGCTCGGTGCTAATGAGTACAATTTTAGTTATTAGGCCGATTAGGGGTGCATGCGTGTGCTAATATTATTCTCCAAACACTGTTTCCACCCTCATCTCGCAAAAGAAAAAGTATTAACCAATCTCTCGATTAGCTTACAGCACCCTACAGGATCAAGCTAAAATATACGTTGTGTTGAATTTTCAAAAAACTATGAGTTCACCTTTAAAAATAACAAACAAAGTATTAATCTAAATTTGCAATAGGTTTTAAAGAAATTCAATACTCTCGTCATTAGCATTCTGGCATTCTCTCCTCAGGCCTGAGGATCGGTACGGTTGGTCGAAATATTTTGCTTTGTTTTGCTTTGCGAATATAATCGAGATGCAGTATAGCCTATGGCTATGGTATCATCATAGACTAACCAACACAAGAAGACTTATCATCAGCTTGTAAAATCTAAAGATTGTTATTCATGTCTAGTTTATGTTGGTCGAACTGGGCACTAGAGTTCACAAAACTGTTTTAAATTTCTTGTAATACAACCAGGGGATGAGCTATTGTTAATGATTGGATCGTTTTATTTGGTTGAATGAGGTTTTAAATGACTGAAATAACAACAATTGTCCTTCGATGATCCAAAAGGATGACAAATCTTTTAAGGGAGTATGTCTAATCAATGGTATGTTAATTCAATACCGGTACTGTACGAAGTTCATGTTTTGGGGCGTGAACTTTGAAGCCACTGCAGTAGCAGCAATGGTAATGTTTTGTTGAAGGAATGCTCTTCTGGTTGGATCGTTTTGTTTCAGTCCCACAATGGTGAGCACATCATTAAATACATGAAATTGCTAAAAGTATACTAAGACAGCATTTTTGATAAGGCCAGAACCAAGTAAATTCTTCAAAAAACTTGAAATTATAAAATTGTATTGTGCAGTAGGTCTGATATAGCTTTTAATAGAGGTTTGTAGCAAAGTAACTTTATCCATACTACATTACACATTATTGGGCCTAGGGGCGCCAAAATTCCAGATCCGGCCCTGAGTTCATCATTAAACAATTGTAACAATTATCGTTTACAGTATTGGATAATAGCTTTAAATTTATTTATTTTATTTTAATACTACACTTCCACAACTTACGAGCTTGAGGTGGAAGGACATTGCAGAAGCGGAATGGATCCCCAGTGAAACCAGGACGACAGGTGCACAATGGTAAGTGGTTGACAACCTGACAGTCGGCGTTCTGTCCACAAGTTCCAGGGCAAGGGTCCTGACATTTGTTGCGGATACAAGCTCTGTTGGAGGCACAGTCAGTGTTCAAGGTACACTCAGGTCGACAGCCTTCGTAAGGGTTGCCGATGTAATCTGGCAGACAAGTGCAGGCTCCAGCACCGTTCTGTTCTCTGCATTGAGCGTTTGATCCACAAGGTGAAGGAGTACAAGGTGTTATGACTTCTTGTGGAATTGCTGTAATTATTTATAATTTTGTGAGTTTTTAACCTTTAATATAATATTACAATTTTGTAGTAGCACTCTTTTCACACTCCCAATCAAACCAAAAAGGAAACTAATAGTAATTTGTCTTTAGCGACTGATAACCCCATAGTACAAAAATGATCGTTTGATACATTAGGAACATATACTGTATGTTAACAAAAATTATTTGGTTTGATATTTATTCATCTTTTTTTATTCAACGATAAATTAAGTCTAAACAATTCCTCATCATAAAGATTGAAGATTTAAAAATTGCATTTTGAGAAAACATGGTCTACTTATATGAAGGTTTAAATTATGTTTTCTTAAAAAACTACTTAGAAAATTGGTAAAATAAATAAATTTAAGAATTTAGGGATGAGACCAAACTATGTGATATTTAGTGGTGTAGTTTTAAATGTTTTAGTATGGTGACGCTTGTCGTTGTCTTGGAAAAGAACAGGGGTTGCCTATAATAAATGTTTTTTTTATCAGAGCCCCATTTCACCACTGGAAATATTTCACAACCCTCTAGAATCAAATTAATTATAAGTTGTATCAAGGGTGATTTTGTTCTGCCAAAAACATTAGTTATAAGCTTTTTTTTATACTAAATATTTGAATCCAATACACATTCCTTAGGTGGAAAATGCACTTCTGTATGTGCGAAATACTTATCCACATAAGTGACGACCTGGATAATCTTTATCTACAATAGCAAATTTGTTAAAAGCCCTAACTGATAAGGCAGGTACTAATATTTTTCTATGAAAATGAACCAACCACCACCAATAATCATCAATAACATAATATACTTTTACTCAAAGAGTTGTAGTTAATGCTTTAGTGAACATACTGTGGTGAATATTCCTATGAACTGAAAAAAATAGAATACTATGGCTACTAAGTTTGTAGTTTTTTTATTATCAAGTCTTGTTACCTTCCTTACCTGTAAGATACCTAATATAAACTAATACTCTATTCTTTTTTTACAAAGCAGTACCCATACAACATAATAAAACTAAATGTATATAAATTAAACATATACCTACATATATTTAGAACTGTAAGAGTGGATATTGTGTAAGCAATTGAAGGGGTGAGCTAAAATTTACAAGTAATTTTGGATTACCTTAAGATTTATACAATACGTAACAGTTGATCTTACATAATACATACACACGAAAATATTTACATATATTTTCATTAAAACTAGGGCGAGAATTAATGTATAAATAGGAGGCTTACTATTACTATGTATATTCAGAAGTTCGTGATGCAAATAGTTCATCTTATACAACATGTTTACTATGTTATACCATTGACTATTGGATACTGAAGTTTGATACGACGATTTTGATAAAAAAAGCTGGCTACAAATTTAACATGGGGATGGAATGTCTAGTTGTATTGATAGTCAAAGGTTATGACTATGAATAAAAATAGACATGTCAACTGTTTTTTTTTTTTTTTATTATTAAAATCAACAAAAACTATACAGATGGGATGTCTACTTTGATATCCAATAAGTCAATTGTTATACTAAGATACTCTTTTAATAGAATTACAGATAAAAAACACCTTAAACTATTTAAATAATGACAAAAAAATTTTTGGAAAGTGGGTACATAAAGGGAACAAGAAAATAATATGTAGGCCTGTGGGTATGTAGAGGGAACAAGAAAAAGCATGTATCACCATGGCATATCAATTTACAAAGCTTCCTTTAATCCTAAACCTGTATTGAGTTTCTTTCTGCCATAATAACAACCGAATACATGTAGGCCTACTGTACTAATAAGACTAACATACCACTTTAAAACAAAATAAGTGTACTGTGGGTTGTGGAAGAGGTTTATTACCTAACTAATAGAAAAGTATTCACACAATTTTTTTAAAATGTTGTGACCTACTGTAGTAGTTATGTTTTAAAAGGTTATCTAAGGAATTAATGTTTCCTACACAAACCATCATGCTACATTTAATAAATTATTATAATATAAAACTACTAACTAAAAGGGAACTCTTCATATAGCCTAGTTTATATCAAGAGAGCATACTATGAGAATAGTTATAGGTTATATATGTTAAACTATAAGTTAGTGGTAGCTGATGTGTTCCACAAAATGATCCAAAGAAATGCTAGCCTGAGTCTAAAAGACTAGGCTACTAATTTGAACTGTAAATATCTATATTATATTATAATAATAAACAAGCAAACAAACACCTTAACTTGATGCGTATTAGATGTACAACTAAGAGGAATAAGAATAAGCACTTATTGAAGTATGATAAACTAATGTGTGTACAGTTGACTCTCACCATCCCAGTAATATATTGTAATATATGGATCTGGCAAACGCAGCCTAACAGATACCTTGCTTATGTGTATCCAAGCCGCAGCAAACTTGTCTTACTAAGTTTTATCCATGCGGTTTCCTAGACTGTGAATCAAAGACGCACAAAACTAATATGCGCGTACTACTTAATGCGGCTTGGACTGTCAGGTCTGAGCTGCGTAGCAACACAATGGAGAGCAAACACGACCCTTCACTGGGCTTTAAGAAATACTCATACAGTAGCTAAACAAATCAGCTGGTCTATGTAACTTTTGTGTTTTTTCTTACAATCATCCATTCATATTTTTTTTTTTAATCCAGCACATTGTTTGGGGATATTGTTCTATTAAAGAAATAGTAATACACATAATTCACAAAGATTTGATATTTAATGTTTGAATGTGCAACAGTTGCAATCATAAACACATTGACCTCACGATTGAAAAACCTGCTGTAATAAAAGTTAATAGGATTGCTTCCAGAGCATAGAAAGCCTAAGTAGGTTTTAAATTATATCGGCGTAATTAAATTGAAATTTATTTTTTCACAAACCTTTTACTGATAAATGAAATAACCTTTGTAAGTTTAGCTTAAACATGTTAGCCGTTATTGCGCGATGATGTAAAACAGTTTGCATTGGAGTCGATTTCATAGACCTTCACATTTTTTTTAAATACAATTTTGTATAACACAGATGTGATCACATCTAAATAATATTAACCCCTTATTACAAGACTTGCTAAATTGGGGAGAGTCAAATGCATTTTTTTAACATGCTGTTATATGTACAAATACATGCGAAGGAATATTAGTGTAGCGAGCATATAAACATCGTCAATCCTATACACATACACCAAATTTCCAAACAAAACCCCATTAAAATCACTGTGTTGCATAAATAGTAATGTAAAAATAATAACAACTTATGCTGTATATGCAAACATGTTAATGTACATGTTATGTACATGTATGTTAATGTATGTTAATGTACTAATTAATACAGTAATTTGAAATTAAAGGACATTGGAATGAAGGTAAAATGGCATTTGACAAATACAGATTATTTAAATCTGGTAAGTATTTACGCACTACCTGAAAGCTATTAGAAATGATCTTACACTGTACAACGGAACACCCTATGAATGGGTTTCCAGTAAATCCTTCAATGCAGAGACACTGAGGACTATGGCTGACAACTCTGCACATAGCATTGGCTCCACAAGTGCCAGGACAAGGATCTCTGCACTTCTGGTTAATACAGGCCAGGTTGGAGGCACATTCACTGTTGCTGACACACTCAGGGCGACAGTTGGGAGGTGTTCCGATGAACTCTGGCAGACATGAACATGACGGACTGTCTCCAGACACTCGGCACTGTGAGTTTGGACCACATGGTGAAGGTATACAAGGGTCTGTTGGTGGAGACTGCTGGGGTGGAGCTAAAATGACAAACAAATACATTTGCACAATTTAACAGTGAACAAATACATTTTTCTACATATTTACAATTCAACTCAATCACACAAAATGTGAATCGTATTAATCTAGTAATTTATTTAAATAGATTTAAAAAATTAATACGAGGTTTGGATGGTTTGGCTGAAAATATAAAGCCAGCCCTTTACTTACGTATAACTTTAAAAGCATTATACATTTAATACGTTAGTTAACATTTTTATTGAACTCGGTATAAAATAATATAATACATTAAAAGTTTTATAAAATTAAAATATAATAATAATAGGGCCTATTCAATTATATTATTATTGTAATATACCTTTTGAAATTAAAACTATAGCATTGGTTCATTAGTAATTTACTTACGGATAGGTTGGCATCTTAAGAACGGATCCCCAGTAAAGCCAGTGGGACAGCTGCAGATGGGGTTGTGGTTGATGACTTGACATCTGGCACCAACACCACAGGTTCCTGGACAAGGATCTCTACACTTCTGGTTGGAGCAGGCTTGGTTGAGAGGACAGTCTGAGTTGACCACACATTCAGGCCTGCAGGTGGGAGGACTACCTATGTAGCCGGGCACACAGGAACACACAGCTTGTCCGTTCACTTCTCTGCACTGACTGTTGGGTCCACAAGGTGATGGGTTGCATGGTTGTGTCACAACAGGAGCTAAAGGATCGAGTATAACTATTTATCAGTAAACTTTCATATGAAAAATGAAATACATTATATGATAGGTTGCGTTAAAAAAATAGCACGATAGATTTAGGTCCTACAAAATCACTAATCAGTGTGTTAGAAACGGATAGAATAAAACACTGTTGAAAATAAAAAAAAATTATATACTGTTGTTTTGTTAGGATTTGCCTTCGCACGACTTTTGAATAATGCTGAACAACTTTAAGGGGCGGTTCACGAGCTCGGGACTTCATAGTCCGCGACCAGACGTTGGTCCCGGACTATATAAGCGACGACCAAAAAATGGGTTCACGAGTCAGAGCCTAATGATGTGAAAGCTGGGCCCATTGTAGGTCGAGACCAAATCCATAGCGGAGCCTAATGACAGGGATTCGCAGGGAATTTCTGTTGAGACGTTGGTAACAACCAGTAACAACAGTCTGGAAACACATGTGAAGCCACTGCTGTTGACATACGCACTTCCATACAATAGGATGATCGTGAAAAAGGGCTGAACCAAAACGTCCAAACCGATTATTTTTCCCATATTTCATTGTCCCAATGCTCGCCTATGATAATCTATCTAAGTTTATTTATTTATAAACACAACAATCCACGTTTGTGTCAGATAATGGAAGTCTTTAGAGAAATATATTTTTCTGTGTGCATTATTATAATTCAATTAAGATGCATGATATAAAATAACCGGGTAGGCCTATTTATAACCGGATGAATGCCTATTTTGCATAAATGCCCGTCGCCCGATAATTAAGGATGGTGATTTTTGGATAGGATAATTTTAACTAAACTTATTTAAATGGTACAATTATTGAAACTAAAATGTATTTAGAGGTACTGATTATTAGATATAAAAATCGTATGTGTGTGCTAGATTTAATCGTGGCTGTAAACAAAGAATATTCTTTCCGTTATTCTTCCACTCTATAATAATCTAACTGTAAAATGTTGAAAATAATATTCTGCAATTAGCTCGTAATATTATTTATGTTAACAGCTATGGTTTTTAATGTACATTTTGTGTTGTTGCGATTTTTAAAATCAGTTTCATTACAATGCGTTTATATTTACTAGGTAGGAAGGATTTACTTATATTATATTTACTAGTAGGAAAACATAGTTTTTTTCTTTGGGCATAGTTTCGAACTGAAAATTTGATTTGTTCTGCTTTTATTACCAAACAAATAGCTACCATCCAAACTTTACTAACATTAAATAAATCACCAGTTTTGCGATGAAAAGTGCCATCAGCCAAAAATATTAGTGCAACTGACATTTCTTTTTCAATTTAGAATACTGTAATGGATTTTGCTGTCGGGAAATCCGTGCCTTGGAGTGAACGCCTCAAATGTCTCATTGACGGCATCTTTGGACACATTTTAATCTATCTTTAAATTCATCAAGTCATAAAAGGGTTTTAGTCATGATAACGAGCTGGTCCTATGCGAGGTAGTGGAGTGATGGTACATAATTGTTAACATAATACAGTATAGATATTTCATAGTCATATTCAATACACACGGCGACCAGCAAGTAGCCTACAACACAAGACGGTGATATCACCGCGAACCGTACTCAACGACTGACGGTTTGCTTGATGTTTCCCACGGCAAAAAACTATTTCTGATAATTATGTTGGATAACGATGGTTTAACTGTGGCTGATTAGTTATATTTATATTCTACGCATAATTTTGTCGTTAAAATTGTAATAACATGGGGTTTATCAGTAAAATATCTTTGTTATGATACTACTTTGTTACGTGCATAATTTATCTGTCGTTTTAAGTTGTTTGATGATTTTTTTCATGTTTTATGATCCTTTTTACCATTTTTACATATTTTTTAAATATGGTGTTGTGGGTAATGAAACTGTTCGGAATTTAATGAGGAACCATATTTAAACATTAGTTTTTAACAAATAATAAAAATAAAGGAGCTAATTAGATAAAACCGGCATCATGTCACGTTAAACCTGCCTCCTACCAGGTCTGAGTTGGAGACCAAACACCATTGTTCTTTTGGGCCCGAACCATCTCATTTGGGCTCGGACTTGACTCGTGAACCCACCGGGACTAATGATCAGAGCCGGGACTATCTGTAATTGGACTCGTGAACCCAACTTTTAAAACCGGGTTTTATCCCTGCACTAATTGTGTGCCGCCTATCAGTTTGGTCCGCGGCTTATATAGTCTCGAGCTCGTGAACCCGATTTTTTAAGTCGCGGCCCAAATACCGGTTATTTCCGGATTCTGGGCTCGGACTACGATAGTCCCGAGCTCGTGAACCGCCCCTAATAGTTTAACCGTATATACAGCTGGTCTTTTTGTTTAACCACAGCCAGATAGTAAACAAGAGATTTTAAAACTATTCTGATCAAAACATTTACCTTAAAAAAACTAAACAACATTACTTTTGAATTAGTTATTGTTAAAGTAAAGCAATGTTTTTGACAAACAAATTATAGACAACTTTCACTTCATATCAGTCTCAAACCCGCAAAATAGATGTTTTCATCACTAGGAGCGAAAGTCGCTCTTGGTAGCCTACGCAATTGTAATCTTTACACAATTATTAGGTTATAAAAATTTGTCATCAATGTTTACATTTGTGTTGTTTAGAAACATAACTTAAAATATTGTGTGATTGGCAGCGTTCCATATAGTAGTAATAAATTTTTAGGTAGTGAACCACAAGGTGTTTGTTTAGGCCTACCATACGTTTTTTTCTCTTACCTATTTGAAGTTAACAGATAACTATGATTTTGGGTACGATTTAAAGAACTAAAAACTTTTGTTTTATGGACATTTTGATGACAAATGATTTCATAACATTTGTTGTATTTTCCTTTATTTTTCTTTTAGGAAATAAAAATCACTTACATTCAAAAGGCACACACTGGAAGAATGGGCTTCCCGTCAATCCAGATGGGCATGTACACATTGGTATGTGGTTAATGACATCACATCGAGCTCCTTGCCCACAAGTTCCAGGGCAAGGATCTTGACACTTGTTACGGATGCAGGCTCGATCTCTTGGACAATCAGTGTTGAGGACACATTCTGGTCTACAACCAGAGTATGGGTCTCCTTGGAATTCAGGCAGACAGGTACAGATTCCATCAGCACACTGAGCATTTGGACCACATGGAGATGGATTGCATGGATCACTGGCTTGAGTTGGAGGTGGTTCAGGAGGTTTGGGGAAGCAATTGGTAAACGGATCTCCTGTGAATCCCTCAGGACAAGTGCAGATCGGAGTGTGGTTGATGACACTACACTGGGCTCCAGCTCCACAAGACCCTGGACACGGGTCTCGGCACTTCTCTCTCATACAGGCTTGGTTGCTGGGACAGTCTTGGTTGATGGTACACTCTGGTCTACAGATTGGTGGAGATCCAATGTATGTAGGCAGGCAAGAGCAGGATGGTGTTCCTCCAATATCTCTGCACTGAGAGAATGGACCACAAGGTGATGGGACACACGGGTCTCTGATAATTGGATCAGCTGGTGGAGGTGGAGCTGCAATAAAATAAAAACGGTTGTAAATCAAAACAAAAACAATTATAAACAAACTTTGTATGAGGAAATTATATGTTCTGTAGTTAATTGAATAGTACATAAAGTGCATTTCAGGTGCTCTAATATTTCACTTACGTGGTGGAATCGGGAAACATCTTGAGAAAGGATCTCCAGTGAAGCCAGAGTTGCAGCTGCAGATGGGACTGTGGTTGATGACTTGACACCTGGCGTTCTGTCCACAAGTGCCAGGACAAGGGTCCACACATTTCTGGTTGACACAGGCTCTGTTGGCCGGACACTCACTGCTCACAACACACTCTGGTCTGCAGCCTGGAGGCTGGCCTATGTATGTTGGCAGACACGAGCACACAGCTTGTCCATTCACTTCCCTGCATTGACTGTTGGGTCCACATGGTGAAGGCACACAAGGGTTCAATGGCTCTGCTTGGATAGCTATGAAAAATTAAATGCATGATAATACAAAACATTGAACATTTAACTTTGATTAAATTTAAATGTCAGTATCTTTGTGCTTTAGTAAAAATTCTTAGTCAACTAGTATTTCATGCAATACAACTATGTAAATATAGTTGGGTTCTACTAGATATGTACTTTAAAAATAATATTTATTAAAGTTAGAATTGTGTCAAACAAAACAATATCAACTCCGAACATTAATCATCATAGAAATTTCCTGGGTGCAATATTATTTTAACTTTAAATTTTTCATAAATATATTTTATTAAGGAAATTTTATACCTTTTATCTAAAAATATCAGTATAGTACATGTAATATTTTTAAATGCTAAGGGATGTTGAGCATTGAACTTTTTAGGGGCCATATTATATTATTTAAAAAATTCTACAGTATACTGACTTCTATATCAATTAGATTAGAGAGAATAAAATAATTAAAATTATAAAATTGCAACAGTTTATGAAATTTACCTGGAGGAGGTGGAATGACGTTGCAGAAGCGGAACGGATCCCCAGTGAAACCAGGACGACAGGTGCACAATGGCAAGTGGTTGACAACCTGACAGTCGGCATTCTGTCCACAAGTTCCAGGGCAAGGGTCCTGACATTTGTTGCGGATACAAGCTCTGTTGGAGGCACAGTCAGTGTTCAAGGTACACTCAGGTCGACAGCCTTCGTAAGGGTTGCCGATGTAATCTGGCAGACAAGTGCAGGCTCCAGCACCGTTCTGTTCTCTGCATTGAGCGTTTGATCCACAAGGTGAAGGAGTACAAGGTGTTGCTACTTCTTGGATTGGTTCAGCTGTAATCAGAAGAAAGAATCTTACTTAATTTCTGAAGTCTTTAAATCTTTTTTAATCAATACCTTAGATACATTATAAATATCAATAAAAACTTAAATAATGAGTTAATGTATTGCATTTACCTTGTTGCAAAATGCATTGTGTGAAAGGGTCTCCTATGTAGCCAACAATACAGACACACTGTGGAGTATGGCTGACAACTCTGCACATAGCATTGGCTCCACAAGTGCCAGGACAAGGATCTCTGCACTTCTGGTTGATACAGGCCAGGTTGGAGGCACATTCACTGTTGCTGACACACTCAGGGCGACAGTTGGGAGGTGTTCCGATGAACTCTGGCAGACATGAACATGACGGACTGTCTCCAGACACTCGACACTGTGAGTTTGGACCACATGGTGATGGCTGACATGGATCTTGTGGTGAAGATGGAGATTGTGAAATCACTGAAAAATAAATAATAATTAACTATTTTTCATTGAATAAACATAATTTCTACAATAGTGCTACTTGTATATTTTAGACATGATGCATGATTAAAAACAAGTGCATAATTTGGTTCTAATCATACATTGTGAGAGGAGGTTATAATATATCACTGTCGAGTATGCAAACATTATTTTACTAACAGGCTGCATAATGTTACAATTTCTTAAAAGCGACAGTTTTTTTAACATGTTCTAGTTGTTGCCAAAGAAGGCCAGGACTGAGAATAAATTTTAACTGGGTGTATTCCCACATGTCTATAACTTGTAAGGTAGGTCAGGTGAAATCTAACTTATCTGATCATAATCAAAATAAACATGTCCAAGTTTAACTAAAACTAACTCTAGAGGAAGAATTAATCATTGCATGGAGCAAGCTCGAACGTATTACCTACTGGATTTAGCCTGAAGTGATTTAAAGAAGATTTGGGAACCTTAAATGACTTCAAACCCAATGGAATAGGTTTCAGTTAACACAAGTATGATTGAAATTACTATCAAAAACAAAAACCAGCCCAATCTGGCAGGTGGATGTAAAATTAGTTTCTATAAATATATTATTTTATTGTTTCTACTGTATATATTAGTATTAATTGTAGCTAATGTACATGCAATCATTTATTGAATATGAGCTCTGGTAAGGAAGTACTGTACTGAGACAGTTTTTTGAAAGCTATTTGACTCTAATCCCAAATGTTACGTAATGGTCAAATCCCTCTACCCTTCTTAGTCAGGGTAATTGCCTGAGTCTCTTCTTTAGTATGGAATTAAATACTTTTCTTTCATTAGTTATGCTGTGAATTTGGGAAATGTGAGTGTCTTGGTAGCACACAAGGAAAATTTTAATATTCCAACAAGAAAACTGGGCTAATCTGAAATGGCAATTTATTGATCCTCTTATTACATCAAAATTGCATATCATGTTCATTTCTTATGAGGCAATAATAGTTCATATATGATTAGGAAGAATTCACAGATTATCCATATTTAGAGCCTGCTCCCACTCCAAAATGGCAAAATGGAATAAAACCCTGAACTACAGAAAACCTTGAAGGCACTCTCTTATGTCTAGAAATCCACCTTGGTATAAATGCAATTTCTGGGATCCTTGGAGTTGACAAAGAATGAGTAAGATTAATTTTGCATGAAATTATTAATAAGTTTTTTAATAATAAAACTCAAAAATTTTGATTTTAAGTATCAAAGTTGCGCTTAAGATGCCTGATTAAAATACTCACACCAAAGAGTTTTTGCAATGTTAGTTAAAAAATACCCCTGCTGCAGCAAACCTGCAGACTAAGCGAATTTCCACTTGTCTGATTAAATTTTTACTAAAATATTTCCATAAATAAGACATATTTATTCCCAACTTAAATAGCATTAGATTTAACAAGTGCTTAGGTTTGCTGCTAAGGGGAAGTTGAAAAAGTGTTTTTTGACCAAAAGTCAATAGTAGGCCTATAGTATGAAATAAATAAATTTGCCAAATTTTATCAACATATCCATAAACAAGTAAACTACAACAGTTTTCATATTCTACATAAGAATAACATGGGAATTTTAAATTTACACTTTTTTGAATTTTCTCTGTAACCATTTGGCATAGAACAATGCTTCAATATACTAAATTATTTCTTTTTTAAGCTCTACAAAATGGTTGGGAAAGATATTCCAAAATGTTATGTTTTTAGGGTCAAAAATGGGTAAAAACCCATTTTTACCCCATAAAACCCCCCACAAACCCCTGTTCCCATGGTCCGATCATGCTGGTTCGCGAACTCGTTCGAATAATTGTAGGTTTACACGTTTATACCAAATTGCATCAAAATCGGATCATTTTTGTTCGAGTTATCGTGCTAACGGACACATATATCTAAATATATAAAAGGCAAAGCCCTCACTGACTCACTCACTCACTCATCACTAATTCTCCCACTTCCCATTTACCTAGGAGGCTGAAATTTGGTACACCGATTCTTAGGGCATTAAATAGGAAAACTAAGTAGTTTTTATTCTGATCGGGCTTTCGGGCTCCGCCCCAGTGGCTCTGGCGTTTCCCATGTTAACCTTATGATTCTTCATATTTAAAAGGAACTAGTTGCTCTACCCGTGCTTCGCTACAGGGTGAGAATGCAGAAAAGAATAATTCGGTTTTACTTATAAGATACTATAATATACTATGAGAAACAGTTACAACAAAAAAAAGCTCAATCCTGCTTATTGATTATTTAAATTAGGATCTCTTAATGTATTACAGTACTATAATTTTATATAGTGTATAAAATTTAAAATATATGCAAAAGTATAATTCATTGACCACATGGCACCAAGAAACAATTCTCTTTGTAAACAAATTAAATTAAATAGCAGAACAGCATTTATGACAACAGCTGTAGTTTCAAAACAATGTTTTTCCCATGTTAATCTTATGGAGAAATACGAAACTTTAAAGGGTCCCCATGCCTCACTCTCTAATTATTTCCCTAAAAAGAAGGTTTCCTGCACAACTTCACGTTACGCACTTTCCAATGACACTAAAAACATGTCAATCGGTTCAGTAGTTTCGGAGGAGTAATTGTCACAAAAAACGTGCTTGCGTATTAAATAAGTAATATAGATTAATGAATCTTAACAGCTGTTTCAATTAAACAAGTTGGTTCTGTTCTATGGTGTTTAATAGCATTAAAGTTACAAGGATTACCAACAGGGTGCAGCACTATTATTTTTTTTTAATTTATGACAACAGCTAATTTGCAACCAAAAGGTGAGTGATTGTAGTGAACGAACTTCAACCAGGACGTGATTGAGCCATGCGAATACTTATGAAGTTAAACGGGGCAAAGCCCGCGGGTACAGCTAGTATATATATATATATGAAAAATAGAATAATAGGGCTACTATATATAAATGAAAATTAAACATTAATAAACTTAGAACCCAAGTAAAAATTATTTATTAAAATATTTACTGACTAAAGTTTCGGCTTTAAGGCCATTTTCAAAGTCAAGAGATGAATATGAAAATCAAGACTTTGAAAATGGCCTTAGAGCCGAAACTATAGTCATTAGTCAGTAAATATTTTAATGAATAATTTTTACTTGGGTACTAAGTTTATTAATAATGTTTAATCTTGACATGTATATACATATATATATTAATATTTTCTTTCATGTTTAGGGCTACTAATATAATAAAAATCAAAAACATAGTTAACAAAGTACCCTTTTAATAATTATTTTATTTTTAATGACGACATGTTTCGGAGACTAAGTCAATTATCAAGTCATATTTACCATAACCTCATTCTTAAAACTAACAAAATTAAAAATATAATCATATGTAAAAATGATAAAATATTTTAAATCAATCTTAATAAATTTTGGTATTAATATTTCACTATACTATATTAATGTTTTTCTTTCTTTCCTTAGTTTTTCAATTTTATCGTAGATAGGTTGGTTTAATTTTGGAATCATTGTGTTAAGTATGTTCTTGGGGTCCTTTTTATTGTGTAGATAAATATTTAGCTCTTCTTTTACATTAAGTTTCTCACGTTCTTTTTCATATTCTAAAATTGTTAGATTTTCTTTCATGTTTTTATAACTGTGGTCTGAGTTTATTATATGGTCGGCGAAGTTCGACTTCATTGATGTTAGCTTTTTTTATTTCAATGCTTGTAGATGTTCTTTGAAACTTGTTTTAAAACTTCGAGATGTTTGACCTATAATAGCTTATTCCCTATATGGGAAATGCGCTAAAAAGATATAAAAATATCCATACCTATAGGCGGTGTAAGCGCCAATGATGAACTGGGAGAACAACAGTATTGACTAGATTGTTGCCTACTAAGTGATCAACAATTAATTACTCTGACAAACAGCGCAGAGATGCGGATCTTACATTATAATTTGGAGGGTTGCAATACAAATCATAAAGCTCAACGATGAAACTTTTAACCTATATACTCATAATAAATGGCTTACAGCTTCTAATGATAGTAAACTTCTCCTACCTAATTGAGTACACCTATTGAAGGGATCGCCGGTGAAGCGTGGCGGACAAGTGCAGATGGGGTTGTGGTTGATGACTTGACATCTGGCACCAACACCACATGTTCCTGGACAAGGATCTCTACACTTCTGGTTGGAGCAGGCTTGGTTGAGAGGACAGTCTGAGTTGACCACACATTCAGGCCTGCAGGTGGGAGGACTACCTATGTAGCCGGGCACACAGGAACACACAGCTTGTCCGTTCACTTCTCTGCACTGACTGTTGGATCCACAAGGTGATGGGTTGCATGGCTGTGTCACAACAGGAGCTGCAAAAATGCAAATGGATCAAGTTAATGAAAATAAAGACTTTTTTGATAATTATTTTGATGTTTATTAGTAAATAAATAACCAATATTATTATATTCAATATCTAAAGAATGAAAATACATGTTCAAAAGGTTTATCAGACAATTTACCCCAAAAGTGATCTAAGTCAAAGGCCATATATCAACATATTGTCTTTGTCCAAAATGTGTTTTGACTTCAAATGAGTACATATCCAATTTTTAGAAATCAGTAAACTAAATTTAATTTAATAATAGGAATGACCTACCTTGCATTGGCCGACAGTCTACAAATGGATTTCCACTCATGCCAGGAGGACAGCTGCACATTGGAATGTGGTTTATCACTTGACACACAGCATTCTGGCCACAAGTTCCAGGACAAGGATCTTGACACTTGTTACGGATGCAGGCTCGATCTCTTGGACAATCAGTGTTGAGGACACATTCTGGTCTACAACCAGAGTATGGGTCTCCTTGGAATTCAGGCAGACAGGTACAGATTCCATCAGCACACTGAGCATTTGGACCACATGGAGATGGATTGCATGGATCACTGGCTTGAGTTGGAGGTGGTTCAGGAGGTTTGGGGAAGCAATTGGTAAACGGATCTCCTGTGAATCCCTCAGGACAAGTGCAGATCGGAGTGTGGTTGATGACACTACACTGGGCTCCAGCTCCACAAGACCCTGGACACGGGTCTCGGCACTTCTCTCTCATACAGGCTTGGTTGCTGGGACAGTCTTGGTTGATGGTACACTCTGGTCTACAGTTTGGTGGAGATCCAATGTATGTAGGCAGGCAAGAGCAGGATGGTGTTCCTCCAATATCTCTGCACTGAGAGAATGGACCACAAGGTGATGGGACACACGGGTCTCTGATGATCGGATCAGCTGGTGGAGGTGGAGCTGCAATAAGATATTGAAAATTGGTCAAACCAGATCCTGATGGTATTTGCATAGATAAAACCCTTATTAGATTTCTCACCCTTTTGGATCAGCTTAAGACAATTTTATTGTTAGTTGGTTACTTTCCTCCAATGCACTGTAGGGGTCGTGTTTTGTTAAAAATTTGTTTCTTGTTATTTCAGTCATTTAAAACCTAGCTTAACCAAATAAAACAATCTATTAATTAACAATATCATGCCTGCTGGTTATATAGCCAAACAGTAAGGCACAAATCAGGAAATTATCCTTGAAAAATAGAAACAATATTTTGTCAACACTAGCCATCAGTGTCACCATGAACTAGAGGAGAAAAACGAGCTTCAAAATTTAATATAGGATGAGAAGGTGACCACTTGTGTTAGTTAGTCTATGGTATTGGTTTTTTTACATATAAAATGTAAAAAAGTGATACTACTTTTATGAATACCCAAAAAAAATGAATTGGAATAGGATTAACAAACTGGTCTTTGTTTATTCAAAGTATATTTGATGTTATCTGATAACTTGTTTTCTGAAAAGTTAAAACTGCAAGTAATGAATACATACCTCTATCATTTGGTAGAAAAATAAACTTACGTTGTGGTATAGGGAAACATCTTGAGAAAGGATCTCCAGTGAAGCCAGAGTTGCAGCTGCAGATGGGACTGTGGTTGATGACTTGACACCTGGCGTTCTGTCCACAAGTGCCAGGACAAGGGTCCACACATTTCTGGTTGACACAGGCTCTGTTGGCCGGACACTCACTGCTCACAACACACTCTGGTCTGCAGCCTGGAGGCTGGCCTATGTATGTTGGCAAACACGAGCACACAGCTTGTCCATTAACTTCCCTGCATTGACTGTTGGGTCCACATGGTGAAGGCACACAAGGGTTCAATGGCTCTGCTTGGATGGCTGGAAAAAATAAATGTATGGAAATCAAAAAAATAAAACGAACATTTAACTATGAACAAAATTTAAAATTTAGTACTTTTGTCCTTTAAACAAAACTTATAAGCTAAGTCAAATAATGGAAAACAACTATTTATAGAGAGTTGGTTTCTACTAGATACTGTAAAATAATTATTTATTAAACTAAGGATTGTGTCAAACAAAACAATTTCAACTTAAAATCAATTATCATCATAGAAATTTCTTTCGGGCAATATTATTTCAACTTTACTATGGTTAGTGACTTTTATATTAATTATTTTAGAGATAATAAAAACTATTAAAAATCAACACCAAAAAGTTGATGTATTGTACCTGGAGGAGGAGGCATAATACTGCAGAAGCGGAACGGATCCCCAGTGAAACCAGGACGACAGGTGCACAATGGCAAGTGGTTGACAACCTGACAGTCGGCGTTCTGTCCACAAGTTCCAGGGCAAGGGTCCTGACATTTGTTGCGGATACAAGCTCTGTTGGAGGCACAGTCAGTGTTCAAGGTACACTCAGGTCGACAGCCTTCGTAAGGGTTGCCGATGTAATCTGGCAGACAAGTGCAGGCTCCAGCACCGTTCTGTTCTCTGCATTGAGCGTTTGATCCACAAGGTGAAGGAGTACAAGGTGTTGCTACTTCTTGGATTGGTACATCTGTAACCAGAAGAAAGAATCTTACTAAAATTTTAGAAGTCTTTAAATATTTTTCAATCATTACCCCAGATACGTGATAAATATCAATAAAAACTTCAATAATGAGTTAATGTATTGCATTTACCTTGTTGCAAAATGCATTGTGTGAAAGGGTCTCCTATGTAGCCAAAAATACAGACACACTGTGGAGTATGGCTGACAACTCTGCACATAGCATTGGCTCCACAAGTGCCAGGACAAGGATCTCTGCACTTCTGGTTGATACAGGCCAGGTTGGAGGCACATTCACTGTTGCTGACACACTCAGGGCGACAGTTGGGAGGTGTTCCGATGAACTCTGGCAGACATGAACATGACGGACTATCTCCAGACACTCGGCACTGTGAGTTAGGACCACATGGTGAAGGTATACAAGGGTCTGTTGGTGGAGACTGCTGGGGTGGAGCTGGAAAGAATCATGTGAAAAAGGTAAAATTAAATTTTAACATATTGTGCTTAATAGGTCAGAAACCTGAAAAATCTTATAATTTAAACCTAAACTGTCAATGTGGTTTATAAGTAAAGCCCTTTTAATCTCTTGGTGAATCTTTTTAATATTAATTTTAATTTGACCTTTGTGGAGCTTTGGATTCAGTGATGCTTTGTTGATTAGTTTTTATTAATAATTTTTATTTCATAGTATATATTGACCGGTTCTTTTAAGTTAATTATTTTTATTGTATTCTGTTATGTCTTTTAATCTGTCAAGAACAAGGTGGTACTTTTAAGGTAACTTTTACAAGGAAGGGGATATCAAAGCCATAATTTTAGTTTGGGGGTACAGTATTTTTAAATTAATAAAGTTTTAATGTTTTTAAGTGTAGCAGCCATCATTTTCAATGTCATGTTTGTTTCAATGTCATTTGGTTTAACTAATAGCTGGTTTCAAACTGTCACTAAAATGTTTACGTTACAAGTTGAAGTTGTTTATAAAAATATTGATTGTCGGTATTACATATTTTGACAATGTTATTAAATGTAGATTTTTCTTACTATAAAGCTTTTTTTTCAGGAAATGTGTAATTTTGAACTATATATACTTAACACTTAGTTTTATATATTTAACACTTAGTGTCATCAAGTTTCAACGTAAATATAATCTGTGTAAATATAAGTTTATGCTGTGGAAATTTGATTTCAGCTTAGGGAAATATTTTTTCAATAAACTATTGATTAATTGATTAAGTTAAAGGTCGTTTGCGTGTTGATAGTTCTATTTATGTTCATATGTCTATCTGTCGTCATATCGAAATATTGGTTGGTTATGAAAATGTCAACCAGTACAGAAGGTATTCAATATTGGTCTGTAGAAAACTGGTAAAGTCCAAACGGCTGTCAGTAGAAACCAAAATCTATTTATAACCTACCGTAACTATCACAGTACAGCACAGTAACAGCACTGTAATATCCATAATCCTTGGCACTGGCCAATGAATCCTAAACACCTTATTATTATGTTTGAGAATAGAGTGCAATGAAAACTATGTGGACCAATTCAAGATAACGGAGGTTGAGATACAAAAGAACAGAGAGCTAAGAGAAATGTATTAACACCCAGATATAGAGGTGATTTCCAAAAGTAAAAGGCTCAGATGGGCAGGCTATGCATGGTGGAGGGAAGATACATAACATTTGAAAAGTGGTAGCTGCCTATTCAAAGGAGCATCACAAGGTAGACGACCATTAGCTGGACCAAGAATGAGGAGGAAAGACCAAGTAATGAAAGAAGTCTCCAAACTGCATTAGAAACTCAAAACTCAAAGCTCAAAGCTCGAAGCTCAAAACTACATTAGAAGAGACAGGTGACAGAAGAAAATGGAATGGAATGGCCACAGATGTTAGATAAGTTTGGTTATAGTATTCAATGGAAGGTGGTGTGTAGCTACCTTTATCCAGTATGGAAATTAGCACTCAGTTTTATTTAATGGCTTTTCACATTAACAAAGTTACTGTTTTACTATAAAATCATCAGAATTAAAAGGCAAAGCATAAATAATTGGATAAAGGAAATAGGTGGCCACACAAAATTTGTCTACAAGGTGATTTTTCACATCAAAACTATGAGGATTAGCCTTTACACGGGTTATATTTTTGTTTACAGCTCTTAAACAACATCTTATATATTAAATTAACATAATTAACAAAAGGATTATGTTCATTAACGAAAGGTAGTGAATATTCAAGATCACACTGAATATAATATAAATATATAAGTATGAGTAAAAATATCAGATTTATTTGTAGACTATTTCTGTTTTTTCCAGGGTGATCTATAATATTCAAGGGTTTTTATGACTTTCAAAACAAAATATGAAAATGTGCAGGGCCGGATTCAGCATTTTTGCGCCCCTAGGCCCAAATAGTTTTCCGCCCCCTAGGCTGGTCACAGTTATACTTTCCTTCAAACCTTTATTAAAACTATGTCACGCCCATAGGCCTAAGTTAATTGCTTGAATACCACTCCTCGTCGGAATCATTGCAAGTTTTTTTTTTTAAAGAATTGACTTGTTTAGCCTTAACAAAATGGCGTCTAAAACACTTTTAGCAATTTTATGCTTTAAATAAATGCTCACGTTTGTGGCCGTGGGACTGAAACAAAACAACTCAACCCACCAAGCATTCCTATTGATTCCAATTCCAGGCCCCAAAACATGAACTCCATACAGTATGTGATACCATAGATTAAACTAGGCTAATTAAACATTCACCTTTAATAGATTTGTCATCGTTTTGGATTAGCTGAAAACAATTCTTGTTATTTAAGGTGTATGTTTTATCTATATTTAAACCTAGTTAATCCAAAATAAAACGATCTAATCATCAACAATGGGTCGTCTTCTGTTTATATTACTACAAGAAATTAAAACACACATCATAGAACTAACCCTAAAATAATAGAAACAAAATTACGTCAAAACTAACGTCCAGTATCACCAACATGAACTAGACATGAACAAATTTAGAATTAACAATGTCATAAGAAGTCGACTTGAGTTATATTTAATCTATGACCATACTGCATCTAGGTTATATTTCCAAAGCAAAACAGAGCAATATTCCGGTCAATATTTACCGATCCTTAGGTCTGATGGTGCTATGGAGGGTATAGCATTTTTTTTATCCAAGGCAAACTTTAATATTTTTTTGCAAGATTAATATTTTTTTGTTAATTTTAAGGGTAAATTCATTGTTTTTTTAATATTCAACACAACGTATTATACATTTTAACTTGATGTCTAGCACGCATGCGCCCCTAATCACTCTAACCGATAGCATAGTGAGCCAGCATAGGGGCAGTGCAGTGGTAATACGATGCGTACCCCTTGGGCGCTCATCAACGTCAACATCCCTACAGCCAACTCCCGTATAACCAATTTTGTAACGAAATAGATGCGTAATTCTGAAAAATAGTTTAAATTTCCTAACAATTATTTCTTCTTATGAACTTAAGAATCACAATGCTTTATTAGGCAGAGTTTTTTGTCAACTATGACTATTTAATTTTTAGATATAAAAAAAAATTCCTCTCGGTCGTGCGCCCTCTGGGACCTTGCGCCCATAGGCCCCTACTGGGCCTATTGGGAAATCCGGCCCTGAAAATGTGTGATAGTATTAAAAAAATACAAATTTTGGCCTATAATGTTCTAATTATTGAAAAAAAATTCACATATTTATTTCTAGATTTCATGGTACCAAGACTTGTGTAAATCCATGAAACAGAAAAAAAAACTGATTCTATAACTATTGTTGTACATTGTATTTGTTAAAGTTTGTTATTAGTTAAAGCCAGGTTTTGCTGTTAGTTGTTATATTATTACCTATATTGTAATAATATAACAACTTATAATAAACAGGCTTTGTATACAATTTTAGGTATTTTACATATTTTCATTTTCAATCAAAAATAACTTCCTAACAATTGTAGAGAACAACAGTATAGCTCCAGTAAAAGGTTGGATACAGAAAATATAGATTCAAACTCAATGGCTCAGATTTAAAGTTAACAATTACAGTGGTTTAACAATCCATGATTAAATGAAGAACCCTTAATATAATAATATAACTGCAAGATAATAAAAAAAATATGTTAAATGCCATTTTGTTTTTATTACATTGAACATATTGGACCTGAAAATTATACGGACAAAAATTTTATGTTTTTCTATCAATATTCACCAAATCCACTTACGGATAGGCTGGCATCTTAAGAACGGATCCCCAGTAAAGCCAGTGGGACAACTGCAGATGGGGTTGTGGTTGATGACTTGACATCTGGCACCAACCCCACAGGTTCCTGGACAAGGATCTCTACACTTCTGGTTGGAGCATGCTTGGTTGAGAGGACAGTCTGAGTTGACCACACATTCAGGCCTGCAGGTGGGAGGACTGCCTATGTAGCCGGGCACACAGGAACACACAGCTTGTCCGTTCACTTCTCTGCACTGACTGTTGGGTCCACAAGGTGATGGGTTGCATGGCTGTGTCACAACAGGAGCTGCAACAAGTGGAATGAGTAAAATTTAAATCATAATACATTAACTGCAAACAAATTTAGTTGTAAATTAATTTATTTCCACTCTATCTATCTTTAAGACAAGAGCTATTAAAAAAAGAAAATCTTCTCACATAGTTGAGAGTTCACCCTTAAGTATTGAGATACCATCTTTGCCTGCATAACAAGTTTATTTGGTATTTGGTATTTGAATGCAAACAAACTTTGACAGCATTTGTTATAATAATTATTTTTTTTTATGATGAATTGCAAAGCTTTAGTGTATATAAAGCTTTATCAAATTAAACATTAGGTCTAAATAAACAACTACCTTGCATTGGACGACAATCTACAAATGGATTTCCGCTCATTCCAGGCGGACAGCTGCACATTGGAATGTGGTTTATCACTTGACACACAGCATTCTGGCCACAAGTTCCAGGACAAGGATCTTGACACTTGTTACGGATGCAGGCTCGATCTCTTGGACAATCAGTGTTGAGGACACATTCTGGTCTACAACCAGAGTATGGGTCTCCTTGGAATTCAGGCAGACAGGTACAGATTCCATCAGCACACTGAGCGTTTGGACCACATGGAGATGGATTGCATGGATCACTGGCTTGAGTTGGAGGTGGTTCAGGAGGTTTGGGGAAGCAATTGGTAAACGGATCTCCTGTGAATCCCTCAGGACAAGTGCAGATCGGAGTGTGGTTGATGACACTACACTGGGCTCCAGCTCCACAAGACCCTGGACACGGGTCTCGGCACTTCTCTCTCATACAGGCTTGGTTACTGGGACAGTCTTGGTTGATGGTACACTCTGGTCTACAGTTTGGTGGAGATCCAATGTATGTAGGCAGGCATGAGCAGGAAGGTGTTCCTCCAATATCTCTGCACTGAGAGAATGGACCACAAGGTGATGGTACACAAGGGTCTCTGATAATTGGATCAGCTGGTGGAGGTGGAGCTGCAATAGCCATTGAAAATTAGCCAGATCAGATCCTGAAGGTATTGGTTAAAAATGTTACTAAGGAAATCTAAAAAAAAGTAATAATCATGACTTTTATGAATACCATAAAAATTAAATGAAAAAAATTATGAATCTGGTTGTTGTTAGTTTTAAGAATTACTTCCTGCTTTTTAGATAACTTGATTTCTAAATATCTAAAGATATAAGTAATAAATACACATGTCATTTGGTGGAGAAATATACTTACGTGGTGGAATAGGGAAACATCTTGAGAAAGGATCTCCAGTGAATCCAGAGTTGCAGCTGCAGATGGGACTGTGGTTGATGACTTGACACCTGGCGTTCTGTCCACAAGTGCCAGGACAAGGGTCCACACATTTCTGGTTGACACAGGCTCTGTTGGCCGGACACTCACTGCTCACAACACACTCTGGTCTGCAGCCTGGAGGCTGGCCTATGTATGTTGGCAGACACGAGCACACAGCTTGTCCATTAACTTCCCTGCATTGACTGTTGGGTCCACATGGTGAAGGCACACAAGGATTGATTGGCTCTGCTTGGATAGCTGTAAAAAATAAATGTATGGAAATCCAAAAAAGAAATTGAACATTGATCTATGATTAAATTTAAAAATTTTTATTTTTGTGCTTTAAAACAACTTTTAAGTCAAATAATGCAAAAAAAAACTATGTAAAGATAGTTTGTTTCTACTAGATATTTAAAATAATATTTATCTAGGAGATTCCCTACTTAAAATGACCGAAATTATATTTTTTTCCCAAATTTTTGATTACAGATTTTTGTTCTTTGTTATGTTTTCTTTAAACAAAAAACATACATATCAGGGTACAAGTGGATTTGTAAATAATAAAAAAAATTATAGGAGGCTCTGCATGCCTCCGCCCAATGGCAAACCTAATGGGGCCAGATTACCCGATGAGCCTAGCCAGCCCCTGATTCCCGCAGGGGTTTTGATTCTTTCTTTTTCTGGGGGTTTTTAAAATTAAAATTGATACATTTCAAAAAGCACTTGTAGTACAAGGTTGAAATTTTTACCTCATATTCCTAATTAAAATATATATAAAAAGCTAGGTAAAATTATGAGTATAACACAATTTTATAAATTAAATAAAAATCTTTGTAAAAATAAACAATATTATTTTAAGTTTTAAAATTGTTCTCCTTATAACATTTTTCTCTAAACAGATACAAACTTAATTTTACCTAGCTTTTTAGAAGACTATAATCCTACAAAATAACACTTTGATCATGACATTGTAGCCAATAGAAACTGGGATATAAAAATTTTTTATATAACCGTTTTTTTTTTTTATTTATATATATATGTAAAAAAAAACATAAAACTGCAAATTAGAAATTTTGACCACAAAAGTTTCTTTTCTTAACAAGTACAAACTAGATAAACCTCACTCAGAACCAAAAGGAAGAATATTATCATGTGTAGCATTTTCAGTGGAGAATCCCCTTAAAGTTAGAAGTGTGTCAAACAAAACAATTTCAACTCAAAAACATTTATCATCATAAAAATGTCTTTGGGGCAATATTATTTCAACTTTAATATGGTTACTGACTTTTATATCAATTATTAGATATAACTAGGTGCTGTATCCGTGTTTCGTAAAAGGAAGATTTAGGTCTGCTACTGTACTGCCTATTCCAAACACTTGTTTAGTAGATCAAATTTAGAAACAAAAAGCCACCAAATAAAAAAAGTATAACCTACATTGTAATTGTCCTATTGTTTACATGTAATTATATAAATAACATTAAGTTCATAACTTGGACACTTTAATAAACAGAGTCTGGGTTGATAAAGCAACAGTTATAGAATCTTGTTTTATTTCCATAACCAATGACATAGTTTTAGAATAAAATGATCTATGACAAAGTTTTTGTGTAATAGTATATTTTGTACCTAGGGCCGAAAATGAGGTTTTGCTGGTTCGAGATGGTTTTTAAATCGATCGAGAGCTGTAAAATCATTTCGGTCTGTGGTACTAACGCTATTTTTCACCACACTATACCCTATTACCACTATTCACCACTATAATAATGCACACTGATAGTCAACACAACAACAACTTTAAGGTTATGTGAAGAAATAATTTGAGGAATCAGCAAAAATAAAAATAAATAGTTGCTAGGCAACGGTGACAATAAAGCAATTCTATTGCAATGCTATGGATACTGATTGTGTATTTAATATGCATTCATGTCTTAAGTAAGTAAGCGGGCAGCTGATTTTGCGGCCCTAGGGATGTAAAAACCTGCTCGGTCCCCAAATAACGATGACAGCTGGCATGGCCAGCAAAACGTAACTTTCAGCCACCAATTAATGTATGTAAAACCGCTAAAAACATCATTGTGTTGTGAAAAATATTTTACTTTATTTGTTTGGATCAGCTGTCTGAAGTTTTAAAATAAGCATTTAGCAGTTCTGATTGTTTACTTTGAAATGTCAGCACAAAGGTAAACAAAAATTGTAAATTTTCTCATGCTTCCATGGAGACCAATTACTATTCACTTTTGAAAACCTCACCTCAATAATTTGGACATCCAAGGGACGTAGCCTGTTAGAAAATCAGGGAAGTAAATAGGCCTTTGACATTCCAAGATATGTGGACTATCTTTATGCTTAATTTTGATTGTATCGGTTTAGTATTTAAGTCATGACAGCTGCCCAGACAGAAAGACAAACAGACACAATCTCAATTTTATAATCGTATAGAAGTTAGATAACAATGATTAAAACTCATATAACACCAAAAAGTTGATGAAATATACCTGGAGGAGGAGGCATAACATTGCAGAAGCGGAACGGATCCCCAGTGAAACCAGGACGACAGGTGCACAATGGCAAGTGGTTGACAACCTGACAGTCGGCGTTCTGTCCACAAGTTCCAGGGCAAGGGTCCTGACATTTGTTGCGGATACAAGCTCTGTTGGAGGCACAGTCAGTGTTCAAGGTACACTCAGGTCGACAGCCTTCGTAAGGGTTGCCGATGTAATCTGGCAGACAAGTGCAGGCTCCAGCACTGTTCTGTTCTCTGCATTGAGCGTTTGATCCACAAGGTGAAGGAGTACAAGGTGTTGCTACTTCTTGGATTGGTTCAGCTGTAACCAGAAGAAAGAATCATACTTAATTTTTGAAATATTTCAAATATTTTTTTCAATTAATCCCCTAGATACATGATAAATATCAATAAAACATCAATAGTGAGTTAATTTATTGCATTTACCTTGTTGCAAAATGCATTGTGTGAAAGGGTCTCCTATGTAGCCAACAATACAGACACACTGTGGAGTATGGCTGACAACTCTGCACATAGCATTGGCTCCACAAGTGCCAGGACAAGGATCTCTGCACTTCTGGTTGATACAGGCCAGGTTGGAGGCACATTCACTGTTGCTGACACACTCAGGGCGACAGTTGGGAGGTGTTCCGATGAACTCTGGCAGACATGAACATGACGGACTGTCTCCAGACACTCGGCACTGTGAGTTAGGACCACATGGTGAAGGTATACAAGGGTCTGTTGGTGGAGACTGCTGGGGTGGAGCTGGAAAGAATCATGTGAAAAAGGTAAAATTAAATTTAACATATTGTGCTTAATCGGTCAGAAACCTGAAAAATCTTATAATTTAAACCTAAACTGTCAATGCGGTTTATAAGTAAAGCCCTTTTAATCTCTTGGTGAATCTTTTAGCGAATTTCCCATATAGGGAATAAGCTATTACCGCAGGTTTCATGGTAAGACCTGGGACCATGGACCGATTTACTTTTTCGTTTTGAGGTCCCCAGAGGTCAAAAACACCATCCGTTCAAATTCATATATATGAATTGAATACATACATACATTGAATTCATACAGTATATATATATATTTTTATATGTGTCCGTTAGTGCGATAACTCGAGCAAAAATGATCCGATTTTGATGAAATTTTGTACGAACGTGTAAACCTACGTTTATTCGAACGAGTTCGCGAACCAGCATAATTGGACCATGGGAACGGGGGTTTATGGGGGGTTTTATGGGGTAAAAATGGGTTTTTACCACTTTTTACCCTAAAAACAAAAAATTCTACAATTTCTTCCTAAACCATTTTGTAGAGCTTAAAAAAAGAAATAATTTAGTATATTGAAGCACCGTTGTATGCCTAACGGTCGCGGAGAAAATAAAAAAAAAGTGTAATTTTTTAATTTCCATGTTATTCTTATGGAGAAAATGAAAACTGTTGTAGTTTACTTGTTTATAGATATATGTTGATAAAATTTGGCAAATTTATTTATTTCATCCTATACTATTGAAGTATCGTAAAAAAACACGTTTTACTTCCCCGTAGCAGCAAACCTAAGTACTCATCTATATATCTAATTCCGTAAGCCCAAAATTTTACAATGAAAATGTGAGCGAACGGGAGGCCGTAGAAAGCTGGGAGAGGTCTCATTTTAAAGGTCTGGGCATGAAATTTTGGGGAAAATTATTTATTTTTCTTAATCGTGCACCAAAAAGTTAATACGGAATAAAATAATTCACATTTAAATAGCATGGGAATCTAGGTCATGTCTGCTTTGTTTACTTTAAAACATGTGGTTTAACTTTATTTAAAGCATATGGTAATATGTAATACCATCACTCTAATATGTGTACTACTTATAAAGCTGAAATAAACTTTTTTCCCAAATCTAAGGGTTTGGATTTAATGAAGTACGATTTGTTGTGTAGGTATGTCTGAAATAAGTGTAAAGATAGAAGTAATTACTGGAGTAGGCAAAGGGAACATATTTTCATGCCAAAAATTAAACTAATATCTACAGATTCTAATATGCCGTTTAAGTTTACAAGGATTCAATGCCCATTGCAAAATACCTTTCACTATTATTATAAATAAAGTGCAAGGCCAAACCTTCACAAAAGTTGGCATTTATTTGAAAAAACCATTGTTAACATACACAATTGTTAAACGATAATTCAAGGTAGGGTAACCCATGAGACTAATACATGTAATTTATACAAAATAGTTACTAGAATATACATATAGGGGCTATTGCCCCTACAAGCCACTAGTTAAATCTAATGTTATTTAAATTTAAAATAGCCTAAATATGTCTTATGGAAATATTTTTTTGTAAAAATTTAATCAGGCAAGTTGAAATTTGCTTAGTCTGCAGGTTTGCTGTGGCGGGGGTATTTAATATTAATTTTAATTTGACCTTTGTGGAGCTTTGGATTCAGTGATGCTTTGTTGATTAGTTTTTATTTATAATTTTTATTTCATAGTATATATTGTATATAGTATATATAGTGTATATAGTTCTTTCAAGTTAATTATTATTATTGTATTATTATTATTATTACTGATAATTATTATTGACTGCTGGGGTGGAGCTGGGAAAAAATAATATTGTTTTGGTTTTCCAATATATTATGCCAAATTCAACCTAGTTGATGATGTAGATTCAACACATTGGTTTTGAATGAGAATGCTATGTCCAGATTATTAATTAACCTGGAATACATAACCTAACCTTCTTCAATACCTTTCACAGTATGCAACGAAGAACCAATGGCTAGAAAAACAACAACTATCCTTTTTTTACAACACATTTGTCACCCTTCTTAAAGATGGAGGATTTTTTTGCAGTTTTGTATATATCGGGGGAAATAACTTATCTGATGAAATTGAATCAATGATCAGATTAATGTAAGGTTCTCTAAAAAAGATATGTAAATTCCTTTTGAAAAAGAGCAATATATTTTTTCAGAACCAGTAGAAGTTTCTTTTTAATCTTTTTAAGTTAGTTGCCAAAAATTATTTTTACAGTGATTTCAACACAGAAAGCAGCTGATTTTTGCTCTCCTTCACCTTATTACAGAGCCACCCCATTGGGTTTTTTGTAAAAAACAAAATACTAGGCATGAAAAGTCAGGTGAAAACCATGTATGCATAACAAACCGTTGGCAACACTGATTGTTGGAAACTAATAGACAAGCTTTTACCATAATTGTTGTATCCATGACATTTTTAATTTGATGACAAAGAATAATATGTGATTGTTGATTAAGGTCTAACCTATAAATAGTAAACGGTTTAATGAGTTATATAGTTAAGAGAAATAGCCAGAAATGTTTCCTTAGTCCTATTACAATGTCATCACAAAATAAATACCAGTTACGACTTTTTTTATTAGGTGAATGAAAAAGAACGCTAAAAACATTGCAAAAATTGTGCTAAATGGAATGAACAATAGACAGGTCACATGTCGTCTGTGTCTGTAATTTAGCTGTGATGATAAGCTAAGCCTCTCCCTGTCTAGACCAAGTAATCACTCATTTACACATTTAAATATATTTAAAGAGGGGGAGTCAAAGAGATTAACACTTTGAAAATAGATTTGTAAGTTATAAAATAAAACATGTGCAATATGATATGAGTTGGTTGATGTAAATGATTTGCACAGTTGTAATGATGCAATCCCAATCCCGGCAGAATATCTGGTATTATGTGTATGAGAAATTATAGATAAATTTTTAATTTATTAGTATTTCCCTATTGAAAATAAAATCAAGTTCAAACAGCTCCATAAGATTACCCAAGTCAGCGAATGACAAATCGAGATTACTAAGACAGTGATTGGAGGAAAAGATAACATGTGCGCTTCGAGCCAGTAATGTCACACAGTGTACAGTAAGACGTCCTAGAGAAAATGTATTGGCCCTAAAAAATATGGACATAAAGTGAATATTCATGTTATTCAACCAATTTTCACTAAACACACTTACGAATAGGTTGACATCTTATGAACGGATCCCCAGTAAAGCCAGTAGGACAACTGCAGATGGGGTTGTGGTTGATGACTTGACATCTGGCACCAACACCACAGGTTCCTGGACAAGGATCTCTACACTTCTGGTTGGAGCAGGCTTGGTTGAGAGGACAGTCTGAGTTGACCACACATTCAGGCCTGCAGGTGGGAGGACTACCTATGTAGCCGGGCACACAGGAACACACAGCTTGTCCGTTCACTTCTCTGCACTGACTGTTGGGTCCACAAGGTGATGGGTTGCATGGCTGTGTCACAACAGGAGCTGCAACAAGTGGAATGAGTAAAATTTAAATCACAATACATCAACTGCAAACAAATTTAGTTGTAAATTAATTTATTTCCACTCTTTATCTATCTTTAAGACAAGAGCTATTAAAAAAAGAAAATCTTCTCACATAGTTGAGAGTTCACCCTTAAGTATTGAGATACCATCTTTGCCTGCATAACAAGTTTATTTGGTATTTGGTATTTGAATGCAAACAAACTTTGACAGCATTTGTTATAATAATTAATTTTTTTGTGCAAAGCTTTAATGTATATAAAGCTTTATCAAATTAAACATTAGGTCTAAATAAACAACTACCTTGCATTGGACGACAATCTACAAATGGATTTCCGCTCATTCCAGGCGGACAGCTGCACATTGGAATGTGGTTTATCACTTGACACACAGCATTCTGGCCACAAGTTCCAGGACAAGGATCTTGACACTTGTTACGGATGCAGGCTCGATCTCTTGGACAATCAGTGTTGAGGACACATTCTGGTCTACAACCAGAGTATGGGTCTCCTTGGAATTCAGGCAGACAGGTACAGATTCCATCAGCACACTGAGCATTTGGACCACATGGAGATGGATTGCATGGATCACTGGCTTGAGTTGGAGGTGGTTCAGGAGGTTTGGGGAAGCAATTGGTAAACGGATCTCCTGTGAATCCCTCAGGACAAGTGCAGATCGGAGTGTGGTTGATGACACTACACTGGGCTCCAGCTCCACAAGACCCTGGACACGGGTCTCGGCACTTCTCTCTCATACAGGCTTGGTTGCTGGGACAGTCTTGGTTGATGGTACACTCTGGTCTACAGTTTGGTGGAGATCCAATGTATGTAGGCAGGCATGAGCAGGAAGGTGTTCCTCCAATATCTCTGCACTGAGAGAATGGACCACAAGGTGATGGTACACAAGGGTCTCTGATAATTGGATCAGCTGGTGGAGGTGGAGCTGCAATAACCATTGAAAATTAGCCAGATCAGATCCTGCGAAGGTATTGGTTAAAAATGTTACTAAGGAAATCTAAAAAAAGTAATAATCATGACTTTTATGAATACCATAAAAATTAAATGAAAAAAATTATGAATCTGGTTGTTGTTAGTTTTAAGAATTACTTCCTGCTTTTTAGATAACTTGATTTCTAAATATCTAAAGCTATAAGTAATAAATACACATGTCATTTGGTGGAGGAATATACTTACGTGGTGGAATAGGGAAACATCTTGAGAAAGGATCTCCAGTGAATCCAGAGTTGCAGCTGCAGATGGGACTGTGGTTGATGACTTGACACCTGGCGTTCTGTCCACAAGTTCCAGGACAAGGGTCTACGCATTTCTGGTTGACACAGGCTCTGTTGGCCGGACACTCACTGCTCACAACACACTCTGGTCTGCAACCTGGAGGCTGGCCTATGTATGTTGGCAGACACGAGCACACAGCTTGTCCATTCACTTCCCTGCATTGACTGTTGGGCCCACATGGTGAAGGCACACAAGGGTTCAATGGCTCTGCTTGGACAGCTGTAAGAAAACACGATACTTAGAGCTTGAAATACGTTTAAAGTATTTGGTGTAGACACAAAACAGGAAGTTCAAAATGTTTATAATTTATATAAAGAAAATTAATGAAAGATGTTTATAATGCTGCTAATTTAAGTAAATCCTAATGTTAATAAAAAGTAAAGTTACTAAACAAGAAAAAAATATTAATGAGGAATAATGTTAGTTGAACTTCAATGATTTAAAATATTATATTAAATTCAAGTTTGTAGAGGGTTCAAGTTAAGAAAAAATGAAAATAATAACTATCAAATTTAACAATCTTTTACACAGCAGTTAGATTAATTTAATTTAAACATTAAGATATTTAAATCCAAAACTTACGAGCCTGAGGTGGAATGACATTGCAGAATCGGAACGGATCCCCAGTGAAACCAGGACGACAGGTGCACAATGGTAAGTGGTTGACAACCTGACAGTCGGCATTCTGTCCACAAGTTCCAGGGCAAGGGTCCTGACATTTGTTGCGGATACAAGCTCTGTTGGAGGCACAGTCAGTGTTCAAGGTACACTCAGGTCGACAGCCTTCGTAAGGGTTGCCGATGTAATCTGGCAGACAAGTGCAGGCTCCAGCACCGTTCTGTTCTCTGCATTGAGCGTTTGATCCACAAGGTGAAGGAGTACAAGGTGTTGCTACTTCTTGGATTGGTTCAGCTGTAACCAGAAGAAAGAATCTTATTTAAAATTTTGAAGTCTTTAAATATTTTTCAATAAATACCCTAGATACATGATAAATATAATTTAAAAACTCAATAATGAGTTACTTTTCTTTTTTTGCTTGTTGGGTTTGTTTGTTTGAGTTTTTTGCCGAAGCAATCTCGACACCTAGAAGCATTGGTCCACCCTAAATAAAATTCTTAATTGCCTTTACCTTGTTGCAAAATGCATTGTGTGAAAGGGTCTCCTATGTAGCCAACAATACAGACACACTGTGGAGTATGGCTGACAACTCTGCACATAGCATTGGCTCCACAAGTGCCAGGACAAGGATCTCTGCACTTCTGGTTGATACAGGCCAGGTTGGAGGCACATTCACTGTTGCTGACACACTCAGGGCGACAGTTGGGAGGTGTTCCGATGAACTCTGGCAGACAGGAACATGACGGACTGTCTCCAGACACTCGGCACTGTGAGTTAGGACCACATGGTGAAGGTATACAAGGGTCTGTTGGTGGAGACTGCTGGGGTGGAGCTGGAGAAAAAAATATTATTATTTTACATGTTTTGTACAACATTCAACTAGAGGCTGGTTTAGAGTCTTTATTCATGGCCTAATCACATAAACCTGTGCATGTACTTTTAGCGAACTTTCTATATAGGGAATAAGCTGTTATCATAGGTTTCATGGTGAGATCTTACCCGGGTCCGATTTTATTTTTGTTTTGATGTCCCAAAATGAAAAAAAACACAATCCGTTCAAATATATACATATGTGTGTCCGTTAGAACTATAATAACTCGAGTAAAAATTATTCTATTTAGAAGATTTTACGGCAAGGGAATTTGAAGATGGAGCTGGGATTCCAAATTTTCTTAGTGTAAATATTAGTTGTTGAATTCTGATTGTACTATACTCTTTTTTGTAAAATTTCCATTGTAATAAATTTAACTATGTTCTGTATTTGGTATTAAAGGCATAAACCTACTTATTCAAATGAGTTCGCCAACCAGCTTGAATTGCTTTTTGGAAACGGTGGGGGGGGGGGGGGGGGGTAAAAATAGTTTGTTTTTCGTGTTTGGCCCTTAAAACATAAAATATTTCAATTTCTCTCCAAACCATTTTGTAGAGCTTAAAATTCTAAACATTTAGTATCTTGAATTTTTTTCTACAGTTATTGATTGCAGAGACAATTCAAACATTTTAAATTTAAAATTCACATTTTATTCCTATAGAGATCAAGTGAACCGTTGTAGTTTGTTTGTTTATGGTTTTTTTTAATCTAAATTGGAAATTGTATCTATTAAGGTATATTTTAAACTAAGGTCTATCTATTTTATACTACATTTTACAAAAACAAAAACTTTATTATACCCTCCCTGTAGCAACAATCCTGAGTATTCGTTGACCTAATCTATATATAAAGCCAAAAGTACCTATGAACTTTTGAGAAAACTACAAGTCACACCCCCCATAAACCATATACTTAAAATGTTCGTCATGACGAGAAACCTTGCGCAAAATTATCCATTATGTCATAAATTGCCCTTTAAGGTCGTAATTCCTTTCTAAAGGGAACTTTTCATATACCTAATGTTAAAAATACCTCAGCTGTACTTATTTGTTTGTTATTCTTTCAATTTATTACCTTATTAAAATCAGGTGTGATTATTTGTTTCTTTTACTGTATTTTGTTTATTTCAGGTTAACTTAACCAATCAATAGTTTTATTAATACTTATGATGTCAAACGGGGCGAAGCCCGTGGGTAACAGCTAGTGTTATTTAAATAGGGAATAAATCTGCCATGTTTAAAGAATATTCAAGTGAAAATCAAATCAGACAAATGAGATTCGCTTAGTCTGCTGGTTTGCTGGGGATATTTATACAATTCTTTTTAATAAACTGTGTCTTATGACTGGATATATTGGAATATTGTATTTTATTTAATTAAACAGCAAATACATATTACCAGGAGCAATAACATCTGTTTATACTGATCATAGAGCTTCTGTAAATGACTAGTTAGAAACAATATCCTTGTCTACAATGAATAAAATATTTTGATATAATAGGTATATTAATTTATAACACGTGTGAAATTCTACTCATCATTTAATTTTCTGGGTTAGAGTATGTAAAAGATTGATAGATAGGTGCTATGATGTCTACATAGGAGAATGCCTAGTTAAGTATTAGTGTTGAATGGTGTAATACTTTATTTAGTATCATCTAATTTGGTATCTACAGTACTTCATTCATTGTAGAATTGTAATTTTAGCGAATTTACCTATAGGAAAGTAGCTATTACCGTAGGTCTCATAGTAAGACCGAGACCCAGGACCGATTTACTGTTTTATTTGATGTCGCCAGAGGTCAAAAACACTATTCGAGAAAAAGGAAACTGTTGTAGTTTGTTTTCTTTACGAATGTATTTTGATCAAATTCGGCACATTTATCATTATTCTTCATGTACTATTAAAATTTGATCAGCACACCTAAGATCTCATTAAATGTTATTTAAATGATGAATAAATCTGGTATGTTTAAGGAAAAATTTTTGTCAAAATCTAATCAGACAAATGGGAATTCACTTAATCTGCAGGTTTGTTGCAACGGTGATCTTTTGTAATTAATATAATCCTTTATCATATAAATATTTATTAATAGTTAATGTGTTTTTCTTATTTACTTATAATCCAGAAGATGGCCAAACTACGGATAGGTTACATACGGTACATAGACTCAGATTTATTGGGAAAAATTCATGATGACAATTAAGTAGTAGTTCTACAATCAAAATAATAAAATTGAAATACAAATCTGACATAACAAATAATAGTTTTTTTAAACACTGGAAGGTAAAGTGTGTATCCTATATACTAGGAGTACGCTCCGAAGTCACGTATGAGAATGAACGAAGACCATTTCATACATAAAAATATGTTATTTAACAGTAGGCCTACCCACATTTATATCAGTTTATCAGCTGCTCAAGCAGTTTTAACTTCATATCATGGCACTAACAACAAACCCATAATACTTTTAAACCAAAGCATTTTCTTTACTGTAGGCTACTTTGGGCTTGCGTCATTAAAGCAGGACCAGGAATCAGGGAGTTGGTATATGTAAGGGACCTTGGTCCAAGGTCATTAGGCAAGTTTGAGAAAATTCACTAAGGAACTATGTATAATCAAAGAATGTATTTTGATGTATAAAAGCAGCAATATTGCTCGAAAATGCTAAATAATATAGGTTTGTCAATCTATAGAAACTCTAACAATTACTTTGTGATGTTTCATTGCTGTACAACATTCAGAAATAAACAGCATTATAACAGTGAGAACATCCATCAAACATACATACTTGAGAACATACATCGAGGGTGAGGATATCCCCTATGACCCATAAGAATTATAAACATCACAAAATACAAGAATTTAAACCTTGTAGGTGTGGCATGGGAGGAAATAGTTATTTGTGTAACTAGTGGTGAAAGTGGCACTTTGCTGCACACGACAGCAATGTTTACGCACTCGCCTGCGGCTCGTGCGGAATGATCTCGAGTGCAGCAAAGGCCTTTTTCACTCGTGTTACACATTATATTTTTCCTACAGTCACTATAAAGCATATAAATAATTAGTCTTTCAAACACTACAACACGTTTTTAGGTTCAGCTGGCGACACAAATGGTGCCCTAGAGAAAGTAGTACCCGCGGTCCGTATCACTCCGCTATTTTTCCTCGGCAAGAAATGTGCTCCGCGTTTTGAGAATATAGTTCCGTATGTTTTTCTAATTTGAAGTGGTTTCCGCGCCTAAAAAAATACTTTAAAGGTATTTTCTTGTTTATTAAGATCGTAGGAATGTTTTAAAAACGTTTAAAAGAAAAGTCCAGAAAGTTCAGAAATACCGAAACTATAAACACGAAATGACAGGTTAAATCGTAGTTATAATAGTCAATCAGCTGCTCATAGTATTTTTATCTTTAAGTGTTGCCAACCTATTTCCAAGCGTACACGGATTACGTGCATAATAAAACCACGCTGTTTTGTGTTGTTTCGTTGGAATCCTGATGTGCGGCAAAGTATAAACCGTACGGCAAAGTATAAACCGTACGGCAAAGTATAAATATGCAGCAATTAGCAGCTTTCTGTACTATAAACAGTACAAGGAAGCCAACTTTGTCGGGTGACTGTAGGAAAAACTATTTTGAACCATCAGATACTGCTGAATTTGTTGTGTGAATGATCAAACAAATGTTTACCGGAAACAGTTTTAAAACTCGATATATTTGGATTCTCATTTTAATACATTTACCTACGACTGTTTATTAAAATAGCCGTTTCAGTTCAGTTCTTAGAATTTAAAAGTTTCTCATAACAGCATAGTTTTCTCATAACAACACAGGTAACGGACCAATGAGGTTCAAGTCATGGTGGAAGGAAAATGCATAGGTGTGCTATTCCCGTCATATGCTGACGTCACCCAGATTGCAAACGAAAAATCACCAATACCTTTTTTCTCTGCTTGTGTGTGTCGCAGGTAAAATCTACGCATACTGTTAGAAAAGTTTCCTGTAGATGTGCTAAAAAATAAGCACAAAAAAATAAAAATAATATGGACCTTATGGGTTGCCATGCTGGTGACAAAATAACAACAAAATAGAAACAACTGGAAGAAATTCCAATTCACATGTTTTATTTACAGCGTGGGGTGAAAATATAGAAGTCTGTACATTACGTATTTATGGTCGAGTTTTCGACGACTGGACAGCCTCTAGTTATTATATAATAAATCAATCATATACAGATATTAGGGGTTTTTATTTTTTTATTTTGTGTGTTTGTTTGTTTTCTACAGCATAGGCATTTTTTACATTTGTAATGTGAAGTTGAACCCTGGTCTTATTACTATCAACCTTTTTGTAAGATAACATGATTAATTTATAGCCCGATAACAAATGGCATCTGGGTGTGGAAACAATCTTGCTTGGTACTGAACCAGCGACCTCCAGATTTCAAGGTGAGCATTATAACCACTCAGCTACCCAGACATTATAACCAATAAGCTACCCAGACATTATAACCACTCAGCTACCCAGACATTATAACCACTAAGCTACCCAGACATTATAACCACTCAGCTACCCAGACATTATAACCACTCAGCTACCCAGACATTATAACCACTCAGCTACCCAGCATTATAACCACTCAGCTACCCAGACATTATAACCACTAAGCTACCCAGACATTATAACCACTCAGCTACCCAGACATTATAACCACTCAGCTACCCAGCATTATAACCACTCAGCTACCCAGACATTATAACCACTAAGCTACCCAGCATTATAACCACTCAGCTACCCAGACATTATAACCACTCAGCTACCCAGCATTATAACCACTCAGCTACCCAGACATTATAACCACTCAGCTACACAGACACATCTATTATATTATTAAAGTGATACAATCAAATTTTATGTAAATGGTTAGGGCCATTAACCAAATAAAATTATAGGCATATGGCACACCAAAATGAAGCTCAGAGTGTGTAGATATGCCGAAAAGTATTGGAATGGACGAATTCTCTTAGGGCTCTGCCCCACAGGCCGATTTCCAAAGGATAGGATTTCCAAAGGACACCTTACACGTTTTATAAGTTAACGTTATTCGACTAATCTATCAAAACAGCTGGTCAATGAAATTAACAATAGTTTGTTTATTTACATTTTTGTTTACTTATATCATTATTTACTTTTATGTTTAAAGAGGTGCGGTAAATGAACACTGATGCTATTTATGGCTGTTTGATACAAGTAAATGCTTTAAGATGTTTGAAAGACGATGCATATGAGATTAAAAAACATGTCTGTTGTTCGTTCAAGAGGTTGGGTCGTGAAAGAGAGCGGCAAGTTCAGGTACAACCGTATAGTTCGGCCAAAGTTTCTGTGCGCGCGACAAGATGTGGTTGGGTTCTAGGTGAGGGGGTCGGCGGGGGTACTTTTGTTCAAACATTTTTGTCAGCACTGCCATTATAGTGTATGTTTTAACTCAGATAGTAGCCACCCGTCCGCGTGCACAGAATTTTCGGCCAAACTGTACCCACGTCGGCCCCCTCAGGACGTAAGGTAAGAAGGTCCTACTGTTTTTAACATTCCTTCAGATGAGAATTTCTTGAACTTGGTCACTTTATATGAAATATAAAGTCGAAATTAATTAAATTGTGGCTTCTGAATTGTACACCCGTGAATCCGCGGGTAGAACCTCTTGTATTGTTTTATTTCTCTATTCACCAAATCCACTTACGGATAGGTTGGCATCTTATAAACGGATCCCCAGTAAAGCCAGTGGGACAGCTGCAGATGGGGTTGTGGTTAATGACTTGACATCTGGCACCAACACCACAAGTTCCTGGACAAGGATCTCTACACTTCTGGTTGGAGCAGGCTTGGTTGAGAGGACAGTCTGAGTTGACCACACATTCAGGCCTGCAGGTGGGAGGACTACCTATGTAGCCGGGCACACAGGAACACACAGCTTGTCCGTTCACTTCTCTGCACTGACTGTTGGGTCCACAAGGTGATGGGTTGCATGGCTGTGTCACAACAGGAGCTACAGAAATGCAAGTCGGTTAAGTTAATGTAAATACAAATTTCTGTGATAGTAATTTTGAGGTGTATTAGTTAAGCAATACTCTAATACCAAAAGATTGAGAATTCATATTTAAAAAAAAAATTACCATACATACACCAATATAAAGACTTAAGTCTCTTTAGGCCATAAGCTGAGCTAAATGAATTGAACAGCTTTGTAATGAATGAATGATATTTATTGGCACAAAACGTACAGAATATTACAGGATGTATGTACAGGTGCTTCATCATAAATAAAATTGTCCTTATAGAAGTCATCCCTTTCCTTCTAGGTAATGTATATTGACTTTAAATGAGTATAACATTAATTAAAATAAAAAATAAAAATAATAACTGAAAATAATCTACCTTGCATTGGCCGACAGTCTACAAATGAATTTCCACTCATTCCAGGCGGACAGCTGCACATTGGAATGTGGTTTATCACTTGACACACAGCATTCTGGCCACAAGTTCCAGGACAAGGATCTTGACACTTGTTACGGATGCAGGCTCGATCTCTTGGACAATCAGTGTTGAGGACACATTCTGGTCTACAACCAGAGTATGGGTCTCCTTGGAATTCAGGCAGACAGGTACAGATTCCATCAGCACACTGAGCATTTGGACCACATGGAGATGGATTGCATGGATCACTGGCTTGAGTTGGAGGTGGTTCAGGAGGTTTGGGGAAGCAATTGGTAAACGGATCTCCTGTGAATCCCTCAGGACAAGTGCAGATCGGAGTGTGGTTGATGACACTACACTGGGCTCCAGCTCCACAAGACCCTGGACACGGGTCTCGGCACTTCTCTCTCATACAGGCTTGGTTGCTGGGACAGTCTTGGTTGATGGTACACTCTGGTCTACAGTTTGGTGGAGATCCAATGTATGTAGGCAGGCAAGAGCAGGATGGTGTTCCTCCAATATCTCTGCACTGAGAGAATGGGCCACAAGGTGATGGGACACACGGGTTGACATAGGCTGGTGTAAACTGTGGAGGTGGTGCTGCAAATTAATTAGTAAGTAATTAGCTAATATGTTGGCAATTTATGTGTTTTAAAACTGTTTCCAGCTTTTGAATCAACTTAACAAATACGTTCAATTTAAAAAAGTACAACACATTATATGTAGGCTGTTGTGATTTTACATTAATGTATTTTTTCATGTTTTAACTACACATTTCTGTGCTCACCAACTAATCAAGAGATCTTTGATATAATTGTGAGAGATGTATTGATGATATTTTTTGTCTGTATATATTTGTACATAACTGTATTTGATTATCTACTATAAATGATCAATCTAAATATAGATGTGGATGCTTTCAGTCAGAAAAAAAGTTGCACAGAGGAGTTACAGAGGAAACTTGTTTATGGGACGACTTTGCGCTTTTGGCTCTGGTAAATTGTGCCAGCGTGTACATACTGGCTAGGGCATTATAATTTGTATCGAGTAAATAATAGCGACAAGCTCAGTGTGGAAGTTTCAATCGCACTAGGCACAGGTTCTTTCTCCAGCATGAGTGTTGAAGTACATGATGGTGAAGGGGAAAAGGATTGTGGGGGGGGGGGGGGTTAGGAGAAGCGAAGGTGTTGGACTAGATACCAGCCACTAGTGCTATACACCACTTAAGTGCACCATTTAATGTTTCCTCTATAGAAGGTAATATACCCATTACACATTCATCTGTTACTTATACCTTCTTTATAAAATTCCTAAGACTGTGCCAATGAGCCATTCTAAATGGAAGATGCACAGGTAAAACAAATAATAATAATAAAATACAGAATATAACAACCATAAGCCGTCTCACTATTTGTCTTAATTGTGCGATGTACTATTTCTTAAAAATGCCAAGAATTAGCTCATTAGACTATGCTTATTTTACAAACAATCCTTACTTGCAACAATTACTTTAATACCGACCGTGTTTATTAAACTAGTTGGTACAGGGTGTTTTTTTGCAAAACGCAAAGTTGTTACTAAAAAAAAAATTCTCAATTACATGTAGACTAAGATAACTATGCAACATTGCATATCAGTTGATTGGCGATGAAACCAAAAATACAGGGATGACAAAATGTTAGCTTGTTTTGTCGTTAAGTGCCTTATGTTCCTTGTAATTTGGGTTCTGTTTTAAGAAAAACACCCTGTACAAATATAATATTTTAGCAAATGTACCAATACTGTAGTATCAAAATATGATGCTTAAAAATTGTTCCCACATTCATAGTTGCACAACAAAAATAGAAGGTTTAGAAATTTCCAAAAAACAAATATAAAACGATAACCAAATTCAGCATTCTGTCATTGCAATACTAACGTGGTGGAATAGGGAAACATCTTGAGAAAGGATCTCCAGTGAAGCCAGAGTTGCAGCTGCAGATGGGACTGTGGTTGATGACTTGACACCTGGCGTTCTGTCCACAAGTGCCAGGACAAGGGTCTACGCATTTCTGGTTGACACAGGCTCTGTTGGTCGGACACTCACTGCTCACAACACACTCTGGTCTGCAGCCTGGAGGCTGGCCTATGTATGATGGCAGACACGAGCACACAGCTTGTCCATTCACTTCCCTGCATTGACTGTTGGGTCCACATGGTGAAGGCGCACAAGGGTTCACTGGCTCTGCTTGGACAGCTGTGAAAAAATATCAATGATAGTATGATAAAACAAAACACTGTGATTTCAGAGTTTTAATATTTAAATGACCTGGCTTCTAAAATTTCTTTGTATAGGTTCTTTACATTTTCATTGTCACAACATTATTCTCTGTAAGTAAATGAGATCTCATGATAAATATTGTTATGTTAAACAATATTTTGCACTTTTAACCCTTTGAGGTCAAATTTTTTCCCCATTTTTTGACGAGTATAGTTTACCATTAGAGCAGTCGGATGACGCCCAGCGACCTATACTCGCCATTCAACTGAAAAAATAAACTTTTTTAATTTTGGATTTTTTTAAATGTGTTTTATGTGCACCATTTTCGAGCAGTCGGGAAGACTTATTAGCTTATTTTAACAGATCAAGTTTGCTACAAATATAATTCAATTCAGAAATCAAATCTTACTCTAAATAGTAAATTGTTGTTTAACATTAATCAATCCAAATTGCAGACAGGGTTCAACAATAAAACATTGTGATAATATTATTACTTTTTATAAAATGCATGATTGACTGTCCCAATAACATTCATATATTTTGTGGAAATATTATGTTTCTTAAGTTCCCAACTTACCAGCTTGAGGTGGAATGACATTGCAGAAGCGGAACGGATCCCCAGTGAAACCAGGACGACAGGTGCACAATGGCAAGTGGTTGACAACCTGACAGTCGGCGTTCTGTCCACAAGTTCCAGGGCAAGGGTCCTGACATTTGTTGCGGATACAAGCTCTGTTGGAGGCACAGTCAGTGTTCAAGGTACACTCAGGTCGACAGCCTTCGTAAGGGTTGCCGATGTAATCTGGCAGACAAGTGCAGGCTCCAGCACCGTTCTGTTCTCTGCATTGAGCGTTTGATCCACAAGGCGAAGGAGTACAAGGTGTTGCTACTTCTTGGATTGGTTCAGCTGTAACCAGAAGAAAGAATCATACTTGAATTTTTGAAGTCTTTAAATATTTTTCAATCAATACCCCAGATACATTATTAATATAATTATAAACTTAATAATGAGTTAATTTATTGCATTTACCTTGTTGCAAAATGCATTGTGTGAAAGGGTCTCCTATGTAGCCAACAATACAGACACACTGTGGAGTATGGCTGACAACTCTGCACATAGCATTGGCTCCACAAGTGCCAGGACAAGGATCTCTGCACTTCTGGTTGATACAGGCCAGGTTGGAGGCACATTCACTGTTGCTGACACACTCAGGGCGACAGTTGGGAGGTGTTCCGATGAACTCTGGCAGACATGAACATGACGGACTGTCTCCAGACACTCGGCACTGTGAGTTTGGACCACATGGTGAAGGTATACAAGGGTCTGTTGGTGGAGACTGCTGGGGTGGAGCTGGAAAAACAATTCCTGTTACTTTATAAATGTGTTATGAACAACTAAGCTGCTGTATACGTAAGTTTAACTAAATGTTTCGATAGAGGTTATTTCTCTAACCATAAAATCAAGAAATGTACAATAATTATTATTTTTGTGAATAAACACAAAGAGAACAAGATGTTTTTTTTATACCTTTTTGATACCTGTTAAATGAGTTACCGGAATAATTGTCAAATTTTAAATTAGATGCATTGTTAAAAAGAAAATTGAAAAAGTAATTAGGCTACTAGTTTCTTAAGTGTTTGCTTGTAATATTTTTATTTTTTGCCCTAAGATGCTAGGCTCGAGCCTGGGATTGTTTTTCACATTACTTCAGGCTAGACCTAGGGGTTGCAGCATTATCACTTAGATAAAATCCATTGGTGATTAGGCGGGATTTGAACCCAGGACCTCAGGGACTGAAGTCCCACGCTCTAACCACTAGACCAGCTCGCTCCTCCCGAGCGACTGGAGTCTGGGTAAAACTTATAGTACAACTTTTTTACTATACAAGTTTGCTTGTTATAGTAAATAATGTTGTTATATTATTTATGTTTCTATAGTTTGCATATTGTTATATGTACTTTTGTATAAATTTGTAAATGCCATACAACATTTTATTTATTTTTTGTCATTATTAATTTTTATTATTTACTACTTTATAATCTTATCTGTGGTTAAAATTCACATAGTTTGATAAATTAATATTGAAGATGAATCTGCTGACTGATGGACTTTTGGACTTTAGAAGAAATATAAATTTTGTCATCCATAGTTAGCTGCAGGACAAGCCTTGTGAGGATTTTGCAGCTTGTTAGACACTGATTTGTAAAACTTAATTTTTGTATTTAAATAAATTAAAAATGAAAGAATAAAAAAATTGAATAAAACAACAAATGTAAGAATATTGATTGCTAACCAAAAATTACAGGGGTGTGCTGTTTTCATATTTTGCCATGACTGTAAACAACTAACAACAATAAATCTTACAATTAGAGCAGCACAACAAATTCATGAACCATAATATGCAAGTCACCTTTCTAGCAATACCTGGGGTATATGTAGGCCTACCATGGAGTGGAATGTTTTTTTTCACTCTAATTTTGGTATTTAAGTATTTATGCTGTATAAGACTTTTAGTAATTGAGATTAAAAACACAGAAGTTTTGTTATAAAACTATCATATCAAGAAGTTAGCCGACTGCAGTAGTAAACAAAAAAAATTATGAATTGCTGCTGATTAAATGGGTTGCTAGATAATAGTAAATAAGATAAAATTATAAAGCTATAAAAATAACGATTGACAATATAGAAAAAAAGTTAGATAAATAAATAATTCTGCTATGTTAAATAAAATACATTTGATTTAGTAATATACTGGACAGCGAAGTCTGTAATATCACTCAAATAGTTTATGGAGATCGAGTGGGTATTTATATTTCCCAACCAATGTTTACCAAATCAACTTACGGATAGGTTGGCATCTTATGAACGGATCCCCAGTAAAGCCAGTGGGACAGCTGCAGATGGGGTTGTGGTTAATGACTTGACATCTGGCACCAACACCACAAGTTCCTGGACAAGGATCTCTACACTTCTGGTTGGAGCAGGCTTGGTTGAGAGGACAGTCTGAGTTGACCACACATTCAGGCCTGCAGGTGGGAGGACTGCCTATGTAGCCGGGCACACAGGAACACACAGCTTGTCCGTTCACTTCTCTGCACTGACTGTTGGGTCCACAAGGTGATGGGTTGCATGGCTGTGTCACAACAGGAGCTGCAGAAATGCAATTTGGTTAAGTTAATGTAAATACAAATTTCTGTTATAATAATTTTCAAGGTTTATTAGTTCAGAAATACCCTAATACCAAAAGGTTTAGAATTCATATTAAAAAAAACCTTACATTTACCAAGATAAAGACTTAAGTTTCTTTATGCCATAAGCTGAATGAATTGAACAACTTTGTAATGTATATATTGACTTTAAATGAGTATAACATTAATAAAAATAAAACATTAAAATAAAATAACTGAATATAATTTACCTTGCATTGGTCGACAGTCTACAAATGCATTTCCACTCATGCCAGGAGGACAGCTGCACATTGGAATGTGGTTTATCACTTGACACACAGCATTCTGGCCACAAGTTCCAGGACAAGGATCTTGACACTTGTTACGGATGCAGGCTCGATCTCTTGGACAATCAGTGTTGAGGACACATTCTGGTCTACAACCAGAGTATGGGTCTCCTTGGAATTCAGGCAGACAGGTACAGATTCCATCAGCACACTGAGCATTTGGACCACATGGAGATGGATTGCATGGATCACTGGCTTGAGTTGGAGGTGGTTCAGGAGGTTTGGGGAAGCAATTGGTAAACGGATCTCCTGTGAATCCCTCAGGACAAGTGCAGATCGGAGTGTGGTTGATGACACTACACTGGGCTCCAGCTCCACAAGACCCTGGACACGGGTCTCGGCACTTCTCTCTCATACAGGCTTGGTTGCTGGGACAGTCTTGGTTGATGGTACACTCTGGTCTACAGTTTGGTGGAGATCCAATGTATGTAGGCAGGCAAGAGCAGGATGGTGTTCCTCCAATGTCTCTGCACTGAGAGAATGGACCACAAGGTGATGGTACACAAGGGTCTCTGATGATTGGATCAGCTGGTGGAGGTGGAGCTGCAATAATCATTGAAAATTTGTAAACGAGATATTTACATGATCTTTGGATGCAATACTCCCTTGTTTTGATTACCGCCCGCACTAGTGAGTGAGTACTACCACTATCCTCAATACTATACTGAAAATTAGACCAATTCCTAAATGTCAACGCAAAAGTGTGTTTTGGATCCCACTATAAAATGTAGGTCCCTTAGATGTCATTGGCTGTATGGGCTGTTAATTAACAGTTCTGTCTAAGGAACATATCGGCCTTAGTCACTAACAAGACTACAAGATTGGGCCACTTATTCTATAGTCATCTCCATTCATACTTGGCTTAAAATACCTACCTCCGTATGGTCGCTATTTCAGCTAAAAGTATTCAAGTATTTTAGTATGAGTTAAAAACAATAAAAAACGAACTTACAAGTCCCTTTAATGATAAAGCCAAATTGGAGTGGTTTAAAAAGGGGTTTTGGTAGCATTTGTATGAGGAAAATATATGTTCTGTAGTTTTTACAGGAGTAAAAAAGGTGAATTTTCAGGTGCTTTAATATTTTACTTACGTGGTGGAGTAGGGAAACATCTTGAGAAAGGATCTCCAGTGAAGCCAGAGTTGCAGCTGCAGATGGGACTGTGGTTGATGACTTGACACCTGGCGTTCTGTCCACAAGTGCCAGGACAAGGGTCCACACATTTCTGGTTTACACAGGCTCTGTTGGTCGGACACTCACTGCTCACAACACACTCTGGTCTGCAGCCTGGAGGCTGGCCTATGTATGTTGGCAGACACGAGCACACAGCTTGTCCATTAACTTCCCGGCATTGACTGTTGGGTCCACATGGTGATGGCACACAAGGGTTCACTGGCTCTGCTTGGACAGCTGTGAAAAAATATCAAAGTTATTAATATTTAACATTTATTTAAGTCAATTCTAATAAACCCTGATTCAATATAAGTACAAATACAGAATTTGAAACAAAAGAAATGCCTTTGAAAGGAATATTATCAGGTTGATTTAAGGTCACTTTTCACCTTTCACATTGGTCTAAATTGTTTATGGTTAACAGTTAACACATTCGCTACTGCAATAGTACTAAATCTTTTATTCATACAGACCAGCGACGCACATATGTGACGGCCAGTTTCTACTCATAGACTGCCGTCACATAAATGTGATGGTTGGTCACATTAAAATAGACTGACATTGCATATTTGTGTCGGTGTACCAATGTTATTAAAAAGCCTATATCCTTGTCCTGGTCTATTTGAAGGCTCAGAATTGTCTGCAGTTGTCTGTGGATATGATGATTAGTGACGTCATATGATAGTTGGCAAAACCGTTTTTTACTTTACCACATCACCGGCCCGTGGTCTGTGTGTACTGTGAACGAAGTGACACCCGGTCTAGATGTGTATATTACAATGTATACCTCGGTTCGTGACAATGGCCGCAGCATCACATAGATGTAGCGATCGGTAGCGGACGTGTTAAGCTCCATGATGATGTTGTAATATAAATCAAGCCCAATATCAAGCAAGCAAAGTTTATTATTTTAACACTGTAATACCCAAATCGTAACTATCAAAAAACAACATTTATGTAGCAATTTAATCTTACTTGAAAATAACACTATGAGCCTTTTCTATTACGATTAGGTCTACTATAAAATATTTTGAATCTTAATTCATTATAATAACAATATTACTTACTCCCCCTATAACATAGTATATGGAAAAAGTATTGTTTTCAATAGAATTTTCGAGTTTGAATTTTGAGTGGATATATCCGTTTTGGGTCTAATAATAATAATAAATAAAGAAAAGAATTGGAAGAGTGATGTACTCCGTCTATCTCTCTCTGTGTGTGTGTGTGTGTGTCTGTCTGTATGTGTGGATGTGTACAGAGCCACAAACTACACCTGTGGTCCTATTTTGGTGAAATTTGGTATGTAGGCACTAATCCATGGTATCTCCAGGCGTTTTCCTTATTTCTTAAATTTTGATTTTAATGGTGATTTTCCCATTAAAACCCCTAAAATATCAGAAAAATCTGATTTTCTCAAAAATGGCCCAAACAATTTTCATAAAAATTTAGTAGTCCTTTTAATTCTGCAAAAGATGGTACAAATCCCATTCCTGTAAAAATTATGGTTAAAAAATTATTGTAACTTATGTAATTTTCCCATTAAAAACCCATAAAATAACAAAAAGATCGGATTTTGGAAAAAAATCTGTTTTGATTAAAATTAGTATGTTATGGTCCTTTAAATTCTTAACAAAATGGTACAAACCAATTTCCGTAAACATTAAGGTTCAAAAGTTAATGCAACTTTTGTGATTTTACCCTATAATATATCATAATTAGGCCTAGGCCCAAAGGTTGTTGACAAGCTAATGGGAGAAAGTATGTGTCAGAATGCTGATACCGAGTATTTTTTATTGTTTTGTTGCTAGCGTGACTTTTAGTTAAGGTTTAAAGAACACATTACTTCATGATTGATTGGCTTTAAATACAATATAAAACAAGAAAAGCATTACCGGGTATATGTGAGTAAATAAATAATAAGGCAAATTAAAAATTCTTCTCTAAAAATGAAATGTGAACTGAACAAAGCAAACAATCTCTTGTTTATTACAGTGCACAGAAAAATGCATAGAAGCTAAAATTAGGTAGTGTAATGATAAATGCTTACGATGAACTGGTTGTGGTCGACAGAACCTAAAAGGCTCTCCAACAAAGCCGGGGAGGCAGATGCACATGGGCACATGGTTGATCACTCTGCACTCTGCGTTCTGGCCGCAAGTCCCAGGACATGGGTCTTGACACTTGTTGCGCACACACGCCTTGTCAGAGGAACAGTCAGGGTTGACTGTACACTCCGGTCTACAACCCTCGTAAGGGTTGCCGAAGTGTTCAGGGAGGCAAGCGCACGCTCCAGCTCCGTTCAGTTCTCGACACACAGCGTTGGCACCGCAGGGGGAAGGGAAGCATGGAGTCACACTCTCGGCTACAGGGGAGGCTAGAACCAGGCACAACAACACGTCTACACTGCTCTCTTGGGGGTTAGTACCTCAACCGGGTCAGCTTGAGATTAGGAAGCATTACCAACTCACTTTCAGAATCCAGTGTGAATACTTTTCATTTTTGTATTGGTATTTCATACATTTAGGTAAACAATGTGCTTTTTACTGGTACTGTATGTGGAAAAGTTTCATCACAAAATGATTGACAGGTGAATAACTATCAACAGCAATGATTAATGCTTACAGTTATAATATGCCATGGTGATTGAAATGAAAAAAATATATAAAATTAAAAATAAAACAGATTTATGAATATCCAAACACTTTTTAGTAATTATTGCAATTGTATCCAAACATTTTTAATTGACATGATACACTGTTTAATACATACATAATTTTAAAATGACATACACTGTTGTTGATCTAGGTAACGTTGCTTATCAAACAATAATATAATAGGCCTATAACTCTAATCAAAAGTAACACTTAGCGTAAGTTAGATAGTACAAAGTATTGAAAACATATTAATCAATTAATTATGAAAAACCTATAAAGAGTAGAATAGAATGGAAATCTCAATAATTTTAATATTTACATAATATATTGGGAATTGGTTTGCTGAACCTGATATGATGTTGGATGGTTATCAACAAATAATCACATGTGTTTCATGGTTCAACCTTTGACTATTGTCAAACCTACTTTAAACATTTAAATCATTTTGGAACAGTAGGCCTATTATAACAAATCGCCCAGATTAATTATATTTCTATTTTTATCGCCCATCATGAAAACAATCTACTTTGGTTTATTAGTTCGGGTAAACCGATTTAAGCAAAGCCGCATATAAAATAATATAATATGTAGGTCTAAAACAAAGACCTTAACGATGATAGTTTTTGATTATATATTTCATAGCTTAACAGTTTAAAATGCTGGTTGATTTTATTTAGTTTATAATAGTTTATTATAATGTAAAGTGTTTTTTTTTACTATATGATATACAGGGTGTTCAAAAAAGGTGGGGACATAATTTACGTAGTTATTCCTTGGGTCAAAATAAAGAGAAAATAAAGAATAACATGTTTTCCAAAACTGCTTTGTTAACCAGATATTCAAAATCTTTTACATAAACATTTTTATCGTTGAATTTTTTCAACCGATCATTATCAAACTTGGTATGTATGTTAAGGTAGAAGAGACACATATTCGAAAAAAATTTATCTTGATTCAACTTAAAACTCCAAAATGGCGGCCATTTTAATTTTTTAAACTTGTATTACTAAACAAGGCTGATTTTATAAAATAATGTCAAGAATAAGACTTTTATTTAGCAATTTAGTAATTTTAATTCCTATCAAACGATACCAAGTTCAAAAAGATGGAATAAGAAATAGCTGAAATACTGTATTATGATTTTTAGTTGTAAAATGGGGTAGAATAAGGTTAAGCTAGTCAGGTTTCGATATTTTACAGCTAAAAATTGATAGGAAGCTTTGATAGGAAATAAAAAATGCTAAATAAAAGTGTCCTTGACATTTTTTCATACAATCAACCATTGTTTTGTAATTTACGTTTAAAAGCTTAAAATGGCCGCCATTTTTAAATATGAATTTAAATCAAGATGATTTTTTTAAACAGACAGATAGGCCTATAACTTATTCTATGCCACATAGAAAAATGTATAGTCACTGCTTTGATTACACTACAGTTTGTGTCCTCAATTTTGAATTTCAAAGTTATAAAACCATTATTAAGTAGTAATTAAAATATAGCATAGTTTTAAAGTACATTGTTTTATGAAGAGTCCTGAGTACCTCTGTTTTGAACAAGCTCAAGCTGCATCTATTTTTTAGATTTCATGATACCTTCTCTCGATAAAACGCTATACTATTAAGAGAAAATATTTACATTAGGTTATAAAAAAGATTACTAGTCGGTAAAAATGTTTATTTAGTTTTTCTTTATCAGTGTGAAAAAGGTGTTGTGTTGGTTATTTTTTATGTAATTGATTCTAGAGATATCTGATAATGTAACTCACTTAACATGTATAAATAGGTAATACAAAAATACACATACAATCAAGCAAAAAAAAATGTAAATTTACATATAAACTACACACAGGAAGTTTATGAATGGCAAAATAATGGTAACATGGTTTACAAATCGTTAACAACAAGATAAACCCAAAGCACTATATAAAAATATTCCAAACGTAGGTATAAGACAGAACAGGTTTTAATATATAGTGTAAAATTTGTAATATTTAAATAAAATAGGTACCTATGCTAGGTTATCTGCTGAAAATAGTATTACTAACACTAAAACTGAAATATAAAAAATATAACTGTTGATATCGAACCGTTCATAAATATTATAAATAATAAATATTAGCATTGACTATATATAATGGTAGCCTACTATCTACACTTTGAGCAAAACACTTCAGATCAAATTTTAAAAAATCGATAAAATATGTTTGAATTAAAACAATGTTATTTAATATTTTAGTTGGTATTCGTAAACATAAATAAGGCCAAACCTTAACTTCACCTTCAACTTAACCTTGATTGCTCAAAATCATCCTACAAATAAGCTTAAATTAATTACAAAGTCATCAAAGAAAAGGTTATAGCATAATCAAATTATTCAAGTGATAATAAAAATAATTATTTTCTCCTTATGTACCGTAATAAACTAAAAATACATACAAATGTATTCTAAAATACCTGGGAAGTTATAAACTAAAGTAATACCTGTGAATAAATAAATTAATCATATTACAACAAATTCCCATTACGATGACTTAAAATATTTTAAAAGGTGACAACAACATCAACTGTATCAACAAAATTTTCTAGACAAAGAGGAGAAACAACAGGCTAGACATTTTCTAAACAACTGTAGTCCCTCATACCAATCACAAGCTGCTTTACGCTCATTGAAGTTGAAAAATACATACAAAGAGACAATTATTGCAAACACAAACACACATGCATCATGCTACAAGACGACACATCAATCAATAATACCTTAATTTTAAAATGATTTTGAGATAATATGTTTATTGGTTGTAGAAATTTGTCCTATGCTAGGGGGGTTTGTTTGTTGTACTATTATAATGATTTTAAAAATTTCTTCTTAAAAAAAACATCACTACCATAAAAAATAAATCTTTTTCCAGCTAAAATAAAATCAGTATAGGCTAATGAATAAGCTCTAATTTTTTGAATAATTATTAGACGTTTAGGCCTACATTTTGTAATGATTCATAATATTTTTTTAATCCCTAAGATATATTCTTAGACAACTTCAAATTTAAAAAAAAATTTAAAAAAAAATGTGTAGCCTACTGAAACAAAATTCACGCATAATAAGTTTACAATTAAAAGTTAAAAATACACTAATTACCAATTTCAAAATAAATATCCTAGGTTGATTACAATCTTTATGAATCATATTGAAACTAATTTTGTAAATTTTTGCTTTAACCAGACAAAAGAACAACATGTTTAGTTTTTAGAACAACTAAAGAATAATATTGCCTAGACAATAAAACACTGTCGTTTGTAAAAACAATTAAAGACAAATAATTCTGAAAATTCTGTATAAAAAATGAACCAGCTTTGAACTTCATTTTACATAGGATGTTTTCTATACAGAATAAAATTCTTTAATCAGCTAAGACGGTCAATTAAATTAACTTTAATACCAACCTTGAAATTGATATGTTTGTTAATATTAATTATGGAGTTAATGTTAGTAGAAAATTTGTTGTGTCCCATTTAAAATGAAGTTCAATAACTTTATAGATGTCGCTGCAAACAAATTATTTACTGAAATCAGTATCAAAACAAATGCATTCTGAATGTCATATACCCATACAGTTTATTAAATAAAGTATCGATTGTGAAATATTTAAAACTGTTGACAAAGAAATTTGATTTGAGAAATTTGGATAGAATACTTATAAAACAGGAAAAAGCTATTAGAGTGATCATGAAATTAAAAAGAACAGATTCAGTTAAAAATATCTTTCCTGAATTTGGTGTGTTATCAGTTTACAGTTTGTTTGTATATTTATGAGACAATTGTTTTTGCAAAACAATTTCATTTATTATCCTCTGCAAGTAAATATAACACACGCTTTCAAATTAACCTTCATGAAATTAAATACTTAGTAAGACTGGTATACTTTGATGCTATTCATAAAATTAAAAAGAACAGATTCAGTTAAAAATATCTTTCCTGAATTGGGTGTGTTAACAGTTTACAGTTTGTATATTTATGAGACAATTGTTTTTGCAAAACAATTTCATTTATTATCCTCTGCAAGTAAATATAACACACGCTTTCAAATTAACCTTCCTAGACATAATTTAGAATTCTACACCAAAAAACCTTCATATACAGGAATAAAATTTCTTCAAAAATTACCCATTTCACTTAAAAAAGAAAATAATACAAACAGATTCAAAAGCCAACTAAAAGACTTATTGATAAGAAACCCATTTTATTCTATCAACGAATTTTTAAATAGTAATTTCGAAACGTTCATTTGAATTCCAGATACTAACTAGTTTTACTCTGACGTAATCGATTTTATAATTTGTTTAAGTAATAACACTCGTTTTTTAGTTTTACTATATAGATCCTTTGTAATGAATTACTTTAATTATTTAGTTTATAATTTTTTCTTTATGTTAGTTTAATGACGCTATTTAAGACATATTGTCTAAACATGAATAAAGAATATTTGATTGATTGATTGATTGATTGATTGATTCTAAATAGTCTTTACATAGACATTACCTATTTGGCTATGTCAGTACGGGGTAGGAGGGTTGTTCTTGTTCCAAGTGTTTGGGGGTCATCATGGTTTGGGGAAGAAGTTGATTCCCCTAGCGCAAAGACTACCGGTATCTCTTTTTATCATGTTTTTGTTTCTTTTTATACAGTGTGTAAATTAAATATTGAAACAAATCTGTATTTTTTA